TTTTATAAGAAACTCGGATTCGCTTCAATGCTCGTTTTCGAATGACTTTTCCTTGCATCATCAACCTCTTTCAAATCGTATACGACACAAAAGGGGAAAAAAACTGCTCTGTTATATTAAATGTTTTATTTTTTGTTTAAATTATCTGCCGGGTGGCGTTCAGTCAGTTTAATTTTTTTTTAATACCCCCCCCCCAGCGCCCGGCCTTTCCCCTACTTCGTCTTTCTCAAATATTATACCCCACCTTCTACCTCCCCCCTCCCTCTTTCTGAAATATTATACCTGGCGGTGACCTAAAATACTGTTTTTTATAATAGATAGTCCAGGTTTTTTATTCTCCATATTTTACTATTCCTAGATGTTCTTTCTTCCTCGATTTTTTGCTAAAATATGGCACCGCATTGAGCTAAAAAAGTTTCTACGATCGATTGAGCAATTACTCGTTGTTTTCTGGAAAACAACGGTCAAAAAGTGGCTGATCAGAAGAGGGCATTCACAGTAGGGGGTGCATAAATGTACCTATTTTTTTAAAACTCTTTTTTAATTTCAAAGAATTTTTCAAAATTCGTTTGTATCACAGTAAATTTCTTACCGTACTACCCACTTTTTGTGTATTTTCTACAATTCTGGGGCTTGAAAATCGGATAATGATGGAGAAGTGTGGTAAACAAACCAAGATTTATTACGAAAAATTTTGTCAATTGTTATTCGAATTCATTTGGCTTTAAAATTAGATTCCCTCAATGTGATTAACACGAGAAAAAAACTTAAAAAGTGGACATTTGAAAACAACTGAAAAACAATGGTATACAAGGTTTTTTACTGCCCATGCTACCGTATAGTAAATATAGGTGCTAAGCCTAAGAATATCAGACTAGGCAGCTAGTATCTAACAATCTATATTAGGTCCTAACATTGTGTTTTTAAGCATAAAATGTATAGCTAACCTTAAAACTGTGTACGTAAGCCTAAAAATGTGTTTCTAAGCCTAAAATGTGCAGACAGGGCCGGGCGCGTACCCCCCCCCCTCAGAAAAAAATTTTTGAAAAAAGTTGAACGTGGTCCTCCCTGTGGATTTTCGGAAAAAAAATTTTGCAAAAAATCACCGTAGCTACCTGTGCCGATTTTACACACCCCCCCCTGCCCCCAGACAAAAAGTCCCCGCCCGGCCCTGTGTGCAGATAAGCCTAAAACTGTGTTTCTAAGCCTAAAATGTTTAGCTAAGCCTAAAACTGTGTTTCTAAGCTCAAAATGTGTAGCTAAGCTTAAAAATGTGGAAACTACGCCCAACATTAAAATTTTGTAGGTAAGCCTAAAGATGTGAACCTAAGCTTAAAGGCTGTGTTAAGCCTATACCCTGCATTAAGCCTAAGATTTTATTCTAAACCCAAACTAAGCTTTACCATCATAATTCTATTACCTCTCCATTTTCCGTTTTACGGTCTCACGCTGGTCAGCCGGCTTATATTATTCATAAATTTGCTTGGTATATCAATTTCCAGGTCCCACGTTCTACATTACTCTCTCCTTCAGCCGTTTTTCGCTTTATTTACTTTTTTCGAGATTTCGGGAATTTGATAGCGGATATAAACTTGGCCACACTTAATGTTTCGTAGTAAAAGTAAACAGTTAAGAGCGTGGGTTCAATACTTAAAGTGTTTTTTAGGGTCTAATATTAAAAAATGTGGGCTTGAGGTTAGTACTGCGGCTTGTTTTATGAGTAAATTTTTACGATTTGTTGTTATCTAGTGTAGCTAGAAACTGTGCTCTAGGCCTAAAATTGAGTGTTAAGCCTAAAATTATTACAGGGTAGGTACCCTAACTGCCTCGCTCAGAATCAGCCCGGAATTTTTATATAAATTCCTTATACCACCAATAGTACCTATTAAAAATTTTTGCTCGCGCTCTTGAGTTTTAAATTTGAATTATTCTGGTTTCCTGCTAATTTGGCAAATTTGGCATTGTGTTTCAAGAATTTTTTTCGACTTTCCAGCCAAGCTACGCTTACAAATTTAAAAATTTAGGTTCATTTACAGGTATTCTACTAGTATATCAAAGAAAAATATGATAAAAGTCAAAAAATGGCAAAGTTGTAAGCTTAAAACACAATGCCAATTTGGCGGGAAATTCAAAACGTAATTTTTTGATCTCGATTTTCTCGGGATTTCCTGGAAAACGCGGTTTAGTACTTTGCTGAAGATCTTATATTTATATGATCTTTCTATATAAAAAGTTTGAAATCAAACAGGGTCGAGTACTTTCCTTGTCAGTTGTTTATGGTGACTACTTATAGTAAATATAATTTTCTTTTCATAAACCGTTCATAATTTAATAAAACTTTATTTTAATTATCATAACAAAGTGATTGACCTAGACTCCTTTCCTCTGTCATCTCCCCTCATCTCCAGTCATTTTTTTGTTTGTTTATTTCCAAAAAAACGAAATTCAATTTTCTTCCTGAAGGTATGACTTTCGTCTCAATTTCAACCGCTCTTTGTTTTTTCAAGACGAAAAAGAGTTTTTGGATTTGTGCGCGGTCACTCTCGAATTTGTCGAGAAAATTTGGATGGAAACTTTTTAAGCCTTTTAAAAGGTATGACTTCTTAAGGGGTTTTTGCTCCGATTTCCGTCGCTACTTAGGCTGGATTTGGTCAAGTTGTGGCCAGTTTTGGAAGTTTTGTGGAGAGTTGGTCAAGTTTTTTGAAGGTTTTTTAAGTTTTGTGGGGGTTTGGTCAAGTTTTTTGAAGGTTTTTTTATTTTTTATGAAGGTAGGGTAGGGGAGGGGGGTGCGGGGTTAGTTCAAAAAAGATAAAACTTTTTTTTGAAATTGTATGCCAATCAATTGGTGATACGCACTGGAATGTTTATACTAATCACCGTTTCTATAAATATTCAATCAGAAAATTTTACCAAAATTCGCTCATTAAACACGCCGCTGGGTCTAATTCTGGTTGTTTAATTTTGAATTGGTCAACTTTGCTTTCCCTAAAATCCACAGGGGGGGGGGACCAATTTCAACTTTTTTCGAAGAATTTTTTTGGGATGGAGGTCCCCCACTTCCGTTCACCCCTCCCCATTCAACCCCCCCCCCTTTCCCTCAGCGCCCGGCCCAGGTTGTACCTTTTTCAGTTTTAAATTTTTTAAAAATGTAGCTATTTATTTAAACTATTTTTAAATCCTTTTAATTTTGTGCCCTTGAGCGCAAAATTGCAATCATTTAACGGAGAATTTCCGCATTTGTCGCGCTTCAGGCTTTGGAAATGACAAAACACTCATGCTGAGGCCATTTTCACCTTGAATCGCCGGAGGGTGCGAATCGAGGATTTCCGTATGTTCCTTTCGCTTTCCATTTTTACTTTGCGCACTTTTCAAAATGAAAATGAATTTGCATATTTATAAAATTTTTTTAAATAAAGTTTATTCCGTAAGTAGAAGTACTTGTCCTTATATACGTAGAAGTATTTGTCCTTATACACACAAATGATGTTTTATGTTTCTGTTAGTAAATAATCTTGAGCGCAATAAAATTCGTTCGGCCCTCAGGGCATGAAATTATTTGCACTGCGAAAAAGTTTCAGTCTCTCGAAACAAGTGAAAGTATGCAAATCTGGCTCTCGAATCGATGTTATTGACCGTTGCATAAGATAAGTGGAGTTCGTGGTATGGGAGGCTGGAAAGAAAGTTGTTGCGCAGTTTTAATCTTGTGAAACTTTTGGAATTTTAGAAAATGTTGCTTTACCGTAACAAAATCTACCATGTTTTAGCTTAACATTCACTTAAAAATGATTGTAAGACTTTAAGGTGCCGACATAAAGAACCCGCCATTTTTTACAGGAAATTACAGGCAAAGTATGGCGGGTTCTTTATGTCAGCACCTAATAAAAGTAGCCATTACCCTTTTTCATACATTAATAAACATGTGGTCGCACGAGCCGTAAAAAATGTTGATAAAGGCGTTTCAATAGTGATAATTTCGAACTGAACGCCTGTCACTAATCACCTTCTTTTTATCGCTTATTAACGACAAGTGCGGTTTTAAGATGAGTATATCAGTTTTTTTAAAGTCAGTATAATATTTTTGAGAAAAAACTTTTTTAATCGCTAGTTTTCTTTTAGGCTTACCAGAATTTTACAAATGTTTTGGGTTTACGCTCATTTTGTTTTAGGCTTATTTGAATATTAGGCTTATTTTAAATTTAGCGTTGTTTTGAACTTAGGCTTTGATTTAGCTGACATTTGACATTCTGCTCATCTTGCCATTAGGCTTAAGTAAATTTTAGGCCTATTTTCACCTAAAAACATAACCAACAACATTACGTAAGCTAATGTATAATATCCACTATTACCGCGCTCATTCAACGAACTTGACGTACCGCAAAGCCCACTGACCTGTAACACGAGCCCATGGTTCACAAACATGTCCTCTTTATTACATAATCAGTCCTATTAGCGCCAAATTACTGCGCCGCGGCCCGGGAGAAGGGGCGGAGCCTGTGAGGGTTTTTCATAATGGTCAAGGGGAAGGTTCGGATTATGTGTATATTCGGTTTTTATATTACAATTTCAAGTGTTTTGCGATCAACCATATTGAGATTTGAGGGATTGTAGAATCGTAGGGACATGTTTTATAAAATTATTGTATTTTTGTTATTCCGCGTCAAACTTGACTCGACAAAATTTTGTTGGGCCAAGTTTTCTCCTGCTTTCGGAAAAATATATTTTTTTATGTTTCTTCTTCAGAAACAACTATATTTGATATTATTATTGCGTGAAATTGAGAAAAATTTAAAATATGTCATTTCTTAAGGTTATAGTTAACTTATTTAATGGATTAAATTTCAGAATTTTGGCATATTACATCAGCTTTCCAACAACAACATCTGTCCTTGCCGTGACCCAAATTCGGTACCTATTTGAATGTTCTTCCCTAGAAAGCGTCTTCATATTAGGCTGATGGACTACAAATGAATAATATGTTGTTGTTTCGAGTCGATTTTAAGATGTATATATTATTATGGATTTTTATTTGTGTTTTTGAAATTCCGGTGAATTCTCTTGATCTTGGTAAGTTGATTTATGTTTTTTGTGCTATTATGATGTTTTAAAGGTTATAAAGTGAGATTTTGAGTTTAAGTGTTTAAAATATGGGTAATATGCGTTGAGGCTTGTTTAATCTTGGTGTATCCTTTGATTTCTCAGACAAAAATCAAGATTTTTTGATAATTTTAGTATACCAAAGGTTTTAAAGGTTAATAAAACATAATTAAAACTTAAGTACAGCTAACCTAGTTCATTTATGTTTGTTTGCGAGCCAGAATTTCAAATTTTAAGTTAAAATTTTACCCTAAAAGAGTGACCAGTGTTTTCGAAATTCCCATCAAGACTTTTAATCAAATTGCTCGGCTAAATTCGGTTTTGGAATGCTAATAGATACTCAGTGAAAACATGGCAAAAAATGCGAGATACCAAGTGAAAACATGGTAAAATGCGAAAGTAAAAGCCCGGCTCATTGCGCGGCCATTCAAACCGATTTTAATTTCTCATGGGAATCGATGACCAACTTTGCTCAAGACACATGGTCTTGCGCAAGGTTGATCTGCTTAATTAAACTATAACATGATTGGTTTTGTGACAGGTTGAAGGAGGTATATCTTGGAATGTTATGAATGCATAATGTTTTATTCGTTTTTAGTGAAATAAGCTTGTTTCTACTTTTTTATAGCTAAAAAGTCATTGTTAGAACAATTAAAGTTTGTGACTGTTTAATAAACAGCTGTTAATCAAAAAATTACTTGTTTTCGGCCATCGATTTTATTTGATTTTGATGGAAAACGAACAAAGATTGATTGAAATAAACTTAATTTATATTAATTCAATTCCGAACTTGAAAGAAAACGCTTAAAATATGTTTAATTGAACTTAATTTGTCAGAATGAAAATTTAACGGATAATTTAGGCCAGGAACTTTTGGTTTGGTTTTAAAAATGCAAAAAAATATTAAAGTTAGTTTTAAATAATTATCCAAAATACACATATTGCTTTACTTTCTTGTAATAATAGACTGTCTAGGTAAATTAGCTCAAGTCGACCATAGTAAGGACACGTATTACAATAAGAAACCAAACAAGGTCAAACACTAATAAAAACACAAGGCTATTCTAATTAGAGGTGTCTTTTTGGTCGTTAAGTCGAGATGGTTTTTTGAGATAGCAAGGTGTTGTGTTTGTTGCAAAATGCAAGCGTTCATATAATTTTTTTTGGCGGTAGTAAAAAAATTAAAAAACAAATTTTTAATTTTAAACGTTTTATAATGATATTATGTTTTAAAGTTTGAGAGCATAAATAAACGGAGTAATATTGTGGGAATCTTAAGGTTATAATTGTAGTTTTTTTTTTGCTAAAGTTTTTGTTACTTGAGCGCTTTTGGCAATAATTACGAAAAACGGTTATTATGAGCCTTGTGTGAGAATGTATAGCAAGAATAAGAAACGAAATTTTAACGGATGTTGTCCATGTTCATTTTGTCTAAAAATCTGTTACAAGAAACCAATAATTACCTTGCATTATGCAACAAACAGAACCGGTTTCTGACATTTTCTAACCCATTCCCATATGGAAGTCAGTTCCGGGACCCTAATTGATGTCATAATGAGGCCACAAAAACCTGAGCGTGGCTTTGTTTTTTGCCGAAAGATTATAATATTAAAATATTCCGACCGATTTATAATTACTGGCGCGGTAATTGGAGATTACTGGGTTAGTTTGTTAACTGTTCCGAAATTAAAGAATTTGTTTAGGCTGGCGTTTAGGCTAAATAAATTAAGTTTGGGGAGCCGATTTGCTTTGATAATGAGCGTTTTGAATAAATGAGAAGTTTTTGTTGTAAAGTTTTTGCATTTTTGAAAATTGTAAAACATAGGAAAGAATAAATGTAAAGTTAGCAACATTAGTTTATTTTTAGTTTAAAAATTAAATTTTTAAATCATAAATCTGTTAAAATATCAAATTACACACTTCCGCGCGACCATCAATCAACTGTGATTGTCGCCATTTGCATATTACCTGTCACCTAGGCTTAATCCGAAGGAATTCGCCCTTCTGATCGAAATATAATCTTACCTATAAAGTGTAGGAAAACAAAGGAAAAAAGCCATTATTGGAGAAGATACATATAATTAAAAAAGTTATAAATGCAAAAAATTACATTTTAATAAGTTATAAATGATTGATTTTCAGAAAAATGCCCAATCGTCGGCCTAGGAATGGAAGACGGTCGAGTAACAGACGCTCAAATCACGGCATCTTCATCGTTCGACGCCCAATCGGTTGGCCCTCAAAACGCTAGGATTCGAACAGAGAAGGCTTCTGGAGCGTGGTGCCCAAAGTCTCAAATACGGAACGGGTCGTACGAATTCCTACAGGTTTCTTTCAACAAAACTCACGTGATTCGAGCAGTCGAAACCCAGGGACGTTATGGAAATGGCACTGGTCGAGAGTTTGCTCAACAATACATGCTGGACTACTGGCGACAAGGTACGACAAAATGGATCCGCTACAGATTGCGAAATGGTTCCGAATTGATTGAAGCCAATTTTGATACAGTCACACCGGTTTTGAGAGAGCTAGATCCACCGATAATTGCACAAAAGTTACGATTGGTACCATATTCGGTTCAGACTAGGACTACTTGTATGCGAATGGAAGTTCATGGATGCGAAGATAAGGATGGAATTCTTGGTTATAATATTTTGGTGCCTGATGCAATGGAGACGGAGTTCAAAGACGAAATTTTTGAACAAACCAGCTGGCAGGATGGTAATTCCAAAAAGTAAGTTATTATTTTTTAACGAATAATCTTTGTTATTTTTAGAGGTCTGGGTCTCTTAACCGATGGTATTATTCCTAAATACCCTCCAATCGACCCAATTTTTCACTTACCGGTGAAAAATTCAACCTGGCTAGCTTTTAAGCGACAAGATTCAGATGGCCGGATTCAAATTCAATTCGATTTCGAAGAGGATCGTCAATTTTCGGACCTCGAAATATTTGGCTTCGGACGACCAATAGACAAAATTGTGGCCGAATTTTCAAGCGATGGAATACTGTTTGCGAATAAAGTTGAGTCCGACTATCCTCCATCTCTACAACCTGACAAAATGGACCTTTATTCCGTTAGAGTACCGTTAAATGGTCAGAAGGCGTCTTTTATCAGGATTTTGCTCAACTTTTCGGCCGATTCTACGTTTTTAAGTGAAATACAATTTAACACAGGTAATAGTTTTTTATTTTTATTGTATATGAACGGGAAGATAAAGTTTGTATAGCACGAGTGTATGAGTTACACAAAAATGTTACACTTATTCATTTTTTTAATTATAATAATTTCTAATTGATAAATCAAGGTTGCATTAGACGAAAATTATCGTGTATTATGTTACATTACACTTTACAGGAAAACAAGAGTTGATATCCGTTGTTGTTCAAGATGAACCTGAATATCAACCGTTCGGTTAGTATATCGAGTGTAGTTTGTGGTTGTATATAGTTTTATAACCTGTTATGCTAACCGAATATTGTGGTTTTGTTAAGCTAAACATGTATTTTTTAGTTTTATGATTTTGATTTAGTTGTTTTCTGTTGATTTTTTATGATTAATATTTTGAGAGTGAACTTTTTTGACCTTTTTTATTTTACTTGGTTTAGTATTTTTGTAAAATTTAATTACTTTTTCATTTTTTAGATCTCAAAAACAATACAACATCGATCCTCGAAGACTTCTCGATAAATTCTACAAAACAACCAAAGTTTTACTACATCTTCATCACGATAATGATCATCATCTTCATATTCATGACGATTGCTTTATGTGGATTGTTGGTCTTCCGTCGGCGAAAAACCCACTCATCCACCGAAAAACTAAGCTCACTGGGTTCACCGTCGTCACGATCTACAGCCGCTACAACGATGTCGCGGGATCTGAAGACAAACACATTGATAACAACATTACCGCTGAATGGAGGCCAACCTCGACATGTTATTCACAGTCACAGTTTTGCTCCACATCATGGTTTATATGGCATGAAGGGGAATTTGTATGGTGATCATCGTGTAGCTGCTTCTAGTCAACGGTAGGGGTGATTTTGGGTATAAGGAGGATGCTGTGGGGTTTTATTTTTAGCTGTAACATTGTAAATTTTGACTTTTAGGTATAAAATTTAATTTTTGACGTTTTTAGCATTCTTGGCATGGCTCCACCATCGAGATCATGTAGTGGGACCCTTTACAAAGATCATCATCAACCTTCTCTATTAGACATCCATTTTCCACCTCCACCACCTTCAGATGCCTCAACGTGTCGCTTGGAACCTGCTATGTCCAACAGTTCATCAGAAGGAATCTACGCCGAACCAAGCGTGCCACTATTAGGAACGGCACGGCGAAGTGTAAACCAGAAAAGGCAAGTTCCAAAAACGAGGACTTTGAAAGAAAGCACGTTGAATCGGAAGAATAAAACGTTGCCTATAAGGTAAGCTTTCCTATTTTGGGATTAAAAACTAATTTTTTAGAGCAAAACAAGAAGAAGATGAACAACATTACGCGATAGCCAACTTCACCATGCTTCCCACCGATCGTCCTGCTTCAAATCCAAATTACTCAGCTTTTCATCCTTATCAACCTAAAACCAAAGTAATACCAAGAGCAAGTGTTCAATTCATTGAGAAAATTGGAGAAGGACGCTACACTCAAATCTTCTCGTGCTACGTAGCAGACGGTCAAAAACAGTACAAAGCTGCTATCAAATTTCAACATCAAGATGCAGAAGAAGCTCGACGTGCTCTCAACAACGAGTTGTTGCTAACATATGATCTTCATCACGCTAATATTAATCCATGTTTTGGTCAAACTGAAGATGGAGCGATTATTTCAAACTTCTGTGTTAATGGGGACATACGACAATATTTACGACAACTTGAAGTTTGCGATGGTCATACGAGTGATTTTTCTGGTACTAACGGTTCTGCTGGTACACTACCTCAAAACTTATATGATTGTTCGACTGGTCATTCGGATAAAAATGTCCTGAGCCATTCTCTTCAAAACCCGGATTCTTTCCGGAGCAGCACGATGAATTCAAGGCTAAATTCAACTTTTCCCACTTCTAGTGCGGGTGAAACAGCACCAAAATCAAGGTTAATACAATTCTGTACGGAAATAGCTGCTGGGCTGGCTTATTTGGAACAAAAAGGTATTGTTCACGGCCATTTAAGTCCGAAGTCTTGTCTACTGGATGAGAATATGACAGTGAAAATTGCGGCACCGCGAGGACCAAATCATCATGCGCAGCTGAGGTACAGCGCGCCGGAAGCTATTGTGATGGTAGGTTTTTACTGTGGTTTATAGGTAGTGTAAAGTAATGACGTTTTTTCTGTTTTTGTGAAATTTTTCGTATTTGAGGTAAATTTTTTGAATTATTTTATATTGTAAATGGTTTTAGAATAATTGGTCCAACCGAAGTGACGCCTACTCGTTTGGCATGACAGTGTGGGAGATTCTACACGGCTGTAAACTAGCACCATATCAAGATCTTTCGAATAATGCGTTGTTCGAAAATGCTCGAAATCAGCTGGAGGCTAGTCAGGCTTCGGTAAGTTTGCTAAGAATTTTTATGGAAGTTTGGGTTAATTTTGATAAGTTTATATTAATAATTAAAATGTTATAATTGCAAATTTTGGTTAGTTTATGTAAATTTATATATAAAAATTTTTTATATATTGCTTGTTTTATATATTATATATTTTTAACAAATTTTATACTTGTAGGTATACCCGTCATTCGATCGTATTCTTAAATTTGTGGACAAAGAGGTCGTTGACCTAATACAAGATTGCTGGTCCAGCTACCCAGAACAACGTCCTGGTTTCTACGAGATTCATGTCTTCTTTGTCAGGAAACAAATGGCTACACGATAGTTGTGGCCTAATTAAAGAAAATCCGGGTATTTTTGGCCGTTGTCAAACGAATTGACTTTTTATTTTTGCTAAATCTTATGTAATTAGGTATAAAATATGAAAAATTATACTTTGACACACTTTAGAAGGCCAGTTAGAAACTGTATTAAACTTTCAAATCCAGGGTATTTTGTTTTTCAAATTATATTATTCATGACGTCAAATGTTATTTTTGTTTTTTCTTCTTTGTTTTATTGTATTATTGTCTAGTATGCTAGTGAAAATGATTGTCATATCTTGTAGTTGTTTTGTTTTAGGGTTTTATTGTAGTTTTTTTGTCTTTGCTTAAAGTATAAACCAGTTTTCTATGGAAAATTTGCATTAAAGATGAGCAACGAGCTGGACCTAAAAGTTGGGCTTGGCCTGTTTCATGTCTAATTTTAATAAAACTAGAGCTTTGTCTAAAGGCTCTAGAATCAAATTAAACCCGTTTATATTTTAAAAACATAATAATTGTAATTAATATTGCTCGTGAAAGGTTTGAAACAAAAGTTTTCAGCCCCACCTCCTAAACTTTGACATTTCCATATATGAAACTGCCTATATGTACAGTTGTTCTAACCATAACTTTATTTATCACCGTCCATGATTATCATTGCCATGATTGTTACAAATTTATAATAAAATGATAAGATTATTGATGTTGGATGCTGTTCTACATTGTTTTTAAGTCAGTTTATTTCTTAACACCGAAGAACGTTTAATTTGTTCGTTTTTATTATAGCAACTGCGATTTTCTTTGCTTTTAAATGTGTTGATAGCTAGTTTACCACGCGGTTTGATAAGATTAACTTATATTTATAATTTTAAAACGAAGGTAATATATTTACAAAGCTATATTCTTGTTTATAAAGGCCAACTTGCAACGGTCGATAACTTATTTTGTGTTTCAAGGCCAGTTTTTGTTGAAAAATCAATATTTTTGTAACGTTTTTTGTCCTAAATGGAGCCGATTGGTGTTTTGAACTTTATAAAATGGATTTTACTGGTGTTTGCTCGTAGCTTATACCACAATCTTGTACCATATGAGTGGAAGGTCAAGAAGAACTTGACAGGAAAGGTTAGTCATTTTTTTTGGTTAGGCAACAACAAAAGTTTAAGAGATGGATTTATATCTGCCTAAGTCGACAAACTGACATAATTTTGTGCTGTATATTTCATATTATGATTGGTTTCAGCGAGTTTTGCTGACTGGAGCTGCAAGTGGTATTGGAGCAGCCGTAGCAGACCGCTTGGCTAAAGAACAATGTAATCTGGTACTATGGGACATCAACGAAGCTGGACTGAAGCGAGTTAAACAAGATTTGGAGCATTACAATGTTCAGGTTTGTTATTTATACTAGCTTAGGCTTAGTAGATATAAGTTTAGTTAGCTCAGGCTTAGTAGGCATAAGATTAGTAGGCTTAGGCTTAGTAATTTTAGGATTAGAGGTAATAAGGATTTCGTTTTAGATACATACACAAGTAGTTGATTTATCAAAGAAAGACGATGTGATAAGAGCGTCAGAAGAGTTGCTTTCTTCGGATATTGGTGATATTGACATTGTTTTTAATAATGCTGGTTGTATCAATAACAATTACTTTTTGGACACCAAGATTGAGAGTATGGACAGGTTAATGAATGTTATGTTGCTTTCAAACCTATACGTAAGTTATTTTAGGCTTAACTTTTTTTTACTGAAATTTTTTTTTAAAGTTATGGTGTTATATGTTGATGTTAAGGTTATTATTTTTGTCATTTTTAGATTGTTAAGCAGTTTTTGCCTAGAATGATCGAACGAGGAGAAGGTCATATTGTCGCGACGTGTTCTGTAGCGGGTCACCTTGGTCTCGCTGGTTTGTTTTTGCCATACATATTTAATAATTTACGTTTGAAAATGGCTTACCACTGCCAGTTTTAAAATTCAAAATATTTTAGAAATTGCTGATTATTGCGCAGCCAAATTTGGAGTGAGAGGGTTCATGGAGTCCTTGTACAATCAAATGGTTCTACTGGGACATCACAATATTCAGTTCACAACTATTTGTCCGTGGTATGTGAAAACTCCATTGCTGGATGGTCAAGTTCACAATAGCTTGGCCTTTCCACCGATCGAATTGGATGGACTTATCGACCGAATGATTCAAGCCATTAAGTTGAATGAAAGAGAAGTTTTATATCCGGCAAAATTGAATGTTTGGATGGCTATCAAGACGGTATTACCATTGAGTGTGCAACGAAGTATCTTGTTGGGGAGGTACTGCTATTCTTAAATAAAATAGGTTTGGTAATATTGAGTTTGCTGTACTATAGTATATTGTAGGTAGTGAAATAAACAGTAGAATATATAAAGAATACCTGATTAACCGAATGAAAGAGAATTTTACTAATTTGTTATATTAACGTTTTTAAGATTGGCAACGTTAATATAACGCCACATAATATAACAAAAAACAACAGTAACAGTTCTACCAATTCTTTACAACATGCACTAAGAGCATGTGTTTCTTATATTAACGTGATTGATGAATGTAGAAGTTGAACTCTAGAGTTTAATATGCGCGAGGTAACGGCAACATTATAAGTGTTGTAAAGTTTTTTTTATAACCGAAGGAATCATATATAAATATTCAAGCGACATAAAAACGTTAATAAAGAAAAATTACTGTAAAGGCGCAATTCTAATCTTGTTTTGTTAAACTGTAAAATAAAAAGTTGCGGCATTAAATGGTAATCATAGTTTATATAGCGTGTTTACAGTTCCAGAAGGCAGTTATGGCTGGGCGGGGGAGTGGGATCGTGTATTTAAACCTTTTTTTAATAAGGTATGAAAAAGACGAACATTTTGAATTTTTGAGTATGAACGACATCCTACATAGTTAATGTCTATAGCGTATATGTGGAAGTCAAAAACAACTGAAAGTGTATCTTTGATTAGCAATAATATTCAATTTTGTTTACAGTGTTGTTATTTTGTTTTTGTTAATTTTTAATTAGTTATTAAACTAGTACAAACGTCTACAGTTAGCTTATAAGCTTTTCGTACATGACTTTTTACGTTTTTTTAAATTTTACGTGGCTTTGAAAAAGCTTTAAGCTTTTTAGTTTGTTAGTACAGTACTCTCTCTATATAAGCAAACCGAAGGGACCGACATTTTTGTGTTTAATATAAGGGATTTTGTCTTTACAGAGAGATTTTTTAGTGCAAATTGACTTGGCTGGACCAAATTTCTTGGGAGAGTTGCTTATACAGATAGTTGACTATATAGAGAGGCCATTGTATCTACTGTTTACAGCATTTTCTCATCAAGATTTTAGAAACTTAAGTGAAAGAAGATGGGAATTACAATCATACCTCGTGTAATCGTATGGTTTTTGGTTGTGATGGCAAAAACAATGTACAGACTTGTAATACCATACAGATTTCAAAAAAAGAAGAGTTTAAAGGGAAAGGTAACTTCATAATAATATTTTTAATTGTCAGTAGAAGCTTATGGTTTGATCAGATCTCTTGGTAGAGTTAGTAAATAAATTGTAAACTGTTACAGAAAGTCATATTAACTGGAGCTTGTGGAGGACTTGGATCGGCGTTTGCACGGGCACTGGCTAAAGAAGGTTGTCATCTAGCTTTGTGGGACATTAATGAACTTGGTTTGAAAAAGTTAAAGATGGATTTATTGGATCAACATGATATTGATGTACGTGTAATGCAGACAGTTTTGATTTTTATTTTTCACTGTACTGTATCTATTAGGTGCTGACATAAAGAACCCGCTATACTTTTTCTGTAATTTCCGGTAAAAAATGGCTGGTTTTTATGTCGGCATCGAATACTTTCTAATCTGCTATATTTTATAGTTTTTTTTGTAATTTTTATGATTCTAGGCTTCTTTCTAACTATAATACCTCTTTCTTATTTTAACTATTATATCATACCTCTCTTCAACTACCCAACATAGTACTTTTAGGTATTCACCCAAGTAGTTGACATAGCAAATGAACAAGAAGTTATTCAAAAGTCAAATGAATTAAAATCTTTGTTTGGAGAGATTAATATGGTTTTTAACAATGCTGGCGTCATCAATGTAACACCACTATTGGAGACAAGCACCGAATTATTGGAAAAGCTAATTCACGTTAACTTAATGTCACATTATTATGTACGTTGAAATATTATACATGTATTAACTAAAACTTCAGATTATCAAGCAATTCTTACCAACTATGATAGAGAGGAATGAAGGTCATATTGTGGCTACATGTTCTGCTGCCGGCCACATTTGTCCATCTGGTATTTTTTCGAATTTACTTCTAGTGACTAAATATTTCATGATATTTAGATAGAACAGAAGGTTATGATATTTTTTACATCATTTCAGAAGTTGTTGATTACACCGGATCAAAGTTTGCTGTTCGTGGCTACATGGAAGCCCTATATCATCAGATGCTGGCAGCTGGGCATAACATAGAATTTACTACAATATGCCCATGGTAAGTCAAATTTTATTTAATAAAAAAAGTTTTTATTAAGTGCCAACATAAAGAACCCGCCATTTTTTACAGTGAAGTAAAAAAAAGTATGGCGGGTTCTTTATGTCAGCACATAGTAGTTTATACGATATTGCTATAAAAAAATTGATATATTATTATATATAATCTTTTTAATGATATATTCATATGTTATAATAAAAAAATTAAAGGTATGTCAAAAGCCCAATGTTTAAACAAGAAGAACACCCTAATATGGCATTCAACGCTTGTGACTGTGAAGAGATGGTAGAAAGAAGCATTAAGGCTATTCGATTAAACGAGAAAGAAATCATCTTTCCAGCTCATATCAACATTTTTCCCTATACTTCGTGGTATCTTCCCAATATGTGTTGGTAGAAGTGTTCTTTTAAGAAAATTATGTTATTCATGATATTATACATATTTAAAATTTTTGAGATTGATCTACATAACTCATTTTTTCTAACTTTACCATACAAAATACAGTAAAAATTAAAAATTGTAAAGTAATTTTATTGGTACAGTAAATTGTGCACATGAATAGATACAGTAATATCGTAAATATTAAACATACTTAAGAAGCCTTTAAAAGCAATATAAATACAAAATTTTTACAATACCTTTAAACTGCTTAAAGTTTGCTCTGAAGTTGTTGCTCCTTCATCAATTTGCCAATAGTCTCATGATGGAATGGCAGTACCTGATGTTTATTGATTTCCGAATTTTGAGCCCATTTCCATAAGTTTTCATAAACTTGGCCATCTTTTCGGCCGAGTTGAGAGTTCAGTTCACGGTCTTGGAAGTCAAAAGAATCCATCAAGTTTACGGCGTTTTTCCGTACTGCTTCTAGTGCTTTGTTCAGTTCGTCACGAGAGATTTCAGCTTGTTCGTGACTAAAAGTTGTCGTTTTTAACTTATTAGGTTGATATTGTTAACAAAATTTTCAAATTTTAAAGAATTTAGATAAAAACAAACCAAAATTTTTATAAAAAACCTATAAACCTTTTCCTCACCTCAAGTATCCATCCTCGAAAAGGTCAGCACGACAATCCTGCATTTCATAGTGAAGGTACAAGTGCAATAAATCACTCAATACTTCCTTGATAGCCCATGAATCCTCTTTTTTCACGGTGTTGATGAAGTTTCTGGTCAAGAATGTTCGTGAATGAGCTTTCGAAGCACGAGACAAGTCCAAGCCAACCTTAGATCTAGCCACTTCTTGTGGGTATCCTTTCTTCTGGAATGACGTCAACTTGTGATAGGCTTGCAGCGTGAGACGACGAGCTACATGTTCGAATCCATCTTGAACTGACTGCCATTGTTGTTCACGGTTTTGGCTCTTGTTCAAACTTGACTTGTTAGACTTTTTGTCAAATAGGTACTCGGCAATTTCACTGACTTTGCTGGTTGGACGACCTGCTACCATTTGTGGGGCTAACTTCATTAGGTATCTAAAACAATGAGATTAACAAACTTTATGACAAATTCCAGTTTTTTAAATAAACGATTTTCTCTGATTCATCTTAAAAATCGTATAAAATAATATATTTTACCTTGCCAACTGCAGCAACATGACCAAATTTTCACCTTCGTAAGTGCATCCACCGACCACAAGGCCGTAGATTTGTGGTAGAGCACTAGCGCATGTATAACCATGACCACCGCAGCCAAGACGACATTGTTCTACACCTTGAGAAGCTTGCCACGATACAACCAACTTTAAACCAGAGTTAAGGGCATGTAAGTCAGCCATTAATGAGGTCTGAAATTAAAATATTACATTAAAAATTGCGTAAAATTTCAATTTTTTAATTTGAAAATTTTAAAAACATGAAACCTTTGCAAACCGAGAAGCTTCGAAACATGCTTAACTTACATCTTTCTTCTTGATATCTTCCATAACTCTAAAGTAAAGATCTCTAGAGTAATGTCCAGCAAAGATAAAGGCATACGCTCTGGCAATCTGTGGCAAGATACGGTATTGATGCGTTTGGTAATCCTAAATCTTCACTTCTCCTTGGCTAAAAATTTTATTTTATGGTACTAATCTTTAAAAATTTTATATTACCATCGCTTAATTAATAGAGGTTATTTACCCCCTTAATTAAATAAATAAAAAATTACCCCCCCCTTCTGTCTTTCAAAAACTTTCACATACCCATCCAAAATCTCTCCTTGTCTTCTAACACATCCATATCTTGTAGCAATTGTAGCAGCTTGAGCCAAACCCAAGCCCATCAATCCTACCATCATAGATCGCACATACATCATCGACGTATATGCTAGCTTTGAGTGTACTGGAGCTGAAAACTTTCCTTCCAAAGAGACTTTGGAATGTCCCATCAACGTGTTCAACCGCGGTATTCTGATGTTATGTAATCGTAAATAGCCGTTGTCATTCGAATTAATCCCAATTTTCGGTCCAATATCTCCAACTTCAACTCCAGGCATTGGCATGTGAGTGGTCGGGTCTCTGATCTGTACCATAAAAGCATGTGGACCATAGCATTTGCCCAGAGTGTACAACTGTGCCATTACTACGATAAAGTTGGCCGATTTTCCCAAATTGCCCGGAATCCATTTGGCCGAACTGATTGTAGGTGAATTTAACACGAATTCTCGGGTTTGTGGATCGTATGTTGCAGTAGTTTCAAGTTTCTTCAAATTGGTACCATGAGCCATTTCAGTTTGAGCATAAGTGCCAATAAATTCGCCCTTCAAGGCCTTTGGAATCCAGATATTGGCTTGTTCTTCTGAACAATTACCTCTTAACATAGGTATGACCATTGAAAAGTGAATATATGTTTAGTCTTATTGCAATCATTTGTAATCCCGGAAAAAAATCTTTGTGTGTTGTTAGAACGGGCAATGATTTATCCTCAACCTATGTTTCATACAATTTTTCAAAATAATAAATTTGTAATTTAAAAAGTTTCGGGTTTTTAAACGTTGTGAACTAAGATGGTAAGAACTATGTCTACAAATCATAAAAAAGCAAAAGATTTCTGGAAAATGTTGTCAGTAATTTAATTCATCTTTTTCAGAAAATTGAGTAAAATACCGCTTTTATCAAACTTTTTGAAATAAATCAGAGTCTTCAATAAGTTTTTACACCTTTATTATGCACTTTATTCTACCGGGTCAATACCACGGATCCATTAATCCTTTCGTAATAAAAAATTGTGAAAAACCTCGTAAAAGCCGGAACTAACGAAACAATTAAAGGACCCACCTAAAAAGTTATAATATAGACTGTAAAATGTTCCTAATTTCTTCAAATTACCTAAAATCAACAAAAACCTTAACAAAAGTACCTACCTCGTTTCCATTCTAGTTCCAACCATGTTAACGACCACGTTGCTGTATTTAAGCGACCGACGAATACTCTCCTCGTCTTCCAAATCCCAAGCGTAAAACAAAATTTATCCCAGGTCGCCCACTACTTTCTGTACACGCACAAAATAAGGAACACATCTATATGACAAAATCAACTGATTTCCGTGCTTGGCCAAGCGATTCACAACCGGTAGACCCATGAAGCCGGCGCCGCCAAAGACGACAGCAATATTGCCAGAAAAACTGACACGACCACCCGCACCTTTCTTGAATTGAGCTACATTTACGGAACTAGCTGGGATGAGTATACAGGACAGCTTCTACCCAAAGAAAGCCATAATCTGAAAAAATGGGTAATAAAATTGGCGGTTGCAAGCAAAATAAGATTAAAAAAGTAAGAAAGCGCGTTTAAAACAAAGTTTATTATTTTACCAATAATTTAGACCCAAAATCCGAAAAATATGTACACACAAACCTCCAACGAAAGCCGATCTAAAACAACATCCCAAAAAAAATCAAGAAAACTTGTAAAACCGCTAAAAATAACTTTTTATATCCAGTATAATATAAACTAACAGTAAAGATTACATAAAATTTTTAAAAGTCGTATTTTACTTTGAATTCAACGTTTCAAAGCCAAATGAACTCATGATTCGATATCAACGAAAAATTGGAAAAGAAAACCCACCTATGTGACACTCCGCAACAAACACGATAAACCCGATAAAGTAATGACACTTCGTCTTTTCCTTTGGAATTATTTTTCTGGAACAGTGAAAAACGTTTGTTGATTAGTTTTGTTGATGTGGGTGTGTGCAAGATTTATATTGTTATAGATAGAGCCGACCGATTTTAGCCAATTTTATCGTTTTTACTCGAATTTTTGTTTAAAACTTGAATTTTAATCATTCTGTTTTAGTTTGAAGCCAGTTTTGCCTTCGAATCGCTTCTTGCGGAAGCAACTTTTCATCAACTTCTTTTGATCTGAAGCTATGGTAAGTGATTGATTCTTTTGCTTTTTCTGTGTTTAGATTGCTTGGGTACACGTTGTTTTTGCTGTAATAAAATGTATTGTGAAGTTTTTTTCGCTTAAGAAGTAGCGGATTTACTAACTTTTTGGTATTTTATTGTTAATTATCACGGGTAACATTAAGTTTATGATAGATAATATCAAAAAATCTTTGTTGCAAACCTACATATGTTTGTTAGGGATGAAAAATAAATAAATATTTTTGACAAAGAAATAAATAGCGATGTAGAAAATGCAACTTGTTTTGTTTTTACTTAAATTTATTGGTTGTAATCTTAGTTTAGTTATTGTTGCAGCTTCAAGAAAAACTATAGTATCTAATTACTTTTGTTTCAGACGAACACAAGAAGAAGTAGCTTAAATACGGTTAGAGGAGACGTTGCCTCTTTGCAAAGCAGGCAATCTGCACTTGAAATCAATATGATAAAAATGGCTGACGCTGTGGCAGATTTGGCGAGGGAACAGAAACGGACGAATGATGAAATTAAGTTGATGAGGATGGAAATAAGGTCGATGAGGATGGAAATAAGGTCGATGAGGATGGAACTAAGAAAAATGAACAACAACGTAAGCATTTTTAAGTTTATGCGGTGGGGTTTTTTCGCTGGAATAGTACAATGGGAAAGAATAATAGTTGCACGTAAAGAATATAATAGACATTTTTTAAAAATTTTGGAGTATTGAAATTAGTTTTGCAATACTCAGCCGAAAACGGCCCTAGTTAAAGAATTAGATTTTCTGAGTTAAAAAGTTAGGTTTAGATATAAACTTCTATTTTTATAGGCTTCATATAGAAAACGTTTTATATAGTTAACACAAAATGTCGCATAGTGCCTGTATGACTTCTGAAAATTTTTTATAAAAAATTTTATCATAGATAAATCTACGGATACGTATATCTGTTAGTTGTATTATCAGTGCAATCGTTGTATTGTTCATTCACTGGAATTCGTGGATCTAAAAGTCGTTATCATTAATGAAGTTGGTTTTGGTTTACTTTCTAGTAAACATTTAGCAAACATGAATACTTTTTTACAAAAAATGGAAGTTGAATTGTACTAATTACTACATTTATAATTAGTATGCTTGATTTATCAAAAAGAAATGTTTACTTATTGGAGCTGTAACGGAACGCTGAATGCGAGCTAATGTTAGGTGATTCGTCAAGATACAACAACAACATGTTTGATACCTTGTTTTGGCGCAGGTAGCTACTTTGTTATTGACTTCTTCCACTTTGTTCACTAAAGTCAACAACACAAAATTAACATAATAACAGGTAAGAATAGGTTTGACCACATTGGTGTAGTTCTGTATGGCTTAATACGTCTGGTCTCGTGCAGTGTTTTGTCTCTTCCAAATTGCTTGGGCGGTTCTTCTTATCTTGTTTTCTTTTCTACCAATTGGCCTCCGTCTGTTATCTAATTTAATATTCTTTTCTTGGCTATCTAGACATTTTTATTCTTGTGGCATAATTCCACTTCTTCTATGGCTGTCTCCACCGGTTTATTCGGCTTCTTCCACTGTCTTATCTTTTTGCTTCTGAATCTTTATCTAATCTTCACACCCGGCATTGTCATCTTATCTTCTTCTGACACGTGCTGCTGAGTTTGATATTGTCAGCCTTTTTCCACAACCAAATTTTTGCACAGTAAATTAGCGCTGGTTCTATGCCGATACTGTGGTGGTAAGCTACCTTTACCTGTACCGGAGATCTCTGTTTATTCATCAGTCATTGAAGTTCTTGAGATTTGCATCTACCACTTGCAATCCTTCTGTCTATTTCCACTTTACTTTCACTTAAAACATGATTTTTGTTAGGGCCGAGCCCCTCACCAAAAATTTTATGTTTAGATTTGGCTCAAACTTACACTAATGCATACTAATGTACTCATAAAAGCTTTAAACTAAAAATTTTACTTTGAGTTAAAGTATTCTGGTGAACTGTGTTTTGATTTGTTATTTTCAAAAAGTTTTCGTCAGAAAATCTTAAATTTTTGTTTTTTTCCTAATAAGTCACGGCTTTTATTGTCTTGGCTGTATATGATAATACAATTGTTTCTACTAATAATCACACTTTTCAGAAATGGAAGGAAGTTTTGGTCCAAGTTTTCGCCATAATGGTGAGCGCAGTTGTTAGTTTCCTTGTAGGAAAAGGCCTTGAAGAGCCATTTAAAGGCCTGGCGACACCAAAATTCAATGGAACCAGTTTCGACGAAAACACGTATGTTCAATTTTTTAATTTCATGAGCCATTTTTCTATAAAAAAGTATGTGATGTTAAACTAAGAAAATTTTATAATAACTGTATTTTCAGAAATGCGGCACTTGCGTTCTGTGGATTTTTTATCCTACTTGGGTTAGTAGTTGCTTTGCTTTTCTTCCTCAAGGAACGAATCCACCAGACCGTAACGGCTTCATCTGCTCCAGATCCCCCTTCTAACTGAAGCAAAAGTCCGCCAGTGCAGCCCTGATATCGACCGTCAAGTTCGAAAAGGTCCGTGTCCTAGCTTTTGCTCGTCTTCCAATCGATGTGGTACCAATCGTGGTCGGTGCTTGTTTGGCCGGTCTTGTCGTTGTGGTCCTGGTGGCTTACCTGATCGGTCGCGCTCGTGCTCAAAGATATGCCTCGGTCTAAGTTTTGGGGGTGTTTTTTGAAATTTCAAGTAGTTTTGGGTGTTTTTGAAAATTTGGCTTAGTCTTGGTCGGAAATTTGACTTTTTTTTGAATATGTCTCGGGTGTGTTTCTTCAAATTTCAATATTACTTTGAAATTTGACTCAAAATTGTCATTTTTTTCAAAAATGTAGCCATTTAACTTGAATTCCTTTTGAATCTTAATTTTAATTTTCAAAATTTTAATTTTTAAAAAATGAAAGTTTTGTTTTTTATTTTCTGAAGTTTTGTAGTTTGCCAGCCTCCATTGTATTGTAAATTCAGTCGTTTATATCATTATCTTGTTGTAGATAGTTATTTTTCAGTCATTTGTGATATGTACCTTTAGAACGGGAAGTTTTCATTTATCCTCAATGTTTTTTCATTCTCAATTTTTTTAGTAATAAACTTCTATTTAAAAAACATTTGGTGTAAAATATCAACAACTTTGTTTACAGATTCAACTGACCCCGACCATAAGTAGCTGCCTATAACAATATAAGGCCTAAAATGACATTTTATGCTATTAGCCTTTTAAAAACTTTGTTCTTATATTAATGTCAAATCAATTTATGTCAGTTAAAGAAGTCAAAAGGGTATGGGTATGACGGAAACATTTATTCTCGCCCCGAGCAACAGCTGGGGGTCAATGTTTAAGCGAGGTTAAGCGGCCGGTTTTTGATGCCACATGGCTTCTGTAGGTGCAAAAAAACAAGATTTGGCAAAAATGTATAAAGAATTTTGAGTTAGCCGTTAAAGGCCATGAATAATATCGCTTTAACGGGGGTTTTATTAGGCTTTCAAGCTTTGTATGATATGTTTTGTAGGTTAAGATGTTTGACTATGCTTATTTTTTTCAAACAAGATGTTTGACTATGCTTATTTCTTCAAAATTTGCAAAAAAATCGAGACTTCTTGCCGAAAAAGCATTTTGCGTCAACTTTTTCAAAGTTCGGTCGGTTTTCATGGGAAATGTTAGTTTTAGGTAACTAAATCTATTTCAGTTTACGTCAAATTTTATATATAAATAGTAGAAACACCTCTTTATGTTATAATTTAAACACGTTTTCTTTTTATTCCAATCACACTAATTATTGACCAAATTCAGGGATCAAACGTCAAGTGTAATATAAATTTGTGTTTTGTATTAAAGCGCAAAAACTTTTTGATTCATCAGTAATAACAGACGTTAGTTCTTTGTTTTTATCAAGTTTTTAAGTTATTATTTGTATTTTGCGTTTTGTATTTGTAATAGTTTTGACGTTTTCGCGTGATCAACGACCATTTTTATGTATATAAAACAACTTTTGCTCGTTATACGTTTGAAAATTGCTTTAAAACCTTGCTTTTAAAATTATTTTGTTGCAAATCAAATGATCTTACTGATTAGAGTAATTAAGTGCATTATTTTAGATCGGAAGTGAGTAAACAATCGTGTTCTTGCATGCCAAAAACCCAAAACCAGCATGATGAATATTGACACGAGGACTTGGTGGACACGTTTTTGAAGTTGAAGCACATCAATAAGAATGTCTTCAGGTATGTGTTTTTCCCTTTCTTGTTTTGGTTTTTAGATCTTCGGTTGGACTTATTCGAAAACTTCCTATTTTAGCTCAACCCACCAACTCCCAGGCCGAAAAGATGGTCATCGCGTGTACGGTGGCCAGGTCGTGGGCCAGGCGTTGATGGCCGCCAACAACACGATCGATCCTGTCTTTCATCCTCACAGTCTACATTGCCAGTTCCTTGCCCCGGCCGACAAAAGCATACCTATTGTCTACGAAGTGACTCGAGTACGAGATGGTCGTAGTTTTGGTACTCGATTGGTACAGGCGAAACAGAACAAAACTACGGTATTTACAACGTCAATATCGTTTCAAAAAGTGGAACCAGATTCGATTTGTCACGAGCCGGAAATGCCGAAAGTCCCACCGCCGGAGGAGTGCGAAGACGTCATGACTCTACTGAAAAGGTAAGATTTTGTAGAAGTGGTTATATTTTAGTATGTTTGATGGTCACAATGGGATTAAGAGACACCTTGTGAAGATATGCCGAAATTTTTGTAGAAATCTGTAGCTCTTGTCAAAAGTTATGGCGATTTTGTGTACCCTATCATCGCATATTTGTCATATTAGTAGTAAACCACTATTTTCTTATTAGAAATTCTTCATTACGCCATTCTTTTTGCATCTATTTTAATTTTGATAAACCATTCTTATGATATATCATTTCAGAATGCTAGACGACCCCAAATCCGTCTCACCAGAAGGCAAATTGGCGGCAGATCAATATCGACGAGTACTCGAGCTACCAAACATTTTCGGAATCAAAGTGATAACACCGAAAAAGTACATCAATGTTCCGACGAACCGGCCAATGAAGTTTGCTGGGTGAAAAGTTTGACTCCACTTGGTGATGACGAACATCTACATCATTGTGTCGCAGCATTCATCTCGGATGTAGCCCCAGTAGGCACACCATTGTTTGCGAATGCAGCGGCTGGATTCAGGCTGGGGATGGCAGCTTCATTAGACCATTCTATGTGGATTCATCGACTTGACTTTAGAATCGACAACGATTGGGTACTTTATGAAACGGAAAGCCCTGTGGCAGGTAAGGCGATCTTAATGTTTTAAATTTAAGTTTTTAGGTACAAAAATGCGTTTTTATTTCAATTTTAATACCTAAAATTTTAAATTTGGTCAATAATGGCTTGTTTTTCAGCTGCAAGTCGAGCCCTGATTCATGGAAAAATGTGGACCAGAGACGGCCGACTAGTACTGTCAACGGCCCAAGAAATCCTGTTACGGGAGGACCGTGCCAACGAAAATGGATCCGTTTCAGAATCCCGGAAAAGCTCCCTGGTACCAACCTAGTCAAACTTGTAAATATATTGATAATAAACATTTTTATGGACTAATTTTTGGTTTTTATGGTCAAGTTTTACTTTTTCAGGCAAAACTTATAAAGTTGGGATTCAACAATTTGTAAAAACTAAAACTTTGTTAACTAATTTAACGCACCACATCCCCCCCGGAATAACTTAGGAGTTTATTTACTCAGGTAACCATACAATAAAGCGTGGTAATTAACGAAGATTTAAAAAAAGCCATCCAACAACAATTCTAACCACGATTCCAAAATCCGCATTGTGAAAATTGTAAAAAGTGCTATAACGAAGCCACGTAGAAGAAGAGGTAAAGCTCGTCTCTATAAATTGAATACAAAAATATTTGCAAAAATGATACGAAAGAACATATAGCAGCCGACTGTACAAAAAGATTGAAGATTTAGACCGGGCCTAAAAAGTTAGGCCCGCGGGCCAGGCTTGAAAATCGGGCCCGGCCCGTTACTCATGTTTGTAAGAGAATCCTAGTACTGACCTAGTTAAACATATAAATAATTGAAAAAAAAAGATAATGAACAATTATGGTGTCTTGCTTTTTACTTTTTTGGGCATAACAAAATAAAGCTTAAATTCGAATAAAATTGACAAATATTTTTTACGAGGGAAAAACGTTCAATTTTCATCCCAAAAAGACTGAAGACTGCGTACAAAAACCTCAAAAAATAAAGGAAGATATCAAAAAGAATGCCCAAAATGAGCAGAATACTGAGACCAGCCCAATGTGTGCAAAAATGCAGAAAAAGGCTATAAGCATTCACAAATACTGGAAATGACATACATGGATTTGGCTGCCCATACCTAGGGGCGATTTTTTTATGGGCGATTTTTTTGGGCGATTTCCTGAAGGGCGATTTCTTTATGGGCGATCCAAAATATTTTTTAAAAAATACCCTTTTGGCCTTACCTGACCCCATTCCTGACCTTTTAGGCCCTACCTGACCCTACCCTTGACCTTTTTGGTCCAACCCAACCCTGCCCCTGACCTTTCTGGTCCAACCCAACCCTGCCCCTGACCTTTTTGGTTTAACCTGACCCTACCCCTGACCTTTTTGGCCCTACCCAAGCCTAACCCTGACCCTATTAGCCCTACCCAACCCTACCCCTACCCAACCTTACCCCTGACCCTATTAGCACTACCTGACCCTACCCCTGATCTTTTAGGCCCTACCTGACCCCATTCCTGACCTTTTTGGTCCAACCTGACCCTACCCCTGATCTTTTAGGCCCTACCTGACCCCATTCCTGACCTTTTTGGTCCAACCTGACCCGACCCCTGACCCTTTTGGCTTTACTTGACCCAACCCCTGACCCTATTAACCCTTCCCAAGCCTACCCCTGACTTTTCTAGCCCTACCGAACCTCACCCCTGATCCTATTAGCCCTACCCAACCTCACCCCAGACCCTATTTGCCCTACCCAACCCTACCTTTGACATAATAGGGTCAGGGTTGGGTAGGGCTAATAGGGTCAGGGGTGAGGTTGGGTAGGGCTAGAAAGGTCAGGGGTAGGGTCAGCTAGGGTTAGAAAGGTCAGGGGCAGGGTTGGGTAGGGCTAATAGGGTCAGGGCTGAGGTTGGGTAGGGCTAGAAAGGTCAGGGGTAGGGTCAGGTTGAACCAAAAAGGTCAAGGGTAGGGTCAGGTAGGGCCTAAAAGGTCAGGAATGGGGTCAGGTAAGGCCAAAAGGGTATTTTTTTAAAAATATTTTGGATCGCCCATAAAGAAATCGCCCTTGAAGAAATCGCCCAAAAAAATCGCCCATAAAAAAATCGCCCCTAGGTGTGCGTTACGATGCATTTGATAAATAAACCAGCTAAAAGTGGTTTTACAATAAGCATTTGACTAAAATGATAAACGTGGACAATTGGGAACAGCTACAATGGATAAGCGTGGCTATAGCCAAGCATGATTTTTAGACCGGGCTAAAGCTAAATAAAGTGAAATTTAAACCTAGCTCGAAAAAAAATAAAATAGCCCGGCCTAAATGCTAGGACAGCTAAAGACTGACTGAAAAAAATACTCGTTTAAATTTAAAACCAGAAATTATATCAAGAGCTCCTATAAACCATTAAAAACACCGCGTGAATGTGACAAGTAAAATCATAACTATGAAAAACCCTTCTAAATCGCTGAAAAATCACATTTTACTAAGTGCTACCCATTTTAAAAGCTTGCAAAGACTAAGGAAGCTATATATCACACGGAAAATATAATAAAGAGATTACGAGATAATACCAGAATTGACGATTCGGGCCATAAGTTCCGTGTCTTGATAGTACAGAAGTGGCTTCGCACTGAAAGTCAGTATTCATTATTATATTGAAGTTTAACACAAGTCAACAATATATAATAATACTACTAAAAATTCACAAAAACACAAAATGTCAACTTACCATGTAAAAGTATAGCCAGGCCGGTTATTTGAAATAGGGTCAGTAAGGCAGATTAAAGTTGAAACAGTTTAAAACAGTGTAGCGCGAAGCTTCAAAGTAGGGTAGGGTAGAGTAGGGTAGGGTGGAGGCGAGCACAAGAGACGTCCAAGTAGCCTATGATCACAGCAATGGCACGTTGAAATCTGTTCACACAAAAATAGCTTCTGAAATTTTTACGACTATTTTTTTTGCAGCATCCACACATTGTAACTCACCGGGAAAATAAAAAAAAGATGAAAATCCTTCCAACTTGTTCCTTCTTCAATGAGGTAAAAAGGTAAGCATATTAATACAGCCACCCTTTCGTTATAGTATACATTCTGAGACACCAAAAGGCATCCGTTGTGAAGGGAGACCGTAGAGTAGAATTCAAAGTCACTGTAGAGTGGAATTCAAATTCACTGTAGAGTAGGACTACTGCTATAAAAGCGCGTACAGTTTTGATATAAAACTGTAAACACTTTTAGTACAGCCACCTTTCGTTATAGTATACACTCTGATACCCCAAAAGGCATCCGTTATGAAGTAGAACTGTAGAGTAGAATTTAAAGTCACTGTAAAGTAGAATTAATAAATATAGAAGCGCTTACAGTTTTGAATAGAACTGTAAACTCTTGTGCATTACACAGAATTTCCGTATATATTTAAAGACTAAATAATAAAACTCTTAAAGTTAGCTTTTTAGATTAAAATATCGAAAAATGAAGTAAAAAACGCAATCTACGTGACAGTCTTTAAAAATATACAGAAACCCTGGTAGTGCATTCCAAATTAAGCATTCCAATTAAAAATAAAAAACATCTGTAGAATGTCATCCAGTATTGCAAATCCAATGTGTGTGTGTGTGTGTGTAGGCTAAAAAGAAGTGGACGAGGATCTGAAAAATAGCATTAAGATTCAAGAACCAAATTCTGTAAAAAGTATATAATAAAAAAAGGATTAGATACTATTCTACTGAGTATTCAGCGAAACAAAAACGCTCAATGAGAACGTTAAAAACGCTATGAACATATTTTCTTTAAAAAACCACGAAACGTCCTCGCAAAATTTGACGTTCTATGCCAACAATCAGGCAATTTGGCAAAGAAAACTGGCCAGGTCGGTTCCTAGTGGAAAACTTCCGTTGGAAACCAGCTCGGCACGCTTTTTGAGAAAAGTAATTTTTATTGAAATTTTGTGGCGAAGTCTCGGCTTCCACTTTGTTTAACCTCAAACTTGTGTTTATAAATCTCAAAACTTGGGTCAATAAACTCTTGGAAACCGATCTGGCAGGTTAATAAACCCAAGCTTGAGGTTAAACAAAGTTGAAATCGAGACTTCGCCACAAATTGCCTGATTTTGGACGCGTTTTGCGACAGAACGTCAAAGTTTTGCTATGACGTCGCGTGGTCCTTTAAAAGCGCTATAAAAATACGTTTTTTAAATCTTACAGTCTACTCCTATACCGAGATCTTTCAGAATTAGAACTCGATGGTCTTGAGCCGTGCGGAAACAGAGTAATCCCCATATGTTCGTAAAATCCCTTGTGCGCCCAAATGAAGTTCTCTGCTCCATTAATTTGAGCCTGTTGGTCGGTTTTGAAGAAATTGTACACCCTTTTATAAACATTAATCGTCATGCTGATGACTTTCATATCGTCATGCTGATGACTTTCATATCGTTATGCTGATGACTTTCATATCGTCACGCTGATGACTTTCATATCGTCACGCTGATGACTTTTGTGATATAAAAAACTCTTTTCGGATTATTCGAATAAAGATTTAAGTATTGAACTTACATCTCTCCAGTCACTGATAGAATAGCGGATGCAGTCGGAAACCATTTGTCCCCTGGCCGGGCAACACCACTCCAGTGGATAATGTTGACTATTTTCCGTAGTCAGCGCAAAACCGTTCGGGTTTATCCGTCCAGTCGTGCGCGGATGTTTGTCATTTAAAAATGCCACCAGGCTCTGTGGCACATTGGTGGGCGCCCTAGAAAACGACGAATATGGGGTGGGCCGATCCGAAAAAAATTACACAGGTAGGTACCTGTACGCGGAAAAACGAAAAAAAATTTTTTGAAAAATCGGTCCACCTGTGGACTAAAAAAAATTTTTTCGACCTCCCCCCCCCCAGAGAAAAACCGTAGCGACGTCCCTGTTCACGGATGTCTTTGCTATAATTCCCATCGCTCTTCTTCTCCAACATTTGCGCGTGCGGCTAAACTATTGAGATTTGACACTACTGAACCTATATTTTGATATCATACCTAAACATAAGCTAAGGTTTCAAAAAAGAAGCAAAAACGAATAAAGATAAACAAAAATAACCTAAAATAAGATATGATCATGAAAAATTAGATGATTCAAGCCTAAATTGATGTAATACAAACATTTTAATTAGATTGATTAACATATCAACCCGCTGATCTATTTATAACATTATTTTACGCCATAACACGAGCGATCGATAGAATCAATCAAAAGCAAAGTAACACAGGTCATAGCTACTATATTAAAGACGATAAAGATAATTTTTAATTATTTTTCAACCAAATTGGACCCTCATTTTATCTATTTTACAAATTTTTCTCGAGTTATCTAGCTTTTTCTCGAACAAATATTTATCAAAAAGCCAAAACAGACTTTTCGTGTCGGGACCCAACGTTATCAGACGTCAGCATTGCCAATGGCCAAAATTAAGGCCATTATGGAAAGTTAACGTATTTTTGATCAAATTATAGTGAAAAAATAAGAACTGATCAAAAAATATGATCCTTTCTGTAACTCAATGTTATTAATATCATACCAACGCAATAAAACAGATTAGTCGGACATTCGATACCTATTGTTATAATAAGCATAAGTTGTGATCGGATTAGCTAATTCTTTGAATGAGCAATGAAATATGATCATAAGATTCTGTTAAGGATAAAATTGGCTATAATTTTGTTTAAAAAAAATAAAAAAAACAGATAAAACTTTGTTTACAGCACAAGAAACTGCAAAAACTTTGTTTACAGTAGATAAAATAGCAAAAGCTTTTTTTACAGAACAAAATATGGCAAGAGCTTGGCACACAGTCTTAAAAACAAATTAAAGAATGTTCGGCCCAAAGTGTTCTAATCTTATTTCCCCTGTATCTTACGCCCCTCCCCTTTTTTGCTTCTAGAATTCAGCCAAACAGGGTGCGAAAAGACGCCGATCACATGACCAGATGAAGAACGGTTTAAAAAAGCCCGAACGTTTCTCGCAGCAAATAAATAGAGCTTCCGTTACATATCAAGAAATGCTGATAACTTTGTTTACAAAACAAAAAATGGCAATAAATTTCTTTACAAGTTATAAAATGGCAAGAACTTTCTTTACAAAACATAAAACAGAATAAAAAACTGAAAATTAAAAAAAAACCAAAACTACAGAGAAATAACAATAGTTTATTGTACAGAATAACATAATATTTATATATTACACGTGTTTATCGACCAGTTTTGCGAGTGCAACGACCGTTTTGGTAGTGTTTTGAAGGTTTTTCCGTTCCAGAATGTCCGTCACCGTGCATAGGGAGGTCTAAACTTGATTTTTTAAAAGTTTTCAAATCCAAAGTTCAAAAAAAGTTTTCAAATTAAAATTAGAATTTTTTTAAAATTAAAAAAAAATTTTTAAAACTTTTATAAAATTAAACAATAATACTTACATCTGACACACCATGACTTCTGCAAGCTACAATAAAGTTCTCCACGTTCTTTCGTGCTCGAGTTTGGGCTACTGACTGAAAAGGGCAAAAATGATACCCAAAAAATAAGAAGAAATACAAAAACGTTGTTTACAATCCAAAAAATGTCATTATTTATATCGTGTTGCCTTGAAAATACAAAAACTTTCTTTCCAGTATTATAAAAAGCCCAAAAGCTTTGTTTCCACACAGTGTTCCCCGAACTTTTCATAATCAAGCGCACCGTTGCTTAACTTGCCAGATCGGATGGGACCGCGTTTTCGCACTGTGCGACAATGACAAATGGCGCTGCACGGTGCAGAGATTGATTTTTTGGCAATAACTTTGTTTACAATGGTAAAAAAATAACCTTTGTTAGTAATTTTCACCATTTGAAAAAAGTTTCTTTCCAATTTTTTTGAAAATCAAAAATTTTCAAAAATTTAAAAAATCCACAGAAACCCCCAAAATATAACCTACCAAGCTTCCCAACGCCTTTCCCACCGTCGGTATTGTTCTTGGCCAAAGAGAATTGACAAAGTTGCACAGAATCACTCCGTCTGCTAGTTGATATGCCAGTTTTTCTCTAGTTACCTCCAGCTTCTCCGTCACATGTTTCTGAAGGATTTTCCTCAAAACTTCGACCGAACTTGATGTTGTTGGTGCAGTTCCATTCAGATTCATAACCGACTGACTCATTTTACTTTGAGGTAATTGTGTCTTTGGTCTTGTGGTCAATTTTTGAGTCGATAACGTTGTTCTGTCGATGCTCTGGGCTTTTTGGAATTGTTTCGGTGGGGATGGATTTCCATTCAGCTCTTTTTTGGATTCTGGAGCTATCTGAAAATGAATTTCATTAAAAAACTTAATTTTAATTTTTAAAATTGAAAAAAATTTCGTCTTTTTGAAAAAATTAGCAGAAACTTTCTTTGCAAAACAAAAAATGGCAAAAACTTTCTCTACAAAACGAAGAATAGCAGAAACTTTCTTTACAAAACAAAAAACGGAAAGAACTTTCTTTACAAAACAAAAAATAGCAAGAACTTTCTTTACAAGACATAAAATAGCAAGAACTTTCTTTACACAACTTAAAATGTTTTTTATCATATAACTTGTCACTCGCAAGCTGCACAAACCCAATTTTTCAAACAAAAACCAAAAACCAAAAAAAATTATTTCCATGCCAAAAATTTTAAAAATCAATTTTAAAAAATCATTTTCTGACACAAAGTTCCCTGTAAACAAAGTTTCTTCCTTTTAAAACCCCCTGTAAACAAAATGTCTTCCACCTACCGTCCTGGCAGTGAATTTCGATCCAACCGGTTGAATTTTGGCTCCTCGTCCTGGTGCAACTGCTTTTCGCACGACTTTCGGTTCTTTAGTCGCTAACGACATTGTGCTCGAGCTGCGAGACGACATCCTACTCGATGTTGTTGAATTTGTGCGTGACGACAGAGTCGACGGCCGCGTCGACGGAAGTTTGGTGGCCGTTGATATGGAGCCGGATCGAGTGATTGGTCGGGCGGGCCGGGTCTGTAAATGTTGATTTCGTTATTTTAAGTAACGAAATTGAAAATTTTAAGTAAAAAAAGGTAACAAAAACAAAATTTCAAGTAAAAAAATAAAATTTTAGGTATTAAAAATGAATTTTTAAATTATCGACCTCAAAATTACCACTTTCAGTAACAAACTAAAAGTTTAGGTATCAAAATCCAAAAATCTTAAATTTTAGGTAACGAACTAGACTCTTCGGTAAAAATTTCTATTTTAGGCAACAAAAAAATTTCCATAAAATTTAAAAACGCAAACCAAAAAAACCAATTTTAGGTAACAAAATCACTAAATTATCATAAAATCCAACTTTTAAGCCTGAAAACGTTATTTTAAGCCTAAACTCCTACTTCAAGCCTATAAAACCTATTTTAACCCTAAAAATCTTACTTTAAGCCTAAAATCTTATTTCAAGCCTAAAATCTTATTTTAAGCCTAAAACCTTATTTTAAGCCTAAAAACCGCATTTTAAACCTAACCCCCTATTCCAACCCTATTTTAAGCCTAAAAACAGCATTTTAAACCTAACCCCCTATTCCAACCCTATTTTAAGCCTAAAATCTTATATTAAGCCTAAAACCCTATTTTAACCTAAAAGTCACAATTTTAACCCTAAAACCCTTATTTAAAGCCTAACATATCATTTAAAGCCTACAACCTTATTTTAAGCCTAAAATCTTATTTTAATCCTAAAACCCTATTTTAAGCCTACTAAACCCAATGTTAAGCCTAAACCAACTTTTTCCAGGCCATTCGGCACGGTAGTTCCATTTTCGTTGGCTGTTCCAGCCGTTTTCGCCGTTCTCGTAGCGGATTCCGTTGGACGAGACGGAGCGCTGCTTAACTTCGCCTCTTTGACCGCGGCTTCGCTCGTTGCTGTAGAGAAGGTCTTGGCGCGGCCGACGTTGCCGTTTACAGTATTGTGCAAATGAGTTGTCGGTGGCTTCGTGGTAACTGAAACGGTATTTTTGTTTACAAGCGACATGATTTGGGAAAACCTCTGAGGCCTCGACACATAAAACGTGACAATAGCCAAACGTTACATTCAAAAACGTCGTGCGCAGTCTTTTTTAGGTTTCCGGTCTCTTTTCAAAATTTTAAAAACTTTTTTGAACTCCAATTTGCCGCTGAATAATTAAGTGATTTAGATGACAAAAAGATGGCTTTTCTCATAGGTAACAATAGCTTTTTATAGGTTTTATAAGGCGAAATTGGTCGCTGATTAGAAAGCCTTTTTGAGACCAAAATTTTACTTTTGCTTCACATTAAAGAGCTACACTAACATCCGTACTATGAGTACCAAAAGCACACCAGTATTATGGGTACCAATAGTTATTATATTATTGATATTGTGATCATTCAAGACGAGCACAATGACCTTTTTTATAGATTTATTAGGTGCCGACATAAAGAACCCGCCATTTTTTACAGAAAATTAAAGGCAAAGTATGGTTCTTTATGTCTGCACCTAATATATTCAAGTTACTCCTGAAAAGACCAATAAGAATGCAAAGAAAGAAGAAGCTAAAGCCGTTTGAAATAAAACTAAACCCAAAGCCAAATTATATACCAAGATAAACCTAAAAGGATCTTATAAACCTAAAAAAAGTACCATAGCCCCGTATAACACAATTAAAGTACCAAAATAACCCAACAAAGGTACCATAACCACTCACTTTCGACCTTTTCGTTGTTTTCTTCAACTGTTGGCAAAACTTTATTAACCGTAGTTGATGACACTCCATTTGCTCTTTCCCTTGTCAACGGTGGCACAACGTTCGTTGGACGCGATTTCAAAAGTCGTTGAGCATTGTTGTTGCTTAGATCCAACAAACTGGTCGAATGACTTGGAGATTGAACTGATGATATTTGAGTTGCTCTTAATGTGCTGGCCTGGAATGTAGGTAATGCAATAAGTACATTTAATAGTCTTCTTAAAACCGACTTTCTAAACTTTGTCAAAAACATGAAGTTTATCCAAAAAACCACTTTGAAAAATAAAATGTTATGTTATACATGACCCTATCGCATAAACCTTTCATAACTATGCCCAAACTGATTATACAAAACTGTAACTTCTAAAAAACGTTGACAACATATCACCTTTCATTTATGTCAAAAATCATAGCTATTCATCAAACTTTTCCTAAGTTATGGCTAAAAACCCGTGTTTCATACCGACTATCATGTATAACATAACATTTTTTCATGATTTCGTACCTAAAAACCAATAAAACAAAGAAAAAACTTACCAGTGACTGCTCATAAGTCTTCTGAATCTCATTTACCAAATCGCTTTCTTTTAATGTCACGTCATTTGAATTTACATCAACTTCATCGACGTAACATAAAGTCTTGGTTGAAGCGTTGAGTTCGTTCAATCCCAAGTTGATAGACTAAAATAAATACTAAAATTAGTCGAAAAAAGTAGCATTTTATCAATTTAACTATATTTTTAATTAATATTTTGCTTAAAGTTCAGGTTTTATCAAAAATTATTTTAACCATGCCTTTTAAGTATTAAAAAAGCTGTAATTCCTCATAACTTTACAAAATCTAAAAGCTATTATACAAAACAGTTAGAACATTATGCTATAAACATAAAATACAAATATCTATCTATTCTACACAGCTTTACATCCATTTACACTCTATTCATAGAGTCAAACTTAACTCATCTACTATAATATAAATTTAGCCCAACCTCCAAATTAGACCTAAAATTTACCTCCAACTGATCTCGAAGATCATCTCCAGTCGTTATGTATCCAGAATCCGTACCATTGAAAGGTCCGCATCTTACAGTTGTTGTCAATCGTGAACTTCTCGACCGCCGTTCTATCCTTTTTTGCTCCAAATTCCTGTACTGGCTGAACCAAAAAAGAAACGAAATTAAAACCAAAGGGTAAAACAAGCAAAAGGTAGCAAAAACATCTGGCTAGCTTGTAATAATCACCAACACCATTAATTTTAACAAAAAAGTTTGCTTTCAAATAAAATTTAAAAATATTGAGATAAAATGAAGTCAGATTAATATCGCTGAATGCCGCTGTTCCTATGCGTTATTACAAGCTAATCAGTTTGAGAAAAGTTATTCCTATATTACACATAAAAGAGAAAAACCCCATCATTAAAAATTCAAAAACTTCAAACAAACTTGTCCAAATCACCCACAATTTTGCGACAATCATCCTCAAACCCTTCCTTATCTTACAGCCAAGAAGCACAAAGAAACATACGGTAGAACAAAAGTTACGACACAATAAACATCAACAACACCTATAACAACAAGACTGACAAAACATTTCACATTATACACAAAATCACGTCCTTTTTCTTGACAAATAACAAATTGTAAGTAAGTTTGATGGATTTTATCTATTTTCATTAATGTAACAATAGTAAATATAAAATTATATTAATCAAGACTAGTTGATATAAATTATTAAGCAGAAACAAGTATATTGCAGTTGATTACTGATAAAAAGCTGGCATTATAGCTGATAGTCAACAAAATTTTAAGGCTAACTGAGATTTTTGTAAAAAATTTGATAAGGTTTTAATTTGCGACGGAATGCCAAGAAAATATTTAAACTGCGAAATTGGCGGAAATTCAAAATGCAATTTTATAAGAAAACTGTGTAAAATGTAAATGATAAGATGAAGACCGGTAAGTTTGACCTATATAAAAATTTTTAACCCGTATTAACTATAGTGTCCAGAAGAGATTTTTTTGATCAACAATATTGTTCATACGATTAACTCCAAGATTTTGAAAAATAACTCGTTCAACCAGTACAATAACCGGAATAAACCTATGAAATAACTGAAACACACGCTGAAAACCTTTCCAGACTTGATAAACTCAAACAAAACTATCGGGATTATGAAGAAACCAAGGATAATCATGAGGACAACAGTGATGTTAAGGTTAATCTTGTTACCACGCAAATCTATGGTAATATCAGGTAAATATAGAATGTCCGAAAGTTTTGAACTAAAGTTAAGATCCCTAATATTGTTATAAATAGTATTTGGGATTGATAACAAATTAATGACATTGACTTTTGTCACATTAAAAACTTTTTCCTCTTGCATTGGATCCGACGGTGCTATAGATTTCGAGTCAGAGCACGATGAAGCATTCATACTTCTGCACCCTGAATCCATAGCATGAAAACTAGAATCTATAGACAATCTTTCAAAGTACTCCACACTATTTTTTATCGACCGGTTGGTTTGATCTAACTCATTTTTCATTACCATCTCAGACAATTGTTCTTCTAAGCGTTTTAGATGCCCTAACTGTGATTCTATGTCATTTGTCTTTAAACTCTTTAAAGAATCATCTACTGTAATATCTTCAGAAGCTTCTACAGAATCCCCTGTGAGTTTTTTGGTTAAAATTTCCCGAAGACAAGACAAGATTTCGGCAAAATTCTCAAAATTAGTGTCGCACCTTCCTCGATCCGAGCGGCGAATCGTCGCGTTCAGAGTGTTGGCCCTGTTGAAATCGAGGCCATACGAGCTGTTAAGGCCAAAAGCGTCACAGCTGGCTGTCAGAGCATGATCTCCATTCATCATACGATCCGTTATGTTGTTGTTGGTATGGTTGTCATCAATTTTTGTGGACAACCATTTGAAAATGTGGGCTCGGCCCCGAAAAGAAAAATTTTGGAAACAAAAAAAATTAGGTAACAAATATTAAATTAACTTAAAAATAAACTTTTTAAATCCCAAATGTAAATTTATATCAGAAAAAACTTTTAATTCAATGTCTTACCCGTCTAACCACATTCATAGGCGGCTCGATCAAAGGATTTCCATCCACTTTAAAGTCCACACAGCCTCCAAGCTTACAGAATTCGACCGGTAATCTAATCAGTAAGTTGTTGCCAAGATCCAGAGACCTTACATTCATCGTTCCAATGTCTTAAAATGGCAAGAATCTCGATTAGAATCGATAAAAACGTAAAAATTGGCAAAATTTTTGTCAAAATTAGCTTTTTTTAAATTAAAAAAAATTTTTACAAGCTAAAAATAAAAACTGCCATTTTATGATTCGCATAGTCAACACGCATTATGTTAGCTACATTCTGACACATTTTCACAAAGATCGAACCGAAAATACGACTATAGCATCATTTTATTAAGCATGACATCACAAAGACCCCCAAAATTCAAAAATTTTTAACAAAAAATACCATTTTTAAATAAACCAAATCCAAAACCACCCTACCTCCAGGCAAGTCCTTTAGCTGATTCCCTCTTAAGTTCATTACTTTCAGTTCAGTCAATACCGACAGCCCATTTGGCAGAGATCGTATTTTATTCGACGACAGGTCAATCTCCTCGATGGTTGGGCCCAGATGTCGGATTTCGGCCGAAATTGACTGCAGTCGATTTCGTGACAGTAATAGCACTTTCAACGGTAAACTGAAGAGTACATCTGGAAGGTCGGTGAGGTGGTTGTCACTTAGATCCAGGTATGTTAGGCTTATGAGCGACGAAATGGCCGGAAGAATGGTTTTTAATGAATTCGATCGAAATTCTAGGGTTTCTAACACTCTGAGTTCACATAATGTGATGGGGAGTTCGGTCAGGCAGTTTGAGCTGATATCTGCAAAGAAAAGCAAGTTTTTGAACAATTAAAAATTTTTAAAATCCAAATTCCCGCCAACTTTGGCATTATGCACTAAATTTTGAAATTTGACATCAGAAGCATTTATGGCCCTTTAATTTCCTTTGACAACCCAAAAATGTCATATCTTTTCATTTACCGTCTGTTCACATTTTTGAATTTTAAACTTCCCGCCAACTTTGGCATTCTGCCCAAACCATTTTTAATTAAAAACCCAGCAATGCCATTTCATTTTAAAACCCATAAACATACCAAAATCAAAAAATCAACACTTTGCCCCAAATTAACAATGATCTACACCAATTTTAACTATATTAACCTACCTGCTTTGATGAGATCACTAATATCGGAACTGGCTTCATTCGGGAATTCTTTGAGCTGACGTTGTGATAAGTTAAGAACACCGGTTAGGAAAGCGTCATGTAGCACCTTTTCACATGGCAATTTGAGCATCTAAAAAATATTCAATCCAATATATTGTTTTAGGCTGACTTGGTCATAGTTAATATAATTTTTTGCAACTTTTTCGAAATCTTTAATATTAAATACGTTACAATAGTAATTGCAAGATCATGAGGAGTATTTTACGGCATTTTGAAAATTCAAAAAACCGCAGAAACTTAGTTTACAAGCCGAAAAGTGTGTAAAACATCCAAATTTGGCCGCACTTTGATGAGTTTTACGTCATAAGCAATGAAAAACCCAAATATTTCAGTCATTACCTTCATATAATGCCATTCCAGTATCTACTTTACAATTTACAACAGTAATTTACCCCCACCCCCTCAGGAAATAAAGCAAAGTATCAAAAAACACATTTGCAACGGCCACAAAAACTTGTCAAGAACCTGGAAAACAAATAAAAAGCGAGTTGAAATGAATCATCTCCCTCAAGCAACATATCCGACATGATCAACTGAAAGTAATAGCCCCGATTCACATTTATCATTAGGGTAGATAAACATAAAATGGCCAGAACTTTCGTTACAGGGCGTGATATGGCAAAAAATTTTGTAATACGACAATTAATGGCAAGAACTTTCTTTACAATATGAAGAAATGGCAAGAACTTTCTTTACAAAACAAGAAATGGCAAGAACTTTCTTTACAAAAGAAAAACTGGCAAGGACTTTCTTTACAAAACAAGAAATGGCAAGAACTTTCTTTACAAATCAAACAACCAAAAAAATCCAAATTCATACGTAAAAAATTAAAAAATCTTTAAAATCAAAAAAGACCCTCTACAAAATGTGCGAAACTAGAATTTGTTACCTAAAATATCAAAAATGTTTTAAAAAATATTATTAAAATCTTCATTTCATACCTAAAAGTACGAAAATCTTCAAAAAATTATTAAAAATTTGAAAAATCAAAAATTTATTACCTAAAAAACCTTAAAACTCAAGAAAATCCCTCTTAAAATCCCCAAAACCGGTTGAATTAACTGTCATTTCAAAGCCAAAAATATTAATTTATCTATATGCATACCTAATCATTCAAAGAACATTCAATTTGACGCCCAAAATCGTCAAAAAATATTTAAAAATCCACAAAACAAAATTTGTTACCTAAAAATATAAAACTCAAGAAAATCCCTCTTAAAATCCCCAAAACTCAAAAAAACCAAGACCAAAAATATAATTCTATCTATATTCATACCTAAACATTCAAAGAACATTCAAATTAATACCTAAAATCTTCAAGAAGCATTGAAAACTTCGATAAACAAAAGTTGTTACCTAAAACTCAAGAAAATCCCTCTTGAATCCCCAAAACCCCTTGAATTTGCTGTCATTTCAAAACCAAAAAATATAATTCTATCTATATTCATACCTAAACATTCAAAGAACATCCAAATTGTTACCTAAAATCTTCAAGAAACAGCAGCAAATTAAAAAAAAACCTCAGACAATCAAAAAAAATTCAAAATTCATACCTAAAACCCTTAAAACTGAACAAAATCCCCTTTAAAATCCCCAAAACTTTCAAAAAACCCTTGAATTTGCTCTCCTTCCGAGGCCAGAAATATAATTTTTCCCAGCTTACGCGCCCAATGTCCATTTCTTGTTTTACCCGCGAAAAGAAATGGCAATGAGGAGAGAGAGGGGGGATCGCTCTTCGATCACACTTTCCACCTGTCCAGCTCTGTCGTGTTTATTGTATATAACAACATGTAGATTTGGGGAAAGTAAGTCGAAGGGATCGGTTTCAAACGGCTTTTCGCTTCTATGTTAAGGTAGACGGTTTTGAACATGTTTTGGCTTGTAAAGTGAGGTTTTTGGGAGAAAGATGGAAATTTTTAGGTAATAAAACGATTTTAAAAGGCAAGATCTTTCTTTACAAAACAAAAAATAGCAAGAACTTCCTTTACAAACCAAAAAATGGCAAGAACTTTCTTTACATAACAAAAAATGGCAAAAACTTTCTTTACAAAACCAAATATGACAAGAACTTTCTTTACAAAACAAAAAATGGCAAGAAATTTCTTTACAAACCAAAAAATGGCAAGAACTTTCTTTACAAAACTAAAAATGGCAAGAACTTTCCCCTCTCCCACCAAGATTACAATGTACGATAACGTAGTAAATTTTTCGACGAAAAAAAAATTTCCCATGTAATGTCATAACCCATAAAATAGGATAATTAGTCAAATAACTGATATTACCACCCCCTGCTGTTTCCTTTCGAATTATAATTATATTACACAGATCATGCTTAAAACAACCATCTGTAGAGCTAGAGCTAACAATTGTAAGGGTAAGCCTGGGTAACTCTAGGCTTGGGGTAGGGCTTAGGCTAGGACTAGAAAAGGCTTAGCTAGACTAGGGCTTAGGCTAGGACAGGGAAAGGCTTGACTAGGGCTTAGGCTAGGACTATAAAAGGCTAGGCTTTAAGCTAGGACCAGAAAATGCTTGGCTAGGCTAGAACTTAGGTTATTACTAGAAAACTCTTGGCTAGGCTAGGATTTAGGCTAAGACGTGGAGCTAGGGCTCTGTAATAGAGCTCTGGGCTAAGGCTTAGGCTACGGCTCTGGCCTAGGGCTCTCGACTAGGGCTTTGGGCTAGGGCTCTGGGCTAGGGCTCTCGGCTAGACTAAGGTATCCATGTGGAACGGTCCGGGCCTACCATCGAGCCGGGCCTGAGCAAAACTTTGGACAGGTCGGGCCTGGAAATATCGGAAAAGCCCGGCCCACTTCCTCGTAAAACACTTCGGGCCGGACCTGAGCAAGCATAACTTAGATTGGTCCGGGCCTAAAATTCAGGCCTGCCCATTCTCCGTGTCTAGACATAGGGCCATTGCTAAAGCAACTTACAGTATGAAGAGTGTAGTTTCCAATAAAATTGTCACTCAAACCGTACTCAAAACTGCAATTTCGGCGTTTCGCATTGACAAAAATGCTGTTTAGACAAGAATTGATCGACATTACACTCAATTTTCAGTGTAATATAAGGTTGAAATTAACTTTTTAGGTAACAAATAGTACTTAAATGCGTCTGTATGGTACAGAAAGATCTATGTATGGTACTCAGAGATTTCTGAATAGTACTCAAAGTCTTTAATATGATACTGTTTAGCACTAATAGCCCTACAACTGGCACTAATAGCCTTTAGTTTTGGAAAAATGCAATATTAATCACCAGATATTACTATGAATAATATGTTTCGAAAAGTGGTTAGAATCAAAGAATATCTGATAAAATAAAAAGATAAACAGAAGAGAGATCGAGAGCAATATTTTAGGTATAAAAACGATTGAAAAACATGCGATTTGTTTATTTTGGATAGTTCCTTTTTCAATTTGGATTTATATTACTTTAGATCAATACCCTATCCTACCCTACATTACCCTACCCTACCCTACCCTACCCTACCCTACCCTACCCTACCCTACCCTACCCTACCCTACCCTACCCTACCCTACCCTACCCTACCCTACCCTACCCTACCCTACCCTACCCTACCCTACCCTACCCTACCCTACCCTACCCTACCCTACCCTACCCTACCCTACCCTACCCTACCCTACCCTACCCTACCCTACCCTACCCTACCCTACCCTACCCTACCCTACCCTACCCTATCCTACCCTACCCTACCCTACCCTACCCTACCCTACCCTACCCTACCTTGCTCTATCTTACTATACCTTATTGTCTCCCGTTTCATTGTACCCTATCGTAGCCTACCTTACCTTATCTTATCGTACCTTGTGGTGCCGTAGCCTACCGTACCATATCTCATTGTACCCTACCGTAGCGTATTGTATCTTATCCCATCGTACCTTATCGTAGCCCATTCTATCCTACCTTACCGTACTTTACTATGCCTTACCGTACCTTATTGTATCCTATCGTACTACCCTACTCATATTATACTCTTAGTAAAAGTAACCCGTATAAGTCTAAAAAAGACATTGATAAAGTTAAGTCGTGCTGGATAGCACGCTCGGAAAGACCATTCTTGTTTTTTAAGAAGAAATTGAACTTTTTCTCCTTGCCTTTTTTGACCAAACTAAAAAATGAAAGAAGGTAAGACTTCTTATATATTGACATTGGTCAATTCCTAAAAAAACTAATTTTCGAGCTTTTTTGGTGCTATTTTACGTTGTAAAGAAAGTTCTTGCCATTTTTCGTTTTGTAAAGAAGGTTTTTGCCATTTTTTATTTTGTAAAGAAAATTCTTGCCATTATTCGTTTTGTAAAGAAAGTTTTTGCCATTTTTTATTTTGTAAAGAAAGTTTTTGCCATTTTTCGTTTTGTAAAGAAAGTTCTTGCCATTTTTCGTTTTGTAAAGAAAGTTCTTGCCATTTTTTGTTTTGTAAAGAAAGTTCTTGCTATCTTTAAAAACACACAAAATTTGTGTAAAAAATCATAAAAATGAAAAAACACTCCCTCTATAAAACAACCCTATATTTTTTACCCCTCCCTCATTTTTTTCCCAACATAGTACTTTTAGGTATTTACCCAAGTAGTTGACATAGCAAATGAACAAGAAGTCATTCAAAAATCAAATGAATTAAAATCTTCATTTGGGGAGATTAATATAGTCTTTAACAATGCTGGCGTCATCAATGTAACACCACTTTTGGAAACAAGCACTGAATTATTGGAAAAACTAATTCACGTTAACTTAATGTCACATTACTATGTACGTTGAAATATTATACATGTATTAACTAAAACTTCAGATTATCAAGCAATTTTTACCAACTATGATAGAGAGGAATGAAGGTCATATTGTGGCTACATGTTCTGCTGCTGGTCACATTTGCCCAGCTGGTATTTTTTCGAATTTACTTCTAGTGCATATACATATATTCATAGTATTTATGATATTTTTTACATCAAAGTATTACCTAATGTTGTAAATGTTGAAACTTTGTTAAAGAATTTTTCTAATATTATCAATGCTAACTCTGATATTTCAGAAATTGTTGATTACACCGGATCAAAATTTGCTGTTCGTGGCTACATGGAAGCCTTATATCATCAGATGCTGGCAGCTGGGCATAACATAGAATTTACTACAATATGCCCATGGTAAGTCAAATTTTATTTAATAAAAAAAGTTTTTATTAAGTGCCAACATAAAGAACCCGCCATTTTTTACAGTGAAGTAAAAAAAAGTATGGCGGGTTCTTTATGTCAGCACATAGTAGTTTATACGATATTGCTATAAAAAAATTGATATATTATTATATATAATCTTTTTAATGATATATTCATATGTTATAATAAAAAAATTAAAGGTATGTCAAAAGCCCAATGTTTAAACAAGAAGAACACCCTAATATGGCATTCAACGCTTGTGACTGTGAAGAGATGGTAGAAAGAAGCATTAAGGCTATTCGATTAAACGAGAAAGAAATCATCTTTCCAGCTCATATCAACATTTTCCCTATACTTCGTGGTATCTTCCCAATATGTGTTGGTAGAAGTGTTCTTTTAAGAAAATTATGTTATTCATGATATTATACATATTTAAAATTTTTGAGATTGATCTACATAACTCATTTTTTCTAACTTTACCATACAAAATACAGTAAAAATTAAAAATTGTAAAGTAATTTTATTGGTACAGTAAATTGTGCACATGAATAGATACAGTAATATCGTAAATATTAAACATACTTAAGAAGCCTTTAAAAGCAATATAAATACAAAATTTTTACAATACCTTTAAACTGCTTAAAGTTTGCTCTGAAGTTGTTGCTCCTTCATCAATTTGCCAATAGTCTCATGATGGAATGGCAGTACCTGATGTTTATTGATTTCCGAATTTTGAGCCCATTTCCATAAGTTTTCATAAACTTGGCCATCTTTTCGGCCGAGTTGAGAGTTCAGTTCACGGTCTTGGAAGTCAAAAGAATCCATCAAGTTTACGGCGTTTTTCCGTACTGCTTCTAGTGCTTTGTTCAGTTCGTCACGAGAGATTTCAGCTTGTTCGTGACTAAAAGTTGTCGTTTTTAACTTATTAGGTTGATATTGTTAACAAAATTTTCAAATTTTAAAGAATTTAGATAAAAACAAACCAAAATTTTTATAAAAAACCTATAAACCTTTTCCTCACCTCAAGTATCCATCCTCGAAAAGGTCAGCACGACAATCCTGCATTTCATAGTGAAGGTACAAGTGCAATAAATCACTCAATACTTCCTTGATAGCCCATGAATCCTCTTTTTTCACGGTGTTGATGAAGTTTCTGGTCAAGAATGTTCGTGAATGAGCTTTCGAAGCACGAGACAAGTCCAAGCCAACCTTAGATCTAGCCACTTCTTGTGGGTATCCTTTCTTCTGGAATGACGTCAACTTGTGATAGGCTTGCAGCGTGAGACGACGAGCTACATGTTCGAATCCATCTTGAACTGACTGCCATTGTTGTTCACGGTTTTGGCTCTTGTTCAAACTTGACTTGTTAGACTTTTTGTCAAATAGGTACTCGGCAATTTCACTGACTTTGCTGGTTGGACGACCTGCTACCATTTGTGGGGCTAACTTCATTAGGTATCTAAAACAATGAGATTAACAAACTTTATGACAAATTCCAGTTTTTTAAATAAACGATTTTCTCTGATTCATCTTAAAAATCGTATAAAATAATATATTTTACCTTGCCAACTGCAGCAACATGACCAAATTTTCACCTTCGTAAGTGCATCCACCGACCACAAGGCCGTAGATTTGTGGTAGAGCACTAGCGCATGTATAACCATGTCCACCACAGCCAAGACGACACTGCTCTACACCTTGAGAAGCCTCCCACGACACGACAGACTTTAAACCGGAGTTAAGGGCATGTAAGTCAGCCATTAATGAGGTCTAAAATTAAAAAATTTATTAAAATTTTCAATTTTTTTTAATATTAAAAATTTCGAAAATATCAAAACTTTGCAAAAACTCATATCTAAACATAAGAAGCTTCCAAACTTGCTTAACTTACATTTTTTTTTTTGATATCTTCCATAACTCTAAAGTAAAGATCTCTAGAGTAATGCCCGGCAAAGATGAAAGCATACGCTCTGGCAATCTGTGGCAAGATACGATATTGATGTGTTTGGTAATCCAAAATCTTCACTTCTCCTTGGCTAAAAATATTATTTTATGGTACTAATCCTTAAAAATTTTATATTACCATCGCTTAATTAATAGAGGTTATTTACCCCCTTAATTAAATAAATAAAAAAATTACCCCCCCCCCTTCTTTATTTCAAAAACAGTCACATACCCTTCCAAAATTTCTCCTTGTCTTCTAACACATCCGTATCTTGTAGCAATTGTAGCAGCTTGAGCCAAGCCCAAGCCCATCAATCCTACCATCATAGATCGCACATACATCATCGACGTATATGCCAGCTTTGAGTGTACTGGAGCCGAAAACTTTCCTTCCAACGAGACTTTGGAATGTCCCATCAACATGTTCAACCGCGGTACTCTGATGTTATGTAATCGTAAATAGCCGTTGTCATTCGAATTGATCCCTATTTTCGGTCCAATATCTCCAACTTCAACTCCAGGCATTGGCATGTGAGTGGTCGGGTCTCTGATCTGTACCATAAAAGCATGTGGACCATAGCATTTGCCCAGAGTGTACAACTGTGCCATTACTACGATAAAGTTGGCCGATTTTCCCAAATTGCCCGGAATCCATTTGGCCGAACTGATTGTAGGTGAATTTAACACGAATTCTCGGGTTTGTGGATCGTATGTTGCAGTAGTTTCAAGTTTCTTCAAATTGGTACCATGAGCCATTTCAGTTTGAGCATAAGTGCCAATAAATTCGCCGTTCAAGGCCTTTGGAATCCAGATATTGGCTTGTTCTTCTGAACAATTACCTCTTAACATAGGTATGACCATTGAAAAGTGAAGTCCATATGGGTAACCGTCATCTCCGCACAATAACCTTAAAAGGTGCATATAGTACAATGATATATACACTTATATAAGTACTTTTTAACTTTGATATTGGCTTGAACCAAAACTAGCGGGACACTTTTTAGTTGAAAATAAATGAAAAAAGTGTCCGCTACTTTTGGTTCAACCTTATAGTAAGCCCACAAACCAATTTTCAATAAACAAACCAAAAAATAGCCAAAAACCTACGATCTCAAGTAGTTGTACTCATAAGGCTCGTCCATATTGCAAATTTTCGGGGCATGTTTCCGCAAGACTACTGTATTCCTAGCTACCCGTTCCAACGTTTCCAGACGAGTCAAAAATGAAAAGTCACTAGAACATTCCTTCAGCTCTGGTACACTTTCAACATAATTCTGAATTCGTTTTCGCGCTTGCACAAACTGTTCACCACCATACAATTTAGCCGCCATTTCCAATGTGTTGAAAGGGCATAAGCGGCGTTCGGCCGCCAAATCCTGATTTTGATTTGGCTCTAGACAATGATTTGCCATTTTTGTGGGATAACGTACTATAATAAAAATTTTAAAATATATTTGTTTGAATAAAAAATAGAACTTATCAAAAGCTGATAAGGCAGTTTTTAACGATATTAGTTTTTAAATGAAACTACAGTGATCTCTCTATGTAGTAAACCATCTGTATAAGCAGCTCTCCTTATAGTAAACAAGAAATTTGGCCCCGCCAAGTCAATTTGCATTAAAAAGACTCTCTTTAAAAACAACACCCCTTATAGTAAAAACACAAAATGTTGACCCCTTCGGGTTGCTTATATAGAGAAAGTACTAGATACGAAAATGATCCGCAATACCTTAATCACCATAAGTTTCGAACCTCTCTGATTAAATGTAAAGCTATCCTCAATCAATAAGCTTCAAAACTTATCACTGATTAGAAAAATAACCCTTTGAACTTTGCAAAACAATTCGAAATGTTTCAAGGAACATTTTGTAATTTCGGTTCTTTCCGATTAACACATTAAAATAGTAAAGAGAAAGAAGAAAAACATTGACAAATCGAACATCTTTAATTTTTTTAAAACTTTGAAAAAAGGGGGTACCTAAGTATACCACGTTCAAAAAAAAGGTCCAACTCTACACATGATCCCACACCAACCCTAAAAAAATTTTTAAACTATCGTATATGGTTATCATATATTATTAAAACCCAAATTATGTTTCCATTTTGACCCAAATGTCACAAAAACAAGTAATGAATACAAAACGCTTTTAAACCGATGAATAACAGCCACAACTACGAGGGTTGTAGCTTACCCTAGCCGGTCGTTTCGCACCCATTGATAGGGGCTTCATAATATAAACCGTGTATTTTGAGTATTTAGAAAACGCAGCTTTTGTGAAAATGCACAAAACACAAAGTTTCACATCCGCTAATTTAATCGACCGTTTAAAATTTTACAAAATTTAGTGGGTAACACGCATTTTAACTACACTACAACAGTAAAAAATGATATTTGAACTGACAAAATATAATAGAATCTGGCAATAACTATATAAAAAATCGAATATAATCTAGCTACAACTACATATTAAATACTAGGTTGTTCACTTAATTCTGCCCCCCTTCTCAAAGCAAATTTGTAGAGTACTTATATATATTATTATTTTATATATTATTTTAAATTTTTCGGCTACCTAGTGCTATGTCTGAGACGACGCTTAGCGTATTATAAAACAAATTATTTTGAGAGATAAGCGTTTGCTGTGTAGCACAAAACATAAGATAACATGTCATATGTGCCTACGAATCTAAGACGTGTGGTTTTTCAAACTGATTTTTATTAAAAGTCTATATTTCATTAATTTATTACATATAATAAAACATTTTTACAATTTGCTTTTTTCTCTGGCATCTCTCATCATTTTCCCCAGAGTCTCATGATGAAAAGGCAAAACTTCATGTTCGTTAATACTACTCTTCTGTGCCCATTTGTACAGATTTTCATAAACATGCCCATCAGCACGTCCCAATACAGAAACAAGTTCACGATCGGCCAGATCAAAAGAATCCACAATATTTACAGCATTTTTCCGGATACTAGTTAGCACTAAATCCATTTCTTCTCGTACAGAGTGAAGTTGAGTATGCGACATGTAGCCGGTTTCGAGGAGATCAGCACGACAATCAAGGACTTCATATAGTAGATACAGGTGTAGAATATCGCTGAGAATGGGCTTTATTGTAGGATCGTGCTCTTCGTGAACACGCTCAATGAAGTTGCGGGCGAGGAAAGTGCGAGTATGAGCTCGAGAAGCCTAAATTGGTAAGTATATGTATTTGTTTAGTCATTCAAATTTTCAAAAAGCTCTAGATCTTTAACTCAACATACGAAAATGATGACAAAGTTTAAATTCAAATTTAAAAAAACGTTTAAACCATACCTTCATGAGATAGACAGCAACTTCATTCCAAGCCAATTCTGGCCTCATTCCAGCTTCCCTCAACTTTTCGTATTTGACATAAGCATAGAAGGCCAGTTGTCGCGACACGTACTCAAAACCGTCCTGGAAGTAGGTCCAGTTAAGCTCACGAGGGTTTTCAGCATTATATTCGGAGATCTTGTTCTTGACCGCTCCTTGAAAGTAATAGGCTGTTAACGGCGATGGTTTGTAGTCTGGATCATTGGATCTGATTTTTGGAACTAATTTCACGATGTACCTGAAATAATTTAAAATTGTAAAAAAATTTAATTTTAGAAAAAAAAATTTTTTAATTAAAAAAAAAACTAGTTATAAGTAATAAAAAAATCTTTTACCTTGCTAACTGCAGTAACATGACCATGTTTTCTCCTTCATACGTGCATCCTCCTGTTGCTATACCATATATCCTCAAAAAGCCTCCAGCTTCACTATAACCGTGCCCACCGCATGCCATACGACATTGCTCTATACCGAGAGATGTCTGGAAAGATACCACGGCTTTAAGGCCTGACCCAAGAGCGTGTAAATCGGCCATTAATGAAGTCTGAAAGATATTACAGTAATTTCAAAAATATTACAGTAGTTTTTTTAAATTAAAATTTTTAAAATTTAAAAATTTGTATGCTTTTAAGTTGAAAAGACAGAGATATGATGACTATAGACAGCACTTACATCGCCTTTGCTCAAATCCTTGACTAGTCTTTCGTACAATTTTATTGAGTGATCACCAGCGAACATAAAGCAGATCGAGCGTGCAATATGGGGTAGCACACGGTACTGTTGAGTTTTGTAGTCTAATACTTTTACTTCACCTTGACTAAAAAAAAAGCAACATTAAAGTATATTCTAAAATTTTTTGAAAAAATTTTTACCCCCCCCCCCCAAATTTATTTTTTTTGTACCTTTCATCCCTCTCATCTACTTCTAATCTCCAATACACTAACTTTCCTGACAAAAAATTACTTTAACATACCCTTCAACAATCTCTCCCTGCCTTCTAACGCAAGAATATCGTGTCGCAATTGTAGCCGCCATTGACAGCTGATTAGCCTGATCTTTTATCATAACAGCACGTACGAACATCATCCCAGTATACGCCAATTTAGAATGCTTTGGTGCTATATAAGTACCATCCTTTTCAACTTTAGCATTCTTCATCAACATGTTTCGTCGCGAAATTCGGACATTATTCAGACGCATGTAACCATTGTCATTTGCATTCATACCGTACTTCGGACCAATGTCTCCAACCTCAATACCTGGTAGCACTTTGTGAGTATCAAAATCTCGAATTTGTAGCATGAAAGGATGAGCTCCATAACATTTTCCGTTTGTATATAACAAGGCCATGATCATCACCATGTTGGTTGATCTACCAAGATTACCTAAAACAAACTTGTTTAACAAATAGCGAGTAGATAGGTTTTACAACAGTCCGTATACTGCTAGCCATAACATCATACTAAAATACAAAAAAAATTAAAATTACAGTACCTGGCCACCATTTTGTAGCAGTAATCGTCGGTGTGTTCAACACGAATTCTTCAGTTTTCTCATCATAAACAGCGGTTGTCTCAAGTTTTTTCAGGTTTGTACCATGCCCAAGCTCGGTTTGAGCGTACGTGCTGACAAATTCACGGTTAAGCGCTTTGGAAAACCACCATTCCATTTGTTCGTCATCAGCATTGTTCATCAACATTGGTACGACCATAACGTAATGAATGACAAAAGGAAAGCCATCCCGGCCTATTATTAAGCTAAAAAGAGCTGATTTTAAAATTACAGTACCTGGCCATCATAAATTAAAAAAATTTTTTTTTAAAATTTAATTAGAAATTTTAAAAAATCAACTAAAAAACTGAAAAAATAAAAAAATTCAGCTAACCCTTACTTATTCAAAAAAGCAATCTCCTCTCTAGCCAATGGACTTTCAATAATGTCCTCAATGTGCTTTACCAGTCGAATCGCATTCCTTGTTCCATTCTCCACCTTGCCCATACGGTCGAGGAACGAAGTGTCTTGAGTTGAATCCCTCAACTCCGGGATTGATTCAACAATCTTCAGAATCTCGTGCCGTCGGCGAATTTTGTCGATTCCTCCATGAAATCGTGCTGCCAATTCATCCGTATCAAATTGGCAGTTTTGGCGTTCCGATGTCAAATCAGGATTATGGTCAGGATGAAGCAGACGATTCGGCATCTAAATTTTTAATTTTTTACAAAAATTTTTTGCCGCCTAATTTAAATAAACCTTCATACTCAAATTTCTAATTTTTAATGAAAACCCCTTAAAAAAGTCCGTTTTATTGTAAAAACCAAGTAACTATACAATAAAAAAACTAAAACGCACATAAAATATCGAATTAAATTGGTTTGTCAATAAAACAGCATAACCCGCTGGTGGAAACCACAATAAATGTGGTCCGATAAGAGCGACTCAAATGACCGCAATTAAAATATTTCTTATCTACCATGTGTTAAAGTACTTTCCTGTAGACTAGCTGCCATTTGAAGATCATTTCCATAGTATTTGTCTAGCTAAATTAATATAAACATAACTTTGAACCTTTTACTTTATTGTAGCCGGAACACCCCCCGGAGAAATTTCATCCATACCCCTCTCTACATTACTCCTTTTTAAAAATATTACCATTTCAAACCTCCAAAATTTTTTATAATAACTATTTATTATTATTAAAGATACAAAAATGAGACCGCTGTAAAAATACCCGTGGAAAAAGGTTAATAAGAATATCGATTCTGGCGACGAGGTGAGCAACAACACGAAATGCATGAGCAGCAGCAGCATAAACAACAAACCAACGAGGAGACGATGAAGATCACCGAAGCCAACACAACATATCCTTGCACATTCTCGCAGCATTGAGCATTCAAGTGCCCACAGCATGTGTAGTAGTGTAGAACGGTTGGTCTTGGGCATTCTGAAGCTGGAGCAACGATGAACGGACATGCTGTTGCGGATTCTCTGAAGAGGTAAAGAATAATACAAGATTTGCATTCATTTTAAATTAATAATTATACAAAGATAGCACTTTTTGTGTACTTATACTTTTCAAAAGTTTCTTCCTCTATTTAAAAATATTCATTAGGTAGATCTGCCATTCGTCTACATGCAAAAATACCGATGTACCAAATAAATTTACTTACCTGACTGTGATCAATCCATATTTGTCTAGCATCAAAAATATGTCCTTCTCAATCTCGTCTGGATCTTGTGAGACTGGTTGAGCAGCGGTGAAAGTGCAAAGAAATGTAAAAATACAGAGTATTAATAACTTCATGTCTGACCCTAAAACAATGCAAAGATGGATATGAATAAAGAATAATTAAACAACGCAAAAATACGCTTTATAAAAATGCTATAAAGCTATATTACTAACAATTTGTAAAGCTATATAACAATAAAAAAGCAAACCGAAATTACGCGAAATCCATAATAAAACAAGAAACCAAAAAATGCATAAAATTTCACACTTTCATCCATAAAACAATAATTTGTCCAATCAAAAATAATAATCATAGAATCCTTTCAAAATAACCTTTTTCAAGTATACACTAACACTCTATGGGATTTTACATTACAATAACGCCAAATAACACCCAGATATTAAAACAAAATTGAGATAAGTGCAAATTCCAGTCGAACATCCCCGAAAATAGCAAATGGGGACGTTGAAATAGTCACATTAGAATTCAGTGAGCATCTAATTGGGCCGTGACATCTAAAATTACCAAAAAATTGTTTAGATTTGCGATATAAAAGGACTCGAAAATATTATAGTAGGGATTGAGGACCAGCGGATATTATAATCTATAGTAGGTCAAAATGATAAACAAACAAAAACGGTCGACTTGGTGGTTTCTTTATTCACGTCATAAGTTAAACGTAGCCACCACATGGATTTAACCTAACATGTATAAACCAGAGGACGCTGTGAGACATAGAGTTGGGCCTCCCTCCTTGTCAAACTAAAAACACCCGCCCGGCAAGGTAGACTACCCTAAAAAGCGTCCGATTCGACGAAAGAGTGAAGAATTACAAGGCCTACATTAAAATTCATAGCAGTAAGTAATGTGGCCAAGGCTTGGTCCTTTTTTTGTTCCTTTGTTTCCAATTCCCAAAAGCCGTCAGATTCCACAGTTTCCGCTTCGACGTCTAAAATGGTGATAAACGGGGTTGGGAAACATGTGTCATATCGTTCCCACTTTTTGCAAATTTTTAAACTTGGTTTGAAATTCTTAAAAAGTTTGATGTGTAGGGTCAAGAAAAAAAATTTTAAAGAAAAATTAATTTTCAAACCCGTTAAAACATTTAAAAACTGCAAGAAAGCATTACTTTGTAACATAAATCCAAAAAAAATTCAATAACATCCTTCGCAAAGTATAAGTATTTCTCTCAAGAAGCTCATCTAGTGTCATTTCTGGCCCATCCGAAGGACTTGGCCAAAAACCCAAAAATTTTGACTCAAAATTCGGGCCTTTTGACCCTAACCCTTTTCCATTTTTATTTTATGCAAATGTCCGCCGAACAAGAAGCTAACGCACATAATGCGGGGCTAAAAAGAATGACAAATTGTTTAAAAGCCAATTGAATTGGACTGTGAATCAGATTGTTGATCTATAGATAAAAAAGCTTTTGGATTCAACTTATGGATTTTAATTGCATTTGGTGGTTTACAACGTAAAGAATAATAATTTTATAAAAATTAAAACTGCTACAAAATATAGCGTTTTTAAAGAAATGAGCCATTTCACATTACAAGCTAAAACAAGGAACAACATTAATAAATAAAAAAAATTTATGCTATATTGGCCATTTTAGGCAACAACATAATACTGTGATGGTCAAGTAAAGACCGCGCAACGGCCTAAACTGAAACATCCGCTTATTACATAGCCTTTTTGATGGTTGTTATGACAACCCAAAAACTGTTAATAATTCAGTGGATTTACTCGGTTTTAAAACAATCCATATCTAATCCAGCTCCATTTCAACGTAATCTTGCAAGAAAATGCACGTTTTTCAAACGTTTTTTGTAAACGACGTTAAAACCAAAGTAAAAATGATGTTATGTTACAGCATAATTAACTTAAAAGGGAAAATGATAAAATGATTAACACCCGCCCGGCATTATTCAAAAAGTTGTTAACAAAAGTTCCAACAGCCCAATCAATATATTATCTAATCTTTCTTAAAGTTAGGATCAGTTGCTGGTGAATCTAGCATGCTTCTATTAGTTCTTTGTTCCGTTTGTGAATCGGTTCCAATGTCTGGCAACAGGCCTAGTTTTGCTTTGGCAATGTGAAGTTTGGTGCGTTTTTCTTGAGTTTCCATCATGAAACGTTGTTTGGCTTCATTCGAACCTTCTTTCATTTGTAGCGGCCTTAGAGCACATTCGACCTTTAAATGTAAAATTTACAGTAATGTCAATTTCCAGTTGAAAAATAAAACAATAATGCCTAATCCAAAAAAAATTTCTATTGCAATATTAAACTTGCCTCGAGCATGATAATCTCTATAACCTTTTTTCGTCTTTTGTTCATACACACAAAGTACAAAGTGATCATCAAAATGCCGCCAAAGAGTAGTCCAATGATCATCCCCATGACAAACATTGTAATCGACAGAGAAAACGATTCGAATCTGTGAACAAAGTTGTGAAGGGCACTTTCTGGTGGAGCAACGTGTTCGGCCAATAACTGCGTATTATTCTACAAATTAGGTAGTAAAACTTAAAACTAAAAAAATACAATATAACAACAAAAACAATAGTTTTAAAATGACTTACAAAACTTAAAACCAAATTTTCGTCCCATTCTGTAGCCAACAGTTCCATTAATAACGACGTAACTATGCCATTCCCATTTTTGGACTTAGTTTTAGTAAATACCGTAGGACACAACACGACTATAGTAATGGTGTTTCCCACTATAATACTGTCATTTTTGAATGTTATTTTGAACTCATCATGTGGTGTAGTTGATTTTTTGCCAGTTTCCACGTCTTGAATGATCAGTTCGTTTCTGCGCTTCATAATGGTAAAACTAGCTGTGCATAGACCAAACTTTAGAGTTATGCTGAAATTTTTAAAGATGTTACTTACTGAATTAAAAGTTATGGTATAAAGTGCAAAAATACTTTTTAATTTAAAAAAAATAATTTTTTTGAAAAATTAAAATTTTTATTTGTAATATTTACCTACGAAAAATACTTACAAATTATTCTTTTTAAATCTGAGCTGAGCCTGTACTGTATTATTTGTCACAACTATGCCCACCGAACTGTAGCCCAACGCAGCCGTCATTCTCCTAAAACATAAAAATTTAAAAAAAATTTTTTCTCCAAAAATATTTAAAAATTTTAAAATCACACGAAATGATGATAAACTTACAATGGATCATTGAAAGTAGCAAAATCATTATTCGGAGATTCGAAACGATCATCTTCACAAAGATCAAGAGCGTTATAACTTGCAGAAACTAACAAGAAACTTAAAATACGAACAATGTCTCCCATCGACCGCTTCCGATGTTAAAAGTGTAAAAAAATGAAAATTCTTCAAAATTTTCATTTTTTTTAAAAAAAAGGTATGCTTCGATTCAAAAATAAGTTCAATTTTATAATCAAATTTCAATCAAAAATATTTGTTTCTTTCACAAATTTTAAAAATTTGGGCGCAACTCGCCGAAATTCGCGCTGGACTTTTTATACGAAAAAATATCCACATATTTTTTAGAATTCACTTTTTCGTATTTACTTTTTCAATACTATACAGCATACTTAAACAAAATAGATACCATTTTCAAACATTTATTAACATAAAGTTTATTTTTCAATGTAAACCACTTCGCTAGCGACATCCATCGAGTTGTTGCCACGTAAAAGATAGAAGAACCCAGCGTCTCCCCAATTTGTACCCCAAGTGTTTTTGACGATCCAATATGGTGTTCTCGTGTCTCTTTGAATACCGTAGCCTACTAGTAAAACACGATGATTTGTTTTCCAACCACCTTCAGGAGCCGTCGGATTGTTAATGTAGTCTTTGGAGAGGTGCTTCAAATGTCTGGCATCGATTGCTAAAAGCTTAGCTTTTAATGATAAATCATTACATTTTTACTCTTCTTGTGTGAAACAGTGTTTATAAAAAAAATTAATTTTTAAATTGAAATCAACTTATTAAATTTCAAAAAAAATTTGCGACTTACACACTCCAACCGGCCCATTATGAAAGACCAATCCAGTTAACTGATCTTCAGGTACATTGTGCAAACATCTTCTACTTTTAATCGTAGCCACTACTTTTTTCTTTTTACATTCAGGTATACTCTTGGCGTATCTTGTCAACGTATACGGCAGTTCTTTTTCAGTCGTCAGTCCATTATCTCTGATATACGCCATAGCACCAACCAAGTTGCCTCCTTTGCATCCCCAGCCAAAATACGTCTTGTTGCCGTAGGTACAATCAAGCACTTGTTCTACACTCAAGTTTAGGGTCTTATTCTTTTTGATCAAGTAATAACTTTCGACCATAGCAACGGCCGTGAATGCCCAACAACTACCACATGGGCCTTGATCGCGTACTGGTGATACTCCATTGTGTTTTCGCCAGTCCCATTCGTCTGGTACTTTGTCCATGTCTAGTTTAAGCTGGTTCTCTGAAGTATAAAAAAGAAAAATTTTAAAAACGCATTTTTACAGCTTCTGGTAATTCTGCGATGATCAATATTATCCTTACTTATGTTCTATCTAGTTCTACTCTAGCTCAAAATGTCAGCTCTATCTTAGCTATGTCTTAGCCCTTCTTCATCCTTAAGTTAGAAATACTCAAGCCACAAAAAATCATGTCTAAATTGTCATATCCAAAGTAAAAGTTATTAAAATTTAGACTCACGAATGCCTTGAATTCCGTTCCAAACATTAGTAACTTCTGTTGGCGTTTTGGTATTGTTATGATAAAGATGTTCAAATTCGTCTTCTGTTAAGTCGGTGTACTCGTTGACTTCGTACTCGACTTCGGGATGATTCTTTTGATCAATTTTAATCTGCTGTACGTTTTTGGCAAAGACTTTGAACTTTTTTTGTACTTCTTGCAACGATTGGTAGTGTTTTTTGTATCTAAAAGTTGTCTTTAGTCTAAGATTGGGATGGTTGTTAAACTAAGCTTAAAAAAAACTTACGTTTCAACAAACTTTTCAAATTCAGAATAATATTTTAATTCTTTTTGTTTTAGGCCTTTTTTAAGTTGGTTTAAGTAATCCTTCGTCTGGCCTGCCTTTCCTTTTGTACTGTCATTTTTTGTGTGCTTTCCTTTGTCGTTGGCTACTTCTTTTTCTTTATCCTTCATTTCCTTTTTTAAATTTATGGTTTTCGATTTATTATTCGGAAGCACAGTATCTGTTGCTTCATCATAGTAATCGTGAAGTTCTTCTTCGGTGTATAACTGCTTATCTGACGGGTCATTTTCATCGTTTTGTGATTCATCTGGATCCTTATATGTATTTTTATAGTCTGTTTCGTCCTTGTGTTTTGGCTTATCGTCATTTTGATGTTTTTTGAAATCCTTTGATTTATCCTTATGATCTTCTTTATTCGTTGCTGGTTTATCGTTGTCTTTCAATAAAGTAGAATTAAAAAAGTCGTCATCATCTTTCCATAAATTTGAATTAAAGATTTCATCTTCTACTTCATCATCATTCCAATTTTTAGGTTCATTAACATCATCCATTGTTTTATCTTGTTCAAATTTCTTAACAAAACTATTGACGACGTCACGATGATGCCTGTAGACCTCTTTTTCAAGTTCATCAAAGTCTTTGCTGTGTGTAGCTGGCAAATTAGAAAATATTACAAAAAATATTAGTTTGATGTGTAGTGTCATCATAGTAAAGTTTTTAGTAGTGTTAATGATTTTTTAAAAATATATTAATTTTTAGGTGAAAAATTAGCTTTTAATTAGCATTAAGTTTAAGAGAAAGGTTTCTTTGTTAAAAACTTAAACAAAAATTTAAGAAGTATATGATACAACGTATCATCAATCAAAAAAATTATATATTTTTATTATATATGAAGCGGGCTTTATAATTGGGTATAATGTGTTTTGTTAAAATTGAATTAAATTTTGTATACATTATAATCTGAAGTTGCTGGTTATGATGACATAACTTATTGACAACAACAAATATATCGAAAAGCGTATTATGAAATTACAAGGACGTTTATTATTTAGCTTTTACATATCATGTTAATAATGTCATTCATGAGTATATATGTACCTCAACAGCAATGTAATTTATAAAAACAGTAAAATAATCTTAATTTTGTGAAGTTACAAAGCTTTTGTATTGCCAAAAATAATATACATCATAGCATGTTTCATACAGTAAAAATATGTACCACAAAACCGTTTACTTCATACTGTTAGGCTTAGGAACGTTTTTGATCCACATACCAAAGTAGATAATATAATCCCTAACAACAGCTGGCAGCAAAGACAAAAAGAAGAACAAGTAGTAATCGTGGCCAACGTGATATTTTGCTTTAGGGTATTTACTGGTCAAAGCATGGAAATAAGCATCAACTACTTTGTAAGTATCTGTTGAACCGACACTGTCCAGAAACTCGTAGGCTGTTCTTGACACTGAAAAAGAAAGCATTTTTAAATTGTAATTTATTTTATAGTAAAAACAATGTTTTTTAATACCTTTCTGATAATACCCTTCTCCATATTCATCCTTAATATCTTGAGGCAAGTTGTCCCATACGCGTTGCAGTCTTTTGGCATTTGGTTCTGGAGCTGCTAATTGGGTTCGGAAGAATCCTGGCTCAAGTGTTGATACGGTTACGCCAAATTGTTTGTACTCGGTACTAAAAGGTACGGTGGCATGTGTTATAATTTTAAAAACTTTGGAAATAAAGTCCATTTTTTTACATACGGTGTTATAATTTTAAACAGTTATATCATAAGACAACGGTCATACTCGCGGTAATTGTTTGGGTCGTTTTACACCGAGGCAAATATTACAAAAGTTAATAATATTACACAAGAAAAGGTTGCGCAATACGGTTTCTTGCAATTTACCTAAAGCCATCTAGTTATACTGTAATGTTATATAACGTGATATAAAATGTTATATAACATGATATAAAATGTGCAGAAAATTATACCTTACCGTATAGCGTCCGAAAACGCTTTTACGCCAAATTTCGATACAGCATATTGGGCCAAAGATCCAAGCGATACCATGCTAAGGACACTACTTACGTTGACAATTCGTCCTCTAAAATTTTAATAGTTATACAGTAAAGTGAAAGTATGGCAATTAGTTTAATGCTTTACTACCTAAAAGTAAAATTTATTTATAAATTTTAATATTTACTTACATAGCTAGACTAAAAAACAAACCTATTCTTCTTGACCAGATCTTTAAAAGCATGTGTGACACGAATGACCCCAAATAAGTTAACCTCAAGTATGTTTTTATAGTCTTTTACTGTGATCCAGTCATCGTACGCACATGCGGCCACTCCAGCATTGTTTACAATGCCATCTAGTCCATTTTTATTTAGCAGTTTTGTTACTGTAGCTTTAGCTTCGTTTACACTATCGTCAGCCGTTACGTCGACTTTGATGGTATGTAAAATGCCAGGAAGCTTTGCTGCGGTTGACTTTAATTCTAATATGCCCTGTTTAAATCAAATTAGTTCTGATATGCCTTATTTCAAAAAATTTGTATACTTTAACCTACTTGCTCTGTTAAACACCCTGCAAACACAACCATGCCATAAGACAAACACTTTAATGCCAAAGCATTTCCAAAGCCACTATCACATCCAGTAATTAACACAGTTTTTCCTTTAACGTCAGGCAGAACATCCAAGTATGATAAAACAACCTTATACAAAACATAGATACTAATTAACAATGCTAGTAGTTCGTATATCATTTTAGAAATTAATTTGATATTTACAGTTAGTTAGGTCTAGTAACTAATTTTTTTACAGTATTGTAAATTTTTTTGCACAAAAAACAATGCAAACACAAAACGAAACTTTAAGCTGTATTATTATGAGTAAAAACAGTTTTTATACAAGCAAGGTTTGTCACTGATATCACATTGAAATGTTATCTTTTTTGGAAATTTTGGGAAATGATCCAAGTATGCTTGATAAAAACACAAAACAGATGTTTGCATAATTAATATAGTTTTACTTTGTATGAAACTTAAATGTTTCAAATGTAACAAGGATAATTGTTTACATCATGAGTTTTTGAGTATAAAATTTTTTTGTATTAAACAAAAATGAAATGCGCTTTTCTCTAGACACCCTGTATAACATAAGGATCTTCTGAAGGAATAGGATTCGCGTGAGCACGGTGGTGTAGGTATAGTACGTTATCAAGGTACTAGGTGCCGACATAAAGAACCCGCCATTTTTTAGAGGAAAGTAAACGAAAAGTATGGCGGGCTCTTTATGTCGGCACCTAATATTTGTGAAAGCTGTTAGGCGTTTGGTGCGAATGACTGGAAGAGACGTCATGTTGTTGCTTTGGTTGGTTACGGTGTGAAACATAAAACTGAAGCTGAGATACAATTTGTAATGTTAAAAAATTTGTGGGTTTATGTTAGGGTAATATTGGCTTTGTCTACTATTGTTGTGACAGCACTTTGGCTGTTAATGTATTATTTGAAGCGGTTGTTTACTAAGAAACGTTTAAAATTAATTAATTTTTAATGATTAATTGTTTGACCTACCACAATAATGACTTTTTGTTCCAGATTATTTCAATTGATTTTTTTGAAAAGACCTATCATATCTTAAAGTCAATATTTTAATTAATTTGAAATGTAACGAGTGCAAACAATAAGAAAGTCATTATCAAAGACTACAATAAAGTAACATTCAGTATTAGTAATATACAATTTAAAATTAAGTATAAAAGGATAAGTAAAAGTGTTTTGCTACATACAAACAAAACATGATGAAGTTCTTGGTTATTCTGTTGCTTGTTGAATTTGCATCAGCTAAATCTCTGAGTTTACCTGCACATGTAAGTACTATAATAGTTAAGGTTACAACTGAGCTTTTACTAGGAAAAAAAGAGAAAGTGGAAGTGTGAGTGAAATCCGTTTTTAATAGGGATATATAATTTAATTAAAATAAACAAACTTACCCGTGTTTAGCCAACTCCAATACCTTCAATAAAACCTTCGTACTCCACACCAGTGAGTATTTTAAAAAATTTTTCTTGAGTAGTTTTACTTTTATTCTGTAATTTTTAATTGTTATATATAAACTAATTTATTAGGTGCCGACATAAAGAACCCGTCATGTTTTACAAGAAATTACCGGAAAAGTATGGCGGGTTCTTTATGTCGGCCTCCAATAAATAAACAAATTTTCCGTGTTTAGCCAACTCCATTACTTCCAACAGGAGTTCCTTACCCTCAACCCGTAAGTATTTTAAAAATTTTTCTTGTGAATTTTTAGTTTTATTCTTTAATTTTTCATATTTTAACGATGTTAAACGTTTTATAATTTAATATAAATTAACAAACATGCCGTGTTTAGCCACATCCACCACCTCCAACAGCTGATCCTTACTCTCCACCAGTAAGTATTTTAAAAACTTTTTGTTGGGGAATTTTATTTTCATTTTTTAATTGTAAATTGCAGAGCCCAGGATGTCCAGACTGCTCTGCGCCATATCCAGCCCCAACACCTACAAATATTGTTTGCTTTCCCTGGAACGCTTAAGTAAAGATGCCACGCCAATTCTAATAACTTTTTATTCGTATTTTGCTAAGCAATTTACAATTGTCATATCTTGAAAAAATCAAATATTATATAATAAATTCCATGCATGAAAAACAGTACTTTTTTGCTCTCTTTGAGTTCTGCTGTTCATACTAAGCCAGCACACTATAATATACAAATCTACAATGTTTTTACTGTAGTTTGGTTGTATGCATAATCAGCTGTTCTACATATCACCAAACAAATTCAAATAAAATTTTACGATTTTAAACGATTGAAAAGCGAATAAAACTGTAATTTTTAGTAGTTAACAATGCATACTATTATTCTTTTGACCTTTTTATCTTGTATAATTTTTATTGAACATTCTACAGCCAAAGATCTTATCATCACAAGAGAAAATAAGACTATAAATCTCGGAAGAATAAGAACACTAAGTAAAGCGGCTGAAGATGCGTTGAGGTTGGTAAAATCATATGAAAATAAAGTTGATGACAAGGAAAAAGCAGAGTATCAAGAGTTTGCCAAACTTGCCAAAACGTGTGTTTTTCTTAACTTTTAAAAGTACTATTACGTGCCGACATAAATAACCCGCCATTTTTTACAGGAAATTCCAGGCAAATTATGGCGGGTTCTTTATGTCAGCACCTAATACATAATTTTTTTAAAAATGTTTTAAAAATTCTTACTTTTTAGGTTCGAACGAGAATACAAGTCAAATGATGAAATTTTAAAGCGATTTAAAATTTTTAAAATTAATTTGAAAAGAGTTCAGGCTGATTCACATTTGTATCCTAAGGAATTTGGATTGGATGAATACTTTGATAAAACTCCAGAAGAAAAAACAGAAGATCAGGAGCTTAAACAAAAACATCATATTAAAACACAAAGTTTTTTAAGAAGCGATAAAACGTTCCGTGAGTATTTTAAATTAAAAGTTTTTAAAGATTAAAAATCTTTTTTCTTTCTCTTTTTAAATAAATCAGTTGATAACTTTCGTTTTAAAAACCATTTTTTAGCTGATTACGTGCCAGAAAACAATAAAATTCCTGAGAACTGGGATTGGCGTGAACACAATGGCGTAGCCCAAGTCCGCTTGCAAAATTGTGCCAATTGCTATGCGTATGCAACAGTTGCCGTGGTCGAGAATTTTGCATTTCGACGTTACAAAAGTAAAGTGCCATTAAGTGTACAACAGATTTCCGTATGCTCTTACCATAATAATAAGTGTAGTGGCGGTGATCATATATAGGCGCTGGAGTATGTAAGAGACAATGGTGGACTTACTATGGAAAAAAAATTTCCAGTTAGTGCTGGTGAAAAATATGACCTGTGTAACCAGTCGATTGCAATACCAGTTAAGGAGATCGCTCAGTTTCACGACATGAACGAGACATTGATGGCCTTTTTGATTTACGAAAAAGGTCCTATTAGTGTGTGTAAGGTTTTAAAATTAAGTTTCTTCTTTCTTCTAATAATTTTAAAGTAACGACATTATCTATTTACGGAAATTTTGCTGAAGATCTTCTATTTACATGATCCTTCTATATGAAACGTTTAAAGTCAATCAGAGCGGGGCAGGTCGAGTACTTTCCTTGTCAGTTCACCATCAACCGCAGAGCACTGTCCTGATCTTAAAAGGTACAACTTTTTTATTTCTTTAGCTGCCGATACAAGCTGTTCTGTAACAACGAAGAACGGAATTGAGCATGCGGAACGAAAGAAAGAATATAGACGCACTCACAATGTAGTGATAGTTGGATACGGAGTGAAAAATGGTGATCCTTATTGGATAATCCAAAATACTTGGGGTAAAGACAACGGAGATCATGGATTTAATTATTGGCATAGAGGATCTGACTGTAAAGGAATTACAGCAAGAATTGCAGCTATTTTGAATTAAACCGGCTCTAAAGGCGCGAATTCGGAAAAATAAAACGGTTTTTCAGTTTTTAGTTTTTATAAAGTCGGCTTGGTTTTATAAAGTGTCAATGGAATTATACTCAAAATATTCTATGTTCAACAAGTTTATTCATATCAATAAGAAAAAAAACACGTTTTTCATCAATGTACAGACAAGGTTGTGCATTGCACCATTAATACTTGACAGTATTATACATTCAAAATAAAAAATTACAGTTAAAAGGTAAGCTTTCAAAAAGAGAAGTATAAAAACAAAAATTTAAATATAACACATTTCATAATACCAAAACACGTCTTTTAACAGTAAACGTCTTAAACTTTGAGAATTGCAACTTTGGAGATTCGAACAGTACAAAACTTTACAAGTTTTGTAAACAAACTAAACTTTTTAGCTTTTACGATTAAAAAGTGTCGGTTTAGTAGCCTGGACCAGTACGAGGTTGAGGGCAATGGTCGCAACTTCCTTCGATACCCTTAAGGCCAGGCATGCCTTCTTCACCTTCTGGACCGTTCTTTCCTTGTTCTCCAGTTGGGCCTTGGTCTCCTTTCTCTCCTAAGACAAATACAAAATTAAAATTTTTAAATTTTCAAAAAACTATTTTTTTAACTTCAAAAATTTCTTCAAATACTTTTCAAAAACAATTATTATCCACCCCAGATACAAAATAAACTTACCAGTTTCTCCTTCTTTGCCTGGTGCTCCATCTTCACCTTCTGGACCTTGTGGTCCTTGTGGGCCAGGTGGTCCCGCAGGGCCTGGTGGTCCCACTTTAACTGGTCCTTCAATAACACGTCCTGGATGCCCGTAATGTCCTTCTTGACCGGGAGGACCAGGTGGTCCTTCTGGTCCAGCTTCTCCAATTGGTCCAGGTGGCCCAGCCAATGGTTTTGGTCCAACTTGTCCTGGCCGTCCTTTGTTTCCTTGAGCTCCGACTGGACCTGGTGATCCTTGAGGTCCTGGATGAGCTTGTGGACAATCGAAGCACCATTGTGGTTTTGGTGCAGGTTGTGGTGGTGGCCCTTCTGGTCCAGGGTTTCCGGTTTTTCCTTGTCGTCCGTCTTTTCCTGGTGGTCCTTCTGGTCCTGGTGGGCCGGGTGGACCACGTGCACTAACTCCGCATCCACAACATTGTGCGGGAGCAGGGGAGTCGTGGTGAGCATCCGGATGATCTTCGTGGCTGTCGTAACTGTTGTCAGGATTACCGTGAATTGGCTCCAACGCTGGTGGATAGTTGCTTGGGCCACCTTGACCATCATAGTTCAATGATGAGATTCCAATGTCACGACGTTGACGGCGTTTTGGCATTACTTTGGCCAAGATTTGAGTACGGACAACTTCGCGGAATATATTGTTGCCTCGAGCGCGGCAAAACTCAACTTCGCTTTGCATTGCCGATTGCCAATGCTGCATGTATGTGTAAGCCATGGGTACGGCGAATGCACTGCAGATGGTAGCCATTGTTGTTAAGGCTACAGAGAAGAATACAAAGTTGCGCAAAGAATGCGCAGTTTGTTCCTGCTCTTTTAACGTTCGGTCCGTCATTCTGAAGAGAGAAAATGGTTAAATTACTAAATCTAATCAAAATTTCAAAATATTTATCAATAACGGTATCAAAAAATTCAAAATAATATTAAAAAATTTAAAAAAAACAAATAAAAAGGTTTCAGTAGTTTGAAACCCAAAAAACCATAATTCAAATAATAACTAACTTTTTTCCTCAAGACCAAAGTCTTTTATACTTCGACGCGTCGTCTGATGACATTTTGGAACCTCTCGGGCCAAAATCTCCACCCACTTTTGTTCAAGTAGATTGTTTTTTATCCTTTCGCACCTTACTTTTTCACTACTTTTTGAGTTTTTTCGAACCCATTGTTTCTAACTGATTCTTTACGAAATTGCAATTAAATTCACGAAAAGTCATGATTAATCGTTGGAAATGACTGAAAAGTTTGAGGTTATGAGGTATGCACATTTAAATGCACATTTAATTTTATGCAACATAGAGAAGCGTAAGATCTTTTGAATTTTTATAGAGCACTTTCTTTCTACAGTACTCTCTCTTTATAAGCAATCCGAAGGAACCGACATTTTGTATTTATTATAAGAGATGTTGTCTTTACAGAGAGGTTTTTTAATGCAAATTGACTTATCGGGGCCAAATTTGTTGTTTACTATAAGGAGAGTTGCTTATACAGATGGTTCACTATATAGAGAGAGCACTGTATTAAAAAATTAGTCAAAGATTCAAAAAACCACAGTAAAGTTTGATATTTATATTATTTTTAAGTTAAGTTAGCAATATGTAATGTCATTCTTAGTTTAAACTTTGCTTCCTGTTGCCGACGCACTTCACTTCCAAAGTTTCTTTAGTGAAAGTAAAAGAGCGTCGTGCGCTATCTTACTATGTCAAAAATTCCAAACGAAAAAAATATCTGAAAATCGATTTTTCTTTGTTCTTCGGGATAATCACTGATTTTATGAGGGGTGTGACTGAAATTGTCACTGAAATTGAAAGTGAAAAAGTTAGAAAAAAAAGAAAAAAAATAGGTTTTGTATATTTCTGATCTGACTAATAAGATGTAAAATTATATTATTTATATCCGAGTTTTTAAATTATTCTATAAAAATGATCGCTACTTTACATTTAGAGAGCAATTTATTACAGTAGATACAAAATTGGCAGTAAAACGCGAGATACTTATTAATTCCAAGCTTAATAGCCTGGAGCGGTCCTTGGTGGCGGACAGTGGTCGCAACTGCCTTTGCCTCCCTGTTGACCTGGTGCTCCATCGTTGCCTTTGCCTCCTGGTTGACCTGGTTGTCCGTTTGGTCCAGCTCCTCCTGGTGGTCCTTGACCTCCTGGATGTCCTGGCTGTCCGTTGCCCCCTGGTGGTCCGTTTGGTCCTGGGCGTCCAGCTGGTCCGGGTGGGCCTGGTGGTCCAACCTGTGGTGGTCCTTGGATAAGTTTTCCTGGCTGTCCTGGAGCACCGGCGTTTCCTGGTTCTCCTCCGTGACCTGGTGGTCCTGGAGGTCCTGGTGGGCCTGGTGGTCCTTGGCCGCCACCGTGAGCAGACTGTCCTGGGGCTCCAGCATTTCCGGGTGGACCCTTTGGTCCAGGTTGTCCTGGAGCTCCAGCTTGAGCTGGGGCGCAAGTTTGGCAAGGTTCAGCGTGTTGTTGTGGGCGTGGTGGAGCTTGTCCTGGTGGGCCGGCGTTTCCTGGGCCTCCTGGCTGTCCGTCGTTACCTGGAGCTCCTGGTTGACCTGGTGGTCCTGGGGGTCCTGGTGGTGAAACACCGCAACCGCAGCATCCTCCGCCTGATGGTGGGGCTTGTTGAGCAAAGCCACCGCCAGCGCTTCCACTGAATCCGCCGGCACTTCCACTGAATCCTCCAGCACTTCCACGGGACCCTCCGGCACTTCCACCAAAGCCACCAGCAGCAGATGGGCGCGGGTAGCCTCCGGCACTTTGTCCTCCAGCAGCTGCTCCACCTCTTGGGGCTGATCCTGGACCGTATGTCAAGTTTGGTGGGTCTTTGTAGATGTCGTAGAAGACTTGACGAGCAGCACGGGGATGTACGTTTGCTAGAACCTAAAACACATTGCATAAGGTAAAAAAACTTTTAAAAATTTAAATTTTTTAAAATTAAAGTAAAAAATATTATATAAGTTGTTAAACTGTACCTGAGTTCTAACAACTTCATTCCACATGTTGCCGGTTCGGCTCTTGCAGAACTCTAACTCGTTCCTCATCATGGTCTGGGCATGTTGCACATGGTTGTAGACCATTGGTACCGTAATCACGGCCAACAAACACGATACGGTAGAAAAAGCGACACCACAGAAGGCCAAGGTCCGAAGACCGGCAACATCGTCTGGCTTCTGCTTAGACATTAGTCGATATGGCGAATCAACCAAACTGAACAGTCGTTTTGCTCTTAACAAAACGGTTTATATAGTCGAAACGGCCTTGCATACAGTTAACCGGAACGCCCTTAATGTGCGCATAGTCAGTTAGGTTTAGGAAAAAACAAAAACCGTTAAAACATTTGTCAACTATATAAAAGGTATCAAGAGACAACAGAGAAAGAGTAAGGGAACCCCAACAGTAGGTGTAAACAAACCAAAAAATGATTGTAAAAGCCATGAATCAATTGAAGCACACCTGAAAAATTTTAAAACCGAAATATTTCACTTTATAATTGCAGTTTTTAGATTTGCTAAACAAATGCCTTTGTAATGTTCGTAATGCAAACAGTAAAACTAGGCTACTTTATAAATTAGCAAGCAAAAAACAAGAAAGAGAGAACTTAATTTACCTTTTGTAGGTTAAATGTGGTTTTGTATAAACAGCAAATAAGCCTTACACTTTTATAGCGCGTTTGGTAAAAATGACGCTATCGTTTTCTCTGCCGCTCTGTATGAGTATAAATACCGGTTCTTTATTGTTATATGCTTCATTCTGGCTCAAGCTTAGACTCAAGCTTAGGCTTAAGCTTGGGCTTAGGCTTAGGCTTAAGCTTAGGCTTAGGCTTAGGCTTAGGCTTAGGTTTAGACTTAGGCTTAGGCTTAAACTTAGGCTTTGGCTTAAGCTTAGGCTTAGGTTTAGGCTTAGGCTTAGGCTTAAACTTAGGCTTTGGCTTAGGCTTAGGCTTAGGTTTAGACTTAGGCTTAGGTTTAAACTTAGGCTTTGGCTTAAGCTTAGGCTTAGGCTTAGGCTTAAGCTTGGACTTAGGCTTAGCAGGTGTAATAATAAAGCTTTATAACAGCAGTGTGCGACTTTATATACTTATTTTATACGGCACAAAAAAATTGGTGCAGTACAGAAAAATGGATCAGAACATCTCTCGTAGTAATTTTGTTGGGTCGTTTTACATCGAGGCAAACATTACAAAACTAAAAAAGATTACATAAGGAAAATGACGTAACAAAATTTCTTGAAATTTCTCTAAGGCTATTTCATGATTTAATCACGGCGCTTATATTATCTAACTTTACATGGCAATTTATTTAGTGACTTCATAGCTTTTCAACGGATTTTTGGGTCAAATGACGTACAGGTTAGAAGTTAATATTGCAAGAAGAGCATAGTATTGGAAGGTAGAGCAGAGTAGGGAGATTTGTAATCCGTTTTTGACAACGTTTATTTTTGTAAAAATAAAAAGACGTCTTATGTGTTTTTGAATTTAAATTTGAAGTTTTTGTAATTTTTTTATGTTTTGTTAGTACAAGTTAAAAATTTAAGCTTTAATACTTATTTTTTTCAAAATTCAACAAATTTGTTTTATTTTTCTGATTTTCCTTTCAAAACCAATCATTTTTACTACCTATTCGTTTTCCATTAATCTAATTTTAAGATCAAACAAATTGCAGGCATTTCCGCGCTCTTGCCAGTAAGAATTTTGTTTACTAAAACCCGAGTTTAAACCGTGTAAATCAGTTTTCACCTTTTGCCTTTTTTTCTTACTAACCGTTAGAAAACTGCGTGGGGGTCTTCTTGGAACGACCCTCAAAGAAGGACCGGCGATTCGGACGGTTTGAATTGATCGTTATGATAAAGCCAATTGTGCAGAATTAAAAAAATAACTAAAAAAATTTTGAAAATATATAATTGTATTTAAATTTACAAAGTGAAAATGACTAGTTAAGATTTTTTTTACAAAAAAAACTTAATAAATGCAAAACAAAATATATTTAAACGCCAGGTCCTACTTTTCTATCTCTAGTACTGTACACCAAGAACCTGCTTCGTAACTTTTTATTTAAATTATGCCTTAAAAAAGCATTACTAACAATGAAGTCAATCTTTTTGTATGTTGATCATCAGTTGATCAGGAAAACGCCTGTCAATGCAAGAAATAGTTACGATCATCTTACAAAAGTAACGGTTTGTAATAAATTGTTAGACTTAAAGTTCATTCCAGGAAAGAAAATAAAAAAAATTGAAAGTTTATACTTTGTAAACAAAAGTACCTTTACAACAGGACTACTTTTTACATTTAGTTTAAATTGCTTTTTTAAAACTATTTTTTAGATACAGTTTTCTCTCAACATAAACAACCCTAAGATACCGACACTTTGTGTGTACTATAGGGATGTTGCTTGCAGAGTAATTTTTTAGTGCAAATTGACATGGCGGGGCGAAATTTTTTTGTTGATTATAAGGAGAGTTGCTTCCACAGATGCTTCACTATATAGAGAGACTACTGTACAAAATTTTTGTCATACAGAAGTTCGTTTTGATGAATTTCTACTGTATTTCCAAATTTTGCACCCTTATGGAAGTAATGAGGAAATCCCATAAGAATCCAGCTCCTTTCACTGAAACGTGATTTACCGCTAATGTAAAAAAACGTCATGTTTGAAACTCCTTCTCACATTAAAAACAAAAGCGAGTTTCTTCCGTTTTTGAAGAATTACCGCGTAGAACATGCCGCCGAGTGACATAAAATGAACATTTGGTAAAACGACATCTTGAGTCGCACATAACGATATCGTAACGTATCTGCTTCATTGTAAGTCAGGGAGTCAATCTTATTTTTGGTAGGTAGTCGTATAGTGATTTTTTTGGGAGATGGAATGATTTTTTCAGTTTTTGGTTTTATAATTTAACTTTTTTTTAAATTTTTTAAAAATTTTTATAAAGTTATTATATATATATATTTATTCAGATGTCAAAGCCGGCTGATCCGGCTGGCGAAGCCGACACTTTTCGCCGTATTGCCCTTTTTGGTGTATGTTTAGCGACAAGCTCGTGCATATTAACCATGCTCGCTGTTCCGTTATCTTTCATTTATGTTCAACAACGTCAAACTTTTATGCTAGAAGAGCTTAATTTTTGTCGATCTAAAGCTAATAACATGTTGATGGAAACAGCTAAAACTGCTATTTTGCAACAAGTGGATTTACATTTGAAGGAAGGAAGTACTCCCCAGTTACATAGAGTTGTCAGAGATGTGGAGAAAAATGTTAAAAATAGAAACTATAGTGATAATAGAAGAAATCGACGTGATCACGGTAGTATAAGGCAAAGTAACAAAGAATGGAAACGTCAGGTCGGCGACATTATTCATGCTTATGGAGAAGTGAGTTTGATGTTATCAAAAAGCAAAAATACTTTTTACATACTTATTTTACTACAATTTATGAATATTTTATTAAAACGTTTTTTTTTCTTTAGGCTAGACCACCTGCTCAAGCCGCATGCTGCGGTTGCGGATACTCAACTCCAGGACCACCAGGTCGCCAAGGTCATCCGGGTTGGCCTGGCGTTGCTGGTCGCCCCGGTCCATCTGGTCGACCAGGACCAGATGGCCCTCCACGTCCACCGCAAAACTATAACATTGATTGGTGCTTTGAGTGTGCTAATGGAGAACCAGGTCTTCCAGGAGGGCCTGGTCAGCCCGGACCACCAGGTCAACAAGGCTACCAAGGGTTTGATTCACTGTTACAGGCTGAAATTGGTCCTCCTGGTCCACCTGGGCCACAAGGAGTGATTGGGGCTCAAGGGCCTTGCGGTGGTCAAGGAAGACCCGGGTTGCCAGGAAAACTGTTTGTTATTGAAAAAGTTGGTCCAGTCGGTCCGCGGGGACCACCTGGATCTAGAGGATATCCAGGAAGAGCTGGTATTCCTGGTAGAAATGGGGACGAACCTAAGAGAGGTAGGGACACTAACTAATTATTATTTTTATATTGAACCTATATATTATATCGCATATTTATGAAAAACATTAAAACTTTCATTCTTTAAAATTTTAGGACCGCCAGGAGACCCTGGTGCACCAGGAATGCCTGGAAATCCCGGATTTCCCGGCCAACAAGGATACCAAGGTGAAACCGGTCCAAGAGGATCTTGCGCACATTGTCCACCGCCCAGAACTGCTCCAGGATATTAATAATGTTATAATATTTTCATGACAATGCTTTACAAATGTTATACTGTGCAATACTTTAGCTAGTAATTTTATTAAAGCTCTGTTTTAGTTTTATAAAACGGATTTTTTAATTTCCAAAAGTTTAAACAAATTACATAATATTCAGGTTATCCTGATGTTTATAAAAATACTTGAAAAATATCATGGATACCAGCTTTAATTTTAATACGTTTATGAGTGAATCTCCAGTTAAGTCCACAATTATGCACAATATCTAAGTAAAGATCGACTTTCCTACCAAAAAATCGCTCTTTAACTAGAAAAAACGAGTTTTCGTCCAAAGCAACGGTTCTAAAATTTAATATTTGAAAATCAATTTTATCTTAGATTTCTTGTACTACTTACACTATTAACCTTGTTCCATCGTAATCATTAATATACAATGAAACCCTTGTAGATTTCATATTCCAAAATTTCGGCTCTTTACATATTAACATACCCATACTTTTTACTTTTATCATTTTAGATGTACTATTAACTATTATTGTAAAAAATAACAAAGAACATAGCTTTTCGAAAACATTATAGGTTTTAGAGTGAATAATTCAAAGTACAGCTTTAATTTACTTTTGTTACTATTAAAATTCAAATTTAATGTTTATAGCAATAATATTTATTAACGAATGTGTCTGGATACGAAGCTTTAAAATAACACAACATAAAATTAAATTAAATAAAAGCACAAAAAAATATTTAAAAATCTCCTTCCTCTTTGACAATTTTTGTAAAATTTCCATTATCCGCTAGTTCTTCTAACAGTTTTTCTTTTTCCAAAGCATATTTCTCAACAATATCATACGGTGTAACATCGACAGCGCCGATATTATGATGCCCATCTTCAATTTCTTCTACAAAATCGCGAAACTCTCCGTCCGGTCCACAGTTGCTGTTGATTCGTAAATGCAATTGGATTTGGCGGTCGAAAAATCGACGTTTTATGAAAAACCAGTGGTTTTCGTTTAATGGCACGGTGCTGAAATTTTAAATTTTTGGTTTGAGATTTTCAGGAAAAATTTAGATTTTGAAGTTTAAAAAATATTTTTTAAAATTAAAAAAAAATTTTTTTTATTTTCTTAACTTACACAAATTCGCGAATTGCCCATTCTCCTTCATTAACCAATGTTACCCGTGTTTTATGAGGGTTCCAGCTAGTGTGACAAACTATTCTCCCTACCGTATGCACTTTTGTCATAGCAGATTGAACACCATTAAAAGAGATAAAAATTAAAACAAATTTCAGTAGGTTAAGAAACATTACTTTTATTGTTTTTAGGTTAATATATTTTTATGTATAATAATGTTTTTTATATAAATTAGAGGTTAGTAGTTTCAAAATATAGAAAAATGATTTTTCAAAAGTTAAAATTATTGAAAATCAATGTCAGAGCATCTTTAAACTTTTTTTAAGAGTAATATGCTGATTTTGTCACAGTAAGTATTAAGTAGTTAATGTCATATAGTGTACAAATTATAGTAAATGATGTAGTTAAACCAAATTTAAGCTTTAAAAAAACACGTGTTTTTAACTATACTAATAACTGATAAATAATAATATTTTTATAGTTGGTTCCAAAAAGAACGGTGACGCTATACCCGTCTAAATACGGCCAGTTATTACAAAGTGTTTAATAAGATTAATATTTTAATATTTTGTCATTTAAATAAAGATAAAATATAAACTTTAGTAATGCAGTTCCAAACAATGGCAAAAAAATAAGTCTGGTAATTGCGCAAAAATAGTATAGTCTGTTAAGTTCAAGATTGATGTGAGGCGTATAACAGACTAATTTAAAATTAGCTTGTCAAAGATTATATTGTGAACAGCAAGGTCTTATCACACGTTTTATCTCGAATTAGTTCAAGTTTTTTTTCGTCTGTTCTAGCTTATATTATTCATTTATCAGCAAAGTTTACACACACTTTTGTTTTAGCCAAGTGATTTTTGTGAGCTACGTGTTATGGACACGTTGTAGACAAAGGAGGTTGTTATGAGAAAATTTACAAAAAAAAATAAAAAATTAACGCTGTTAGCCAATATAAATTACCGATAAATCTACAAACATCTGTAAATTTTTTGTTATTTTTTTTCAATTTTTTTGATGCAAAAATTGACAGTTTATGATTAAAAAATTAAACTTCCTTGGTTTAACTGTCCGTTTGTCTTATCAATTATTCATATGTTAAAATATTTTTTTTTCAATAAAAGCGCAAACATTTTGATACTACGTTCAGAGCCAAAGTTTGGTATATAGGCGGTAATCTCGAAAATCGGCACTAGTACCACACTTGTGACACTTTTTTTTCATTTTTTATCAAAAATCAACCAAAAATTAATATTTTCAATATAAAAAGATATAATCCGAATCGTGATGATGAGATTTTTATTTACTTAAATTTCCCCTGAAGAAGAAAAGGAAGAAGCAGAATGCGGATGTACATTCTAGTATCCTGGAGCGGTTCTTGGTGGCGGACAGTGGTCGCAACTGCCTTTGCCTCCCTGTTGACCTGGAGCTCCATCGTTTCCTCTGCCTCCTGGTTGACCTGGGTGTCCGTTTGGTCCAGCTCCTCCTGGTGGTCCTTGACCTCCTGGGTGTCCTGGTTGTCCGTTGCCTCCTGGTGGTCCGTTTGGTCCTGGGCGTCCAGATGGCCCGGGTGTGCCTGGTGGTCCAACCTTTGGTGGTCCTTGGGTAACTTTTCCTGGCTGTCCTGGAGCTCCGGCGTTTCCTGGCTGTCCACCGTGTCCTGGTGGTCCTGGAGGTCCTGGTGGGCCGGGTGGTCCTTGGCCGCCACCGTGAGCAGACTGTCCTGGGGCTCCGGCATGTCCGGGTGGACCCTTTGGTCCTGGTTGTCCTGGAGCTCCAGCTTGAGCTGGGGCACAAGTTTGGCAAGGTGCAGCGTGTTGTTGTGGGCGTGGTGGGGCTTGTCCTGGTGGGCCGGCGTTTCCTGGGCCTCCTGGCTGTCCGTCGTTACCTGGAGCTCCTGGTTGACCTGGTGGTCCTGGGGGTCCTGGTGGTGAAACTCCGCAACCGCAGCATCCTCCTTGTGGTGGGGCTTGACGGTGGTGGACGAAGTGAGCGTTGTGGGCGCCACGGTGGCTTAAGTAAGCTCCGCGGGCGGCTCTTGGGTGAACTGAAGCCAAACCCTGTAAAGTAGTAGTGTAAAAAACATTTGTAAAAATTATAGTAAAGATTTAAAAATACGGTACTGTATCGATATAATAAAGTGAAAAAAATTGATTTAAGTGTAGTGCACTTACTTGAGTACGAGAGATTTCCTTCCAGATGTTGGTTCCGCGAGAGCGGCAGAACTCCAACTCGTTGTCCATATGGCTGTGCACATGTTGGGCGTAGTTGTAGACCATTGGGACGGCAACAACAGCCACCAAAGCGGCGATGGTGCTCATGGCAACGCCGCAGAAGCACAAGCGACGAAGGCCATCGGCCTCTTCCTTCTGGACCAACTTGTTGGTGTCCGTCATTGTGTTGGGAGTTGTTTCGAGAAAGTAAAACTCAAACAACTGGCGGTTTGTTGGTGGACGGGCGCCCGGTTTTATACCGTTACATTCTTCATGTAAGGGGAACCCAAAAAACCGCCAACCGAGGGGAGAGGGTTTAGGTTCCGGTTTCGGGGAATGGCCCGAATGGGTCCGAACGTTTCAGTGAAGGTCAAACTTACTTTCTCTGGTTGTAAACAGGGTTAAGGAGTTTTGTAGCCGCGTTGCTGGAACAGCTTATGTTATTTGTTTATCTGTCTTATTTGTTTTCTAAATTAAATAGACAAAATAAAATAGATTTTTTTAATTCTAAATATAAATAAAATTAATCAATTTAAGCTTCAAAAATGACAGTTTTACCGTCTTTTTCTTAATGTAATTTATTTCTGCAAACAACACACACTAAAATGAAAATTAATCAAAAAAAACAAAAAGCACAAAACTTATATATAATGTCGTAAACCTTAATTGCAATAGCATACATCAACATCTTTTAATATGTTTTTTACAAAGCATAAGTTGAATTATTTGAAAAAAAAATCAATAATTGAGGGAAAATTACAGTGAAACCTCTGTATAACGGATGGCTACAGAAATTAAAATTTGTTTGTTATGAAGACGATTCGTTATAGAGAGGTTTTAAATGCACTGTGTAATGGTAGACGGGGATCCAAAAGTTGTTTGTTATACAGAGGTTTCGTTATATAGAGGTTCCTTATACGGAGGTACTGTATTTTTAAAATCAAATACAGTACTCTCTATATATAAGCAACCCAAAGAGACCGACATTTTGTATTTACTATAAGGAGTGTTGTCTTTACAGAGAGACGTTTTGGTGCACATTGACTTGGCAGGATCAAATTTTTTGTTTACTATAAGGAGAGTTGCTTATACAGATGGTTTACTATATAGAGAGACCACTGTATAATGAAAGAGAAGAAGGTTTTATTTTTCTATCTTAAAAAACATTTTAATATTAACTTTTTAATATATATTATTTATTAGATTAACAATTTAAACAATTTTTAACAAAGTTTTCTGGATTTGTTTATCAAGTTTCGTCAGTTTACAATACACTTAATTGTTTTAGAACGAACATTTAGACTTTTTGTGCGAACCTTGATACTTTTTTAACTTATTTCTAATTACTACGCCCTTAATTGTAACCTAAAACTCGAGATTCTTTATTATTTTTTCTTTTTTTGTAAAATTGCTTTCTCTTTTTTTCAATGTTCGTTTTCATAAGAAAAATGGGCAATCGGGCGGGGTGATTTCAATGTCCTTGAGGCATCTATTGGGTTTCTCGTTCGGGTTCTAATAAATCATGTGAATAAAATCGTTTGCACTGAATTTTGAAAATGACTTACAAAGTTACACTAACTTGCAAAAATATGAGTTTTTAATTGTTTTTGAAAATTGGGAGGCTATTGCTTCCTAAATTTTCATAAAATTTTTATTGTCATAAAAATTCGTGTCATTAATGCCTGTTTACTTAAAATTTTGAAAACAAAAAAATTTTTGGACACTCTACAAAGTATTAAGGACAGACTACTGTAATTTTTTGACCAAAACAGTTGTGTTGTACAGTTATTACTAAATTTCAAAATTTCAAATTTCAAGAATTGCTGTACAAAAAAACATCTTTTTTTTGTATTTACAAGGCTTTTTTTACTTTTTACCGCCTACGTGAATTCCATTTGACTTTTTTGTAATTCTTTCGTTACTAATTCATTCCTGAAAAGGAAAACTAACTGCGATGTTTTTCTGTAAAAAATACAAAATTACAAAACAGTTCAAACCTGTAAATATTCATTATTACTTTTACTTTTACTTAGTACTAGTATTATCTTTTGCCTTGTCTGATGCGTTTTGGCATCTGGTTTTGGAAAAGTACTTTTGGGGTCGTTTTACGTAGAGGAAAATTATAAATTGATAAAGATTACATATGAAAAGTAACGCAACAAAATTTCTGGCATTGTTCTTCTGTCTATTTGATTATTTTTGTATACAGCGGACCTCCTGTATAACGAACCGCCCGGAGTTTTAAAATTTGTATGTTATAAAGCAGTTTTGTTATAGAGGGGTTTTAAACGCACTGTGTAGTGGTGCACGAAGATTTAAAAGTTGTTTGATATACGGAACTTTTGTCATATGGAAGTTTGTTATACAGGAGTTCCAATGTATCATTGTTTTGTATGAGATAAGCCGAAATTGTTTTCTTCATCCGTGCTGGAAAAGTCAAGATGTACAATGTATAGAGGGAAGGGAATAGTTGGCTGTAGATTGTACTGGAGCAGTGTAAGGAGATAGGTGTGAAATTTTGATTATTCTACTATAAAAAATTATGTGTATTTTTCATCTATTTACTTTTCACTGTATTTTTGAAGTTAAATTTTAAATGTTTAAAGTAAACTTTTAGTTTACAATTTAAGACAAACTTAACTAGATTACTCGTGATTGTAAAAGGAAATTGACGCTGTAAAAAGTATTGGAAAGAATACAAAAATGCAATATGCAAACAACACAATATCACTTTTTTATATTTTAAATAAGTTGTTAAAAAATTTTAAATAAGATGTTAGAAATTAAAAACTGTCTATCAAGGTCATTAAGCTATGTTACATGAGTTTAAACCGATTTTTGAACCTATCTTCATTTCACTTCCGTCTAAAATCAAAAAAAGAATAAAAATTACTACCGCCCAAGGACGCTTACAATACTTTTGTAAACAATTCTCAGAATCTCTTCGACCTATAAGGTTACAAATTGTTCAATATTGTAAAGGTTTTGATGAATGAACGCACTTTTATTTAGACAGTTTTTTAATGGCTACCCAAGACGAACAGACCGTTTGTTTGATACGGCGAATAAATTTTAGGTGGACAACAAAAGGTACATGTTTTTAAACATTTTTTGCACTTTTATTTATTCAAATTTTGAAAATTTAAGATAAAAACTTTTTTAATCAAAATTTATGTACTTTTAAGGGTTTAACGTGAAATTGGTATGAAGAAACGTGATCAGTAAGTTGTACTCCACTGTGTCCGTATAGTTTTGAGCATAACTGTTTGCGAACACTTCTAAACGTTATGTTTTATGTCTATTAAAGTAAGAATGTATTTACTTAATAAAAATGTATTTACTTAATAAAAACTTATAAAAAAGACTTTTCTGCCATACCCGCTAATTATTACCAACAAATAAGGTGGTAACGCTACTATAATAGCGCCCATAAGATTTCTTATAGCATTTGATTGTTCTTTGACTATTGCCACATGTTGTATATGTTGAAAAGCTATTTTTACCATATCGCGAATGAACAAAAGTAAAAATATTATTGATCCAACAATAAACATGCGTAACTCTTGGCCAACAAATTGTCGTTTGGTTAAAACTTTTTGCTTCTTAAAATAAATTTATTTCTGGTTGTTCCTAGCTACATATATGTAATATACTATAAAAAAGTAAAAAATTTTAAATTTCTATTATTTAAATTTTCAAATTTCTATTTTTTTTTTAATTTTAATATTGTAATATACCTGTTTTAAAACCCTTCGAATAACGATGACCGTAGCCAAAAGCCCAAATACCATAATTGACATTTTGATGTAGAGCAAAATCGCCTCTGGTAATCCACTTTCTCCTTTTGATATCCATGAAGCCACTTCTATGTCATAATAGAAAAAGCTGTCATATGGACGAATATGATAAGAAAATGTTAGTATTATACCTCCAAGCCAGCTAAAGACTATCAAATTCTAAAAACTTTGTATTGTAATAACTTCTTTCATTTTTTCAAGCTTGTTTTATAAAATTAAAAATTTAAATCTGTCACCTTACATTTTCGTTTTTACCATCTTTATGTACACTTTCAGACCTAACAATAAGTAAGCGGTAAAATGCCAGAAATGCATGTTGAAGTATCATTGAGTACCATAAAAGATCAAATATTGTTGACAGAATCTGAAAAACAGTAACTTAATTTTTTATTTTAATATTTATTTTTAATTTTTGTATGTATGTTTAAATTTAAAAAAAAAGAGACTTGCATTAATTAAAACTCCTTGAAACGAAATAACGATCAGTTGTTGAACAGCACCAAAAATATAAAATAACATTGAGGAACTAGCGGCAATAATCAAAGAAAAATTCGTTCGCAATACAAGTTGTTTATTAAACTGTGGAGATCTTACAAGTACCTAAAATATCGTATTTTTTAAGTACTAAAAACTTTATTATATACAGTGGTCTCTCTATATAGTGAACAATCTGTATAAGCAACTCTCCTTATAGTAAACAAGAAATTTGGCCCACCAAGTCTATTTGCAATAAAAGATTGTAAAGACAACACACCTTACAGTGAACATGTCCCTTTGGGTTGCTCATACAAAGTGAGTATTATATATCTAATAAAAAAGTTTTTAAAAGCATTAATTGACAAGAAAAAACATCAATGAAATTTTACACTTACATAACCGACCAAAACGTGAGCAAAAGCCGACGGTACACATACAATAACAGTGATTACAGCATAAAATGTAGCACCATTCAGTATATTACTTTTTTCATCTTGTACAACAACCAAAAATTTATTATTTACATCGGTCATAGCAGTCAATGTAGCGTAATACCATCTATATACCTTATGCCGTACCGATAGAACTAAAATATATAATTGTAATTTTTAAAAAGTTAGTATATGTTTAATAATTGAAAAAGTTAGTTGTGTTTAATAATTGAAAAAGTTAGTATGTTTTTATTATAACACTAGCTATTTTAACAATTGAATATAAATAGTGAGGTTTGATGTTAAGAAAAACCTTACATGACAGTTCGTATGTTAATTGAATAAAACTTTTCTTTAATTCTATTACATATTACATTAAATCTATGTTTAACGTATTCTCAATTGATTTACTTATATATTTTTGCATTTATAAAAATAGAGTAAAGTTAAGTATCAAAAAGTTCACTTTAAACGTAGTTTTATTACTTTTGGTAATTTCATTATGATATTTTATTCAAAAATTAACCAAATGTTGTTTTAAAATTATAATACTTTTGAAACAAAATAAAGCAAAATGTCTGATAAAACGAAAGCTTTATATTCCAATATTACATACAACAACCACGTTTTTGAAACAGTTTTTATATGAAAGTTTCTTTTACTTACTTGTATATCCAAAAGCCAGTAGACGGTATCAAGTTGTAACTTGTGTTTTGAAAAACAGTGTGTAAGATGTTTGATTAACATATAAATATAACCTTATGTGTTAATTGTGTATTATCTTTCTTTGACGACGTGATCTATGAGTTGGACCCTGCCGAATTATGTATATAAACAGTTATTAGCTCTTCATATTATATTTTAAGTGGTGTTATGGTACAGCTTTCATATATTTAAATTTTTTTCAATTTTTTCTAATTTTTACTTGTCATCCCAATTACGCACACTTATTATGGTTTTGTGATTTTAACGATCAATTTACGAGTTGTTTTGATCGTGCGACAAACAGATGAATTACAAAACCGAGATTAGACAAAGCGAACATACACAATAAACTTTTGATCAACCAGCGGAAGTGAGTAAGAAAACAAGACACTTATCATTGTTTTATATTTGCCTTTATTTACTGTTTAGTACTATTAAAATTATGATTAATTAAGGAATTTGTACTAATGTTTGGTCCATAAAATTATTTTTGTTTTTGTACTTTTTTAAATTTTTAATTATTTTTATTTTCATCGGTAAATTGAAAAATTATAATTATAAATTATGGTGCTATTTTTAACTAAAAAACAGAAAAATCGCAAAAATATGCTCGTTTAAACTTTATTGTTCATTTTTCTTTCTCCACAATCTCAAGTTTGATCTGACACGTTCGTCAAGAATTTTTAAAAACCGTTTTTCACTCAATTATTTTCGCTTTTTTTACAGTGCTAATTACTGTGTTTTTGTCGTAAGTCGAGAAAAAATAATAAAAAAAACTGGACCGAGTAAATTACCGGCTGACTCAAAGTGTCTGCAAGCAAGATGACTGTAGGCTTGCTAGAAAACAAGTCTACAGGCGAATCATGCGCACATTCCTCTAACGTGCGTACAATCACAAAATAATAAACTTTTTATGTCGTTTCTTTGAAATTAACGTTTAGGGATGTTGCAGAAGAACAGCTTATTACGTTGTTTTAGATATAGAACCTTAAAATGAGCATAATATAGACCAATCGTTGGAAGAAATAGAGATATAAAAAAATATGATAAATTTTATAACTAATAAACATTTTTGGCAAAGAATGATGGTGAAGGTACTATTTTATCATAGATAATACTTTCGCATATTACAAAGCTTTTTTAGGCCAATCAACAATCTTTGTTGTATTTTCAAAAGGCGGAGTAACAAAAAAGTTATAGTTTTGACAAATTTTATAGACATTCATAAAAAACAAAAAAGACTACAGTAGAACAGAGTCGAGACAAAAAAGTGACGAATAAACAATTGTCGTTTTCCTCTATATGTTTATTTTCAAGGGTGCGTACATCTTCAGTGTCGCGTATACCAAACTTACGACGTTTTTAATTCACTGTGCGTTCGAACATCCATCTATACAGGTATCTCCACCTTCTTCTACAACAATGCTCATACAGGATTCCATCCTCCCCTTACAACAATGAACAACCCTTTAACCTGTTCTAAACCTGTCTCGACCCCTGACCCTCGACCTAATCGGTCTATATAAGCATGTCATCAGCATAGAATCCTCGTCATCGTCGGCCATTTCATCGAATATGGCGACCGAACCCTCAAAAGTTGAGCGGGCCGAACTGGCCGAGAATTTGCGAACATTGGCTTTTGTTGGCACCACATTGTCAACTGTAGCTTTGTTGATGGCTATTGTCAGTGTGCCGATGGCGTACAACTATGTACAATATTATCACACGATGATGATTGAAGAGATCGATTTTTGCAAATTCCGTTCAGCTAACATTTGGAAAGAGGTTGTGAGAACTGAAGTAAAATTTTAAATTCTTTTCAAGTAGCTATTATATTGTTAAGTTAACTTATATATACGTTTTTAGATCATGATATGCAACTGACTAACTGTGTGTTTTAGGATTTAAAAAGTTCATTAAATGTTTAATTTTAGTAACAAATAACTTTTAGTCCTTTGCCATGTTTGTTCCTCGTCAAACTAGATCTGCAAAAGGTCGTGTAACTCCCAACCACCGCGTTATGAACCGACAAGCGCACATGGGACCGCACCGCAGACGGCAAGCCGGTTACGGAGGTGGTGCTGCCGCTTCAGGCGGTGGCGGAGCAGCTCCTGGATATGGCGGAGGCTCAAGCAGTGGCGGAGCTGGTGGCTATGGAGGAGGCAAAAAGAGCGGAAGCCGTGGTGGCGGCGGAGGCGGTGGCTACGGAGGAGGATCCAGCAGCAGCAGCTCAGGTGGGTACGGTGGTCAAGTTGCAGCTCCAGCCCCAAGCTCAGGAGGAGGATGCTGTGGTTGCGGCGTGTCACCACCAGGACCACCCGGCCCACCAGGACCAGACGGAGGTCCCGGACAAGATGGAGGCCCAGGACCAGCTGGAAACCCCGGCCCAGACGGACCACCACCCCCACCACCAGCTCAAGATTATGGAGAGCCATGCTTCGACTGTCCACCAGGTCCAGCCGGTCCACCAGGAATTATTGGTCAGCCCGGTACTCCAGGTATGCCAGGTAACCCTGGCGAAGCCTTCTACGGTGACGTATTGGGAACTCCAGGTCCACCAGGACCTCCAGGACCCCCTGGTGGCCCAGGAAACGACGGAGGACCAGGTCAACCAGGACCACCAGGACAATTGCATGATGGACCAGCCGTTACAGGACCACCTGGTCCACCGGGTCCACCAGGACAAGCCGGACCTCCAGGACCACCCGGAGACACTGGACCAGCCGAGAACTACTCCAGCGGACAACCCGGTCCACCAGGAGATGCTGGACCAGACGGACCACCAGGTCAACCAGGACAACCCGGATCTCCAGGACAAGCCGGCACTTCGGGACCACAAGGAAGTTGCGACCACTGCCCCAACCCAAGAACCCCACCAGGCTACTAGACAAAGAGTTCTTGAAAAACAAAAATCTCAGTATAACGTTGTGGTAGATAGCGTCAATTGTTTTAGAATTGAGTTTTTAAAAGTTGAGTTTTTTGCCCTCGTTAAACCACTTGTAATTATGTCTTTCACAAACGGTGCCATGCCAAAAAATAAATAAATAGTAATAACTATTGATTTTTCGGCTTAAATTTAAAAAATAAATGTAAAAAAATGTAAAGAAGTTTATTATTTCTTACAGTATCTACAACTTTGTATTATAAAAAAGACTATAAGATGAGAAAAATGGGTTATTTTTAAAAAAGCGTAAAACTCAAGAGACGGATCAGCTTTTCCTGCTCATAAAAGAAAAGAGTTCTTTTAGAAAACTGAAAGATCTTACTGGATCACGGCTGCTTTTTACTTTTTTTCATTTTTACGTTTAATATTCATATTTATTTTAACAATTTAATAATTTTTTTTTTATTTTTGATAAATAAAAATTTTTTTTAGTTAAACTGGTTAAACTAAATGTTAAAATATATACTTAAAATTTTGCATTTTAATATAACAATATGTGCTAAAAATAAAATTTAAATTGCAGGGTTTTTCGTGTTTTAAATGTCAGCAACATGTGAGGAACAAGGACTTATGATTATAGATGAAGGAAATGTCGTGCAGGTAAGGTTGCGTGCACAAGTTAATCATTTTCAAATTGGTTTGGAATTGTAGCTGTTAAAAACTTGTTTTGGAACAATTTTTGAGTATTTTTGAATCGTTAATTAACCTCTTTCATGATTTAAAACATATTTTTGTGTCTCGGGAAGTGTCTGATGTTTTGTCAACACCAAAAAGTTTTTTTGCTTAGTCATTGGTCAAAACAGTGAACTAAAACTTCTGTATAACAAAACTACTTTATAAACAAAAAATTTAAGATCTCAGAACAATTCGTAATACAAGATTTTTAATAAAAATATCTTACAAAACATTTTTAGGCCGTTGGTAGTATGACAAAAATGAAAAAATTCTGTAGTTTATTTTGTCAAATTATAAACGCCGCGACCGAAGACGCTTTAACATCTACTGACATGTTAGAAACAATTACTATCGCATATCCCCGACATTACTTGGCCATCTCAAAGAAGGACACTAAAGTTTATGTGATTCGTATGGGTCATACTGGAAGTGCGGAAATGTTTGTCAATTCCGAATTGAATACATTGGAAACAACAAGCGTTTCCAAAATCATTGGTGAGAATTTACCCTCAGGCGATGAATTGGTCGAAGAACAAAAATAGTTTGGGTATAATGGTCAAAAATTATATAAAACTAAAAAATTTTGTTTATTTTGCTTTATTGGTGTGATCTCGAGATTTTTCAATAAATTTTGTATATAATGTGTCAAGAAGTTTTGTCGTTTTTAATTAAATTTTTTTGGTTAAAATGTCGCAAAATTTCTTGTCAAAACAATAATCAACTAACTACAAATTGTTTTGTAAATACAGGACTGCAAAAAGAATTTATTTATTAATAATTAAACACTTTGAAAAACTATTTCCAATGTAATTTACTTTCAAGTTACAAATTGAGAAAAATATAGTAAAAATTAATTTAAAAAATAAAAAAAAATGGTGTTGATCAGATGAAGGATGCTTGTCATTGTACCAGCTGGTTAAATTCTGAAAATATTATTTTAAACTTTTAAAACTAAAAATATTGAAGAAACTATCATTTTAAAGATAAAATATTATAGCAATATTAAAAATAAGACTTCTAGTTTCATAGGTGGTTAGGTATCTTTAAATAAGAAATTTGGTTTTCACAGATACGTAAAATATAGTAAAATTTCACTAACGTTGCAATGTCATTCGCTTGTTTTTGGCTATCGTTTCAAAAGCTTTGTCAAAGTTTTCAATTTTCTTCGCTTTCTCGCCCAACGCCTTGTACGCATTCAAAGCTTCCTTGGGACCGAGTACACCATCATTGTCAGCATCGTACTGGTCAAAAATTGCACCTGAAAAAAATGCACAACTTTTAATTTTAAATCTCATTTTACATGTGTTTCATGTTACTATAAGGTTTTTTATATTATCTTTACTACAATTCTTATCGTTACTCTTTATAGAAAAACAAAGAAAAATAAAAGTTAAATGTTTTTGCACTTACGTAGTTCAGCAATCGTAATTTTTTTAGCCATGGTATTGTCTTTCGAAGGTGGTAATGCTAAAATTTTACATTATTATGAATTTTTCCATTGCAAAAAAAAATAAAATGCAAATATAAAAAAAAATATTCAAAAAATACGGTAAGAAAAGTTCCAAATCTACGGTATTAAAAGCTTAACCGTCGCTTTAACATGTCCAGCTAAAGCTCCGGTTTACACTCATTATGTCGAGTTTCCTTCGCGTGAACAAAACGGAATGTGAAGGCGGGCATTTCCCAGGTTCAGAACATGGCGTGTTCTTATTTTAATATAATTTTTATTGCCGTGTTTCCTGGCCAACCGGTTGTTTTGGCTTCGAAATTGCACGAAACCTAATTGGTTTATTACAACACTTGTTGTTGCAATACTGGCGCAAACAAAAGTTTCGATTTAATCAAAACATAACCGAGTAATTTTCATTTAAAACTTATTAACTTTGTAAACCAAAGATATTGAAATTGACAGTTTAGAGATAAACATTCTCCTTTCGTCGCTCACAACAACCATAAAGGTGGTTCCGTAACGTAAAATTTTAAAAACACTAGTTACGCTACTAATATTTTTGAAGTCATAATCAATCTAATAACGCGACCACACGGCAAACTTATGTGCACACATTAACAGTGTAAATATAAATGTGAATTTTTGAAAAAAACATAATTGGGAAATGCTTTGGTTTTTAACAAATTTTACTTGGTGAAATTTCCATCCTTTAAAAATAAACCAAGAATCAAGTCGCCAAATATGTACAAAGTCGACATCCAAACTATACCACAGGTGTTTTAAGTAAATTTGCAATGACAATGTGCTGATTTACTACTTTTAAACCTTGTTTTATAAAAGCGTATTCCACATTTTAAAACAAATAAAAGTTTAAAAACACAGTAATCTTGCTTATAAAAATAAATAGGAATCGCCAATAACGTAGTTCATAAATACTATGCTGAAGTGCGACAGCGTGTCGCGATTGTCGCAATGCTCAAGCCACCACTGTGTTCAATGGAAGGTTTGCGACAAGGTTTTTTTGATTGTCGCAAGTCCCCTGACTCCTGCGACAACCGACCAGTGCGATAATTGGGGGCTTGCACTGCACGTCAAGTTGACTGCGGACTAAGATGATTTGTCACTTCGTTATCGGGTCGAAAAATAACGAAATGTCACAGAAAATAAAATTTTATTGTTTCGTTTTGCTTTTGGAAATAATTCCGGTCTTTTAGTCGATTAGAACGTTGCATGATGCTAGTTAGGTCAAAAAATTAGTAGAATTTTTTTATTTCTTAATTTGTTTGTCTTAATTAGCTTTTCTATTTACTTTTTGACCGGAAAGTAGAAAATTGTCCGAGAAAAAAATCTTTTTCTTTTCGAAAGAAACTATTCGCAACTATTGATTGTGACGAAGTGTGAAAAAATTGCCAAGTCCGCGTTTTGTTTTATTTCGACTTGACGTGCACTGTGCATTCTTTCTCCCATCGTTTGGGATTGCAAGAGGTCGCGGAGGAATTTGCACGGTGCAGTGGGATAAAAAAGGGCGCGATTTTCCCAGGGACTGCACCGTGCAGTTGTCAAATTCTTTAGTGGAACGACTGATATCTTGTTTTCGATAATAGTATAAAAGATGAGATGTGGTGAACTTACATTTTTTTGTTTTTGCTTGTTAGTTTAGATATGTATGGTATAGTTGTAAGAATTGTTGATTTTGGATTAATTTTTTTATACTTTACATCACTAGAAAAGAATCTTTTTTATAATTGGCGTTTTAATTTTTTGAAATTGCTGAAAGAAATGATAATTTTATCTCTTAATTCGATCTGAAACATTGTTTTAGGTATGACTCGTTTAGCTACAGAGTGCTTGAGAAAAGAATATGAGGCCTGGATGAAGGATCACCCTGTTGGGTTTTACTCATCGCCATCTAGGAATGCGGACGGAACGTTGGATTTTTACACTTAAATTTTTTAATTTAACTAATTTTAATTTTGTATTGTACTCTTATTTGAATATATTATAATAACTTTAGCAACAGATTACCTCCTTATTTTTTAGTACCGTCACTCACCGACCCGTCAATCCTGACGAAGCGAAACTTCGAAATGGTAAGAGTCACAGTATGGTTGTGTATATTGGTATGGGCATGAATATTGGCAAAGGCATGGCTGTCGTTATGGGCAGGGCCGGGCAGGGACTTTTGGTCTGGGGGCGGGGGTCTAAAAACCGGCACAGGTAAGCTACCTGTGCCGATTTTTTTGCGAAATTTTTTTTCTGAAAATCCACAGAAGGAACCACGTTCAACTTTTTTCAAAAATTTTTTTCTACGGGTCAAGATATGGATATTAAAATGGGTATGGCATGTGTATGGTATGGAATGGGTACGGGTTTAGGTATGGGCATAGTATGGCATGGGGTTGGGTATGGAATGAATGGGTATGGCATAGGCATGGGTGTAGCATTGGTATGGCATGGATTTAAATATAAGATGGGTATGGCAAGGGTATGGCATGGGTTTGGCGTGGTTATGTCATGAGTATGGGTACAGGTTTCGGTATGGCATGTGTTTAGTATGAGATGTGCGAAAATTGCTTTAAACCGCGAGGGCCGAAGGCCCGGGCCAACTTTTGTTATTATAAAGATGGAAGGAAGAAGGGCAGTGTGGGAGAAACTCCACCCCAGGTTAAGATCAGTCCATTCTCGCCGAGCACTGGGTCAACACCAGCTGAATCCCCTGGTAACGTTACTGGTTATACTGGTACTGCTGCGTCGGCGGCTAGTTCTTTGGTTTTACAGTGGCATTTTTATTTCAAATTTCATAAATAACTTACATATTAATGCAATAAAAAGAATTTTGCCATTTGTGTACAACCCTAACAAGCCTAAGCTCATAACTAGAATGTAAAAGTAACCTTAAAGATTACTGACACATCATTAAATTAAAAGAGAAAGTAGTATTTTCTCAAGGAAATAATTTTTGATAAAGAAATAATTGAAAAAGAAAACATTAACTTAGCTTTGGAAAACAATAACTGATTTATTTACAATATAACAAGAAGATATTTGTAAAAAAAACTAATCAACTAATTGCTGGTGCTTCTGACATACAGGTAATTACTCCAGTCCAGTTTGCTTTGTCTATCAAAGCTGAAAAAACGTTAATAATCCTGTTATAGATTTTAAACGTAATAGAAAAGGTTAAGTAGGCTTACGCTTTGCGAATTTTCTAATGACGCTTTATAAGATCAAAGTTTGGGATTACACAGATAAAAATAGTATATGTAGAAAGACAACTTTAGGTTTAGAAGGCGTAGGCTTAGTAGACTTAGGCTGAGTAAGCTTAGGCATAGTAGGCTTAGTCTTAGTAGGCTTAGGCTTAGTAAGCTTAGGTTTAGCAGCCTTATGCTTAGTAAGCTTAGGCTTAGTAGACTTAGGCTGAGTAAGCTTAGGCTTAGTAGGCTTAGGCTTAGTAGGCTTAGGCTTAGTAGGCTTAGGCTTGTAGGCTTAAGCTTAGTAGGATTAGGCTTAGTAGGCTTAAGCTTAGTAGGCTTAGGCTTGGTAGGCTTAAGCTTAGTAGGCTTTGTAGGCTTAAGCTTAGTAGGCTTAGGCTTAGTAAGCTTAGGCTTAGTAGGCTTAGGCTTAGTAGGCTTGGCTTAGTAGGCTTAGGTTTATCAGGCTTATGCTTAGTAAGCTTAGGCTTAGTGGCTTAGGTTTAGCAGGCTTAGTAGACTTAGCACAATAATATAAAGTTAAAGATGTAATTTTTATCTTCAGATCACCAGTTATACTATACTCATAAAATATGGCAGGCAAAAAGTGTTACAGCACATAAAAATGATGTACTCGCAGTAATTTGTTAGGTCGTTTTACACCGGGCTAAATATTACAAAAATGAATAATATTATATAAGAAAGGTGATGCAATAAAATTTCTTGCAATTTACCTAAAGCTATTTTATGATGCAGGTACGTAATCCGTATTATCTAATATAAATTACGCGTAAGATATATTATTTTGCACCAAGTAATTTAATGCAAACTATAACAGGGTGTAAGTATTAATATGAGTGAGTAAATTAGCGTAAGATATTTAAGATCATTTTTAATAAAAGTTTAATTGTCATTGTTATAAGTTTAAAACTTACTCAATGGAATAGCTTGCAAATTGACAAATGTATTCCCTTTCGGATAGCCGGACGCCCACGTCACATTGTCAGGCAACGCCGTGCCATCCGTGTAAACGTAACTTCCGTTCGAATAATACGCACCAACATATCCTTGCCCACTACTCATTACTAAAAAAATAAAATATCTAGTATTTACTTGAAAAAATATGTTTGATTCATAGTGTTTGAAACATACAAGTAAGTTCCCCGTATATCAAGGGATGAATTAGCTTGACGCCATAACCATTTGTCAGAATTGTACTGCATGCATTGTCACTAAAAGCCGTTACGCTCGTTGTATTAAGTGTAACCACTGCATAACAATAGTAAATGTCGTTGTAAATCAACGGCATTCCTACTGAATCACAGTCGTAATCTGCTCCTTTTATCACTTCTAAAACTTGACAAATCAAAAATTCCACACACATAATAATATCGTCCATTTCTTTTGTAAATATTTTTTCAAGATATATGGAAAACTTACGTGGCCTAGTCATAATAAAACAATTAGCATCAGTAAACACCCCAACACGATAATTAGAAACTTGTCCACCGTATTTTGACGTAGAGTTTTGATTGGCACACTAAAATAATTAAGTTTTATCATGATTTTTCATTTTCTTTATATCTTCAATCAATTAAAAATCTTTTTAGCGTCAAAGCATTATTTTATGACAGTAAATAATCCTTACCGGTGACGAACAGTAACCCCACGTGTCATTGTACTGAAAATCGTATCTTGGTATACAAGTTGAGTTTAAATACGAGTACTGTCCCATTAACTGTTGTGCTCGTTGACCGGTTAAACAACCCGAACATTCCGAATCATCACGAATATACCATACAGTTTGATTATATGTTGAAGCTAAATTAAAATCAATCAATTAGTTAGCAAAACGTACGATAAGTCTCAATGTGATACGATTGTAGTGAACTGTAACTGTAGCACACTTTGCTCGTGTAGTTATACTGTAACGCAATAGCTTCACTGTACTCGTTTATTTGATCATAACATTCTTCAAGACTAGCGACGTTACTTATAGTTTTGTAATTAAAACCAATCGGCAAATACCGCATAGGCAGTTGACGATAAATGTATGAACTCTATAAAACACAATTTTTATGCCTTTAAAAGGCACTAGCTAAATTTATTATCTGTCTTACATAGTAGTGTTATAAAACGTTATAAACTTTCATAATATGAAAATTATACCTTTCTAAAGACCTGTAAAAACTTACAACAACAACTAAATCAATGAAAACAACAACCAGGTGAGCAAAATTCAAGCAAACCATAGATTCTTTGAACGCATCAAGTCTGCCATAAAACAGAATAGAAACACCGTTCCAAATTGTTTCGCACCCAATTTAAATTCCGTCTCTATGAGAAGCCGAAGGCACAGTTAAAATTTTTTATAACAATTTGCATAACAACGCTACTATTAAAACAGTAAACAATTGTTGCTCTTTCAATTTACAAAAGAAACATTAATCACCTCAGTCAAAGTTCTATTTTTTATTTGCTGTAGCACAAATTTCGCATAAAACCTATTAAAATACTTTTAATAAACCCTGGCAATTCTGCCATTAAAAACAATTTACTTCAAACAATTTTACTACATTGACCATTACATTTCCTATTTAGATCTTTGGGAAAAGCGGCACGTCCGAATGCTTTCCTTGTCTCTTGTCGAACTCCGGATCTTGAGAAACCTTCTTGTAATACTCCCAATCCTTAGACAACGGCTTGTCGGCTTCCATAGATCCCTTAGAAATCTGAAGCTCGTAAGGCGGTTCCATGTTCTTCTTGTCCATGTAGAATATACCGCCCTTCCAGAAAGAGTAGTCAAAGTTACCGGCAGCCAATTCAGCCTTGTGTTTCTTCAGTTTCTCCTCGCGCTCCGCCATTATTTCGGGATGTTGGCGTTCCCAAATCATGCGATGCTTCTGTTTCATGTACACGTCTTGAGCTCCAGCAGCTATTCCCAACTCTCCGTATTTGATGAACCAGTTCAACTCCGCTTCTTCATAATCTTCAAAAGCTTTTGAACAGGGTTGCAAGTATGGTTCGTTCTCAAAAAAGCATCGCTCCATACGTTCAAGCAACAACTCCAAGATGTAGGTATCAACAGTTTTATCCAAACGATATTGTTCATTCGCTTCGTAGATACATGACTAAATTTGGAAATATAATAACTACGTTTTTTTGCCTTTGAATAATGAATTTTTTAATTTTAGGTACAAAAGTTGTGAAAGAATTACACCACAAAACCAAAAACCTCATTTAAATTTTTTCTATCTTCTTACCCTTTTTCCGTATAAAAACATTGACAAACAAGCCTAAACAAAAAAATCAAAGTTAAACCAACATACGTTATCACTAACACCACATTGGTCAATATCCGGAACGCGAGTGAATTTGCGTTGATAATAAACTGGTCGATATCTGTCGTGCAGCGGATCTAAAACGTTCTCTTTGAATGCGGTTGCTGGCCAATCGAAAGCTCTTTGGGCATAATATTTGGCACGTGGCCAGATTGTTCCACGAGAATCAACTTCACGAAGTTTCCAGTACGCATCCCAAGATTCTTTGTCTTTAAGGCGACGAGCTTGTAGTGCCGAAAGCTGTTTTTCCGGCGCTTCCGTTGCCATCTAAAAATCAAAAGCTAGAAAAGACATAAAAAACAGAAATACAAGCGAGAAAATTCCGGAAATGGCAAATATAACAAAAACATCAACAATAGAAAACAAATATAAATATTTTAACGTAAATGATACCCAAAAGAAATAAAATCCCCGATATTATGCTAGTTTTAAAAAAAGTTTAACAAAAAACTGAACGAAACTCTGATGCAACGGAATGCCAAAAGCTGTTTTTGCGGTTAAAAGCTTTCGTTTCGGGGCAATAACAAGGTGAAAAAAACCTTTTTTAAAATGTTTTATAAAACAATAAGTAGTATAGAGTGGAATTCCTGTATAACGAACTCCTCTATAACGAAAATCCTGTATAACGAACAACTTTTAAATCCCCGGCCGAAGTTCAGTGCATTTGCACCGACAAAAAACTCCTGTATAACGAATTCCTGTATAAAGAAACATCGAATATAATTTTAACAGCGGAATAATAAAAAAGAAACGCAACTCTGTTTTGGACAAGGACTTTGATGAAAAAGTGCTACGCAACGGAGTAGAAACCTTCCAGTGTATGGACCAATGTTACTTGTAAGTGTGATCTTGTGTGATTGTTTTACATAATTTTACAAGGAAAAGGGATAGAAAACGGTTTTAAAGAAAGTAATGGTTGGCTCATATCGTTCAAGCAACGCCATGATATAATGCTAAAGTCAATGCAAGGTGAATAAGGAAGTGTAGATTTGGGAGAGCTTTTTTTAGAAGATTTAATAATCACAATATTCGCTGCTGCAGCTCAAAAGTCATTGAGAACTTTAGAACTGTAACTCAAACAAAATGGGAGCATTGAAGACGCCAAGAATTATGAGAAGTTTGAAAAAACAGTAGAAGATGTCTTTAGAATGCAGTTAAAACAAGCGAAGAGAACAGATTATTTCAAATCAATGTTAATTCCATTGTTTTATAGTAATAAAGTTGTTTTTATGTTAATAACTCCTATATAACGAATTTACTTTAATTTAAAGGGTCCAAGGACTCCTGGATAACGAAACTCCTGTTATACGAAACTCCTGTACAGGGCCGGGCGGGGACTTTTGGTCTAGGGGCAGGGGTCCAAAAAATCGGCACAGGTAGCTACCTGTGCCGATTTTTTGCGAATTTTTTTTTCCGAAAATCCACAGGGGGGGGACCACGTTCAATTTTTTTTCAAAAAATTTTTTTTCTGGGGGGGTCCCCCCGCCCCCCCCCCCTCTCGCGCCCGGCCTTGCTCCTGTATAACGAACAAATTTTCAATCCCCTTGCGATTCGTTATACAGGAGTTCCACTGTATTTTTAAAAAAATGTACTAATTTTTAATTTATTTTAATCAATATATTAAAATATTAACTTTTCATAACTATTTATAATAATGACATTTTCTATAATCGGTAAACTCTTTCGTTTGTCTGATTTTCCTTTTCAAAAGTAAGTGAATCTTCGGAATAATCGTCCATGGTAAAAACAAAACTAGGTTTGTTTGGGATAGTTTGTATTACTTTTAGCGGTACCATTCGTTTGTACAATATCACCCAAAAGATTAATGTAAGGCCAATTACTGTAATTTCAAGCAACCATGCATAAACTGGTCCGAACTGCACGTACAAAGAGCTTATACCAATGGGTCCGAAGAGACGAGCTATGGACTGCATCATTTGGTACATCGATTGTTCACGAGCTTGGTTTCGAGGCCCAATTATGGTTGATAACAAGGTGGATACACTGATGTTGATGGTTGAGAATGAAAAGCCAATAAGTAATCCAAACGAAATGAAGTAAAGCCAGATATTTGTGGGATGGACCCAGTGGCACCAAGAAAAGTGGTCTGTATTACATCCGAGGGGTTCTGTTGATCTGTTACCGGCTAGGTATGAAACGTAATCTGAAGAATAATTGATGTTTTTAGAGGAACTTTTTTCAATTCGAAAATTGTTATATCGTTTTAGGTCTCTAAAAATAATATTGAACTTTTTACGTTTTTGCGCAAAAATTTTTACCGTTTTCTGAATACGTTTGTAAGTCGGTGTTTAAGAACGGCCACGAAAACGTCAGGAGATGAAATAACATTAACGTAGAGACTGAAATAACTGCAAATATGCGGAAGTCTACTCTGAAATTTATACGATTCATATCTCTTAACATCCTGTGTTTATTCATTTGATTAAAAAAAATTTCGAATTATCTAAGCACAACTCTTAGACGTTTTTTACTTACTTTGTGTCCAACTTGCCACAAATAAACGTAGAGTATACTACAAAAGCCAAAAAACCCATTCCAAGGTGAGCGGTTGACATGAACGTTACTGTATCTGGTTTACTTTTTGCAAACATAACCATAACATATGTCGCTCCAATTGTTTCCAAGTTAGTTAGTACAAAAAATTGAGAAAATCTGGTAAAATAACACAGTGATATCGCTTTTTTGTCAGCTGGCGGCAGTTTTTCATTCGAATTTTGAGGGTTGTTTGCTAAAAATCCAAATTTTAATCCATATGAACATTTCTTCATTACGTACCTGGTCCATGATGTGACATTACACCGTATGTTTCCTTAAATACACATAGCCATAAACACAAAGACAATATATTCCCAATCATACAGAAGAAAGCCGGAGCTGTGTACATATTAAGACCAAACATTGAAGAAATTTGCCATCCAGGGTAGCCGATGGGTATCAGGAAAAGTTGAATTACTACAATTTTAAACTTTAATTACAAAAAAAGCTTGCCTCACCTGGTCCCACTGTAGAACCTATACCAAGACCTAGACTCATTAGAGCTATAGCTCGTGATCGGTCTTTGTGTAACGACGCCATTGAGATGTATGTTCGCATTAAACTCATTGCAGCTACAAAATTTCAAATTGTCACTTTTGAAAAGTAAGAAAATATAATATTTTATCCTTAAAACATTTTAAAAATATACGATAACTTACTTTCCCCAGAGCCAGCTACAAATCTAGCCAAAAGTATAACGTACTTTCGATGAGATGGTAGTAATCCCGCACTAACATACAAAAGGTTTCCCGTAAAACAAGCCAGTACACAACATAGTGTTGGAAGATATATACTTTTACGACGATGCGACCACCAACCCATTATTGGCGACGAACATAGTTGCCCCAGACTGTATGACGCTACCACAAATCCGTAAAACGTTTCGGTTGCTGTTGAGTCAAGCTATAAACTTTTTAACATTATTAATGAACAAAACATTCAAATACTTTTTAAATACTTACAATTTGCATATAAGGCCATACTGGTGCAAAAAACATGGAAAAATGAAGTGCCATTACAAATGTCAAAAATCCAGTGATTCCAACGGATACCCATGGTGTTTTTGCTCCTTTAGGAGGTCGCGAGTTTTGCAAATTAAGCGAGTTGTGCGCGTTTGTTACTTTTGACTGTATTGACATTAGCTATCCTTTAAATTCTACTTACAGTAATTAATTATAAAACTAATACTGAAACTGTATATATTATTTTTATTAGTAAAATAAATTAATAATTTATTTTTTACAAAATTTTTGCTAGATTAAAAAGCCTACTTTTAATTACCAGTTGAAATTTTAAAAAAAAACTAACTTTAAAGCTACTAAAGCGATACGTTGGTTTAAAAAATTATGCTATTTCTGTAAACTTTTCATTTACCGCAAAAGATTTGCATATTTAGTAATCGAGACAAGCTGTATTATCTGAGCTAGGTTGAACGAAAGTAAAACCTACCAACTATTTAATAAAGTTTTATATGATACTTATATTCAGAAACTTATTTATTAAAATATTATTATATAAAAAATATTTTAACAATATCATTATTATTTTATACAAACACTTACTAACAGTATAAAATAAAATATAAAGTAAATATAATACGGTATTTTATACGGCATGTTCAGAAGACAGTGTTGTAACTTCGTGTGTATAGTTTTGATGTCTTCTCATTCTGAACGCTGCAGTTGAAGCATAGTAAGGCAAGATGCCATTACCGTAAGGAGATTGCCATAGGGATGTTGCACTGCCCGGATAACATGCCTTAAAAAGTTATATTGAATTAAACCTTTTTTTTGAGATTTTGCTTGTATTAAAGAAAATTTAAAACTTATTTTTAAAGGTATAAAACTTTTAGTACTAAAAAATGAAAAATTAGATCTTAAAGCTAAGAAACATACTTGGACATAAAAATCCGCCGACGATATACACAACAATAATACAAAAATAAAGTTTACAAACATGTCTATTATATTATAACCTGCGACAAGATATGATAAATGCTAAAAAGTTACTTTAACCTGCTGTTATATACTGCAGCCAACCTGTGTATCATGATCGAATAAGAAAAACGCATTCATAAGCGTACGTCATATGTAACAAGAAACTTCTTACAAAATGGAGTTACTCATAGTGGTGTGGCTAGCGCAACATTCTTTTTTATAATTATTCTTTTATAGTATTTCTTTAATCTAAAGACTGTGATTAAGATCAACGGTGACAATACAATAGAAGTGGTTGTTTTTAATGCGTATAAGTCTAGAAAATAACCTTTCAGTTGCTAGAAAACTTTTTCATAATGAGTAAAATACAATACATTTAATCTTGTCTTCTATGACAAGTTACAGAAACTTGCGATTTAACACCATCAACTTTTTTTTCAACTACCGCAAATCACAAAACTATTATTCGTCAATCAAAACTATTTCCGGAACACAATCATCTGTTTTCACATATACTTTATTCATAACAATGTTTTTGTTTATCAAAAATTTAAATGGAGCCATTCGAAAAATTTTCGTAACGTTGAACAAAAAGAAAAAGAAAGAATCATACGATTTGATGTTAATAGTCCTTGTGACATTTTAAAAACTGATAGGGATGTTTTAGTTCTTTACTATTTAAGAAAATTTTTCACGCGGTGATAAATTTATCTTTTTTTATTTTTATGGGTTTAGTATATTTTTTGAGGTAAAATTATTAAAAATCAATACTCTTATAGTAAAACAACGAACTTTTTGTTTTAGAAATGTAATTGTATTAAAATATTTAAATTTTTTATTCCAGTACATTGAAAGACTACAATCAGTATTTGTTTTAAAATTTAAATGTGTTTAAATGACGACTTATGTAAAAACAAAAATTGTAAGTTTGCAACAATTGAGCTTTATAAAGTAGGTTTAGGAAGTTCAGAAAGCTGTGTGTTAAGAGAAACAAAGATTAAAAGCGGAAAATATTTTTATCTTTTTTTAGCAAAACAAAGAGAATCTATTTGCTCTCCTCCAATTCATACTCATTATTTTTAAATCGTATTAGTTAATGTGTATAGTCAGTGCTTGATACCATTAATTTTGTCGTCCATTTTGGCTTGAAAAGTTTTAAAAGGATTTTTGGAAAAAAATTTTTTGCAAAAAATCGGCACAGGTAGCTCTTGTAGAGGGGGTTTATGTACCAAGATGCGGATTTAAAATTTAATTAATTGTTTAAATTAAAATTTTTTAAATTTAAATTAAGAAGAAGATAGTACTTTTTTTGCAATCTTTGTACTCAGCTTTTGTTGAAGTTTGTTCGCTGTAACAAAACTTGTTTACTTTCTATTATCTTTGATGCAAACATAATTATGAGCAGTGAAAAAGACATATAGATTGCTGGGAAAAAGTTAATGGATGTTTTTCAGTATCGCAACAACAACTTTAATTAAAATTTAGGCTGAGTTTTTTAAAAGTTTTAAATTAGCCTTGATTTTCGGAATTGATCACTAATTTGTACGCCATTGAACTTTATTACTTTTAAACACTAATAGAACTATCACCTTAAAATTTCAGAACTACGTCTTTTTTAGATATACTATACATGTCAACAACGATTTCAAAATATATTGACGTGGATAATATTTTAGCATAATCTGACAAAGAAAGTGTTTGTTTAAAAGTTTTTGTCTTACTGGTTACGACCTTCTAACCTCGTGAGCATAACAATCGTTTAAATCGAGGTTATAACTGATCGGCGGTTTTTTTTGTTTTTTGAAATCACGCGTGTTTCCACGTTCGTTATTTCCTTTTTACGGGCTGTAACTTTAAGTTTTTCGATTGATTTAAAGGTTTTCGATTTGTTTATCTGAATAGAATACTATTCGGTTATTAAGTTTACACAAGTTTATAATACCAATTCACCTTTTGTAATTGTTTTATTATACATGTGTGTTGTGTACATGTTTTCAATGTTGACATGCCCTTGACTCTTGACCACTGCATTGTCAATTCGACCCTTGTAATTTAATTTGCGTCTAGACTGGAATGTCATGACTTGCATTTTAGTTCCTCCTAAAACATTTTTTTCGGCCCTTTTTTAATCGAGCGGCACTCTCGAGGCACAAAATATGAGATACTCGTCGGGGCCGTTAAATGACTTTTTGGCGCTTAAAGTGTAATAAAAGGTTAACATTCGGTTTGGAGTTTGTTTTTTTGACATTTAAAATTTTGCTTTTGTTAATTTATTAATGTATAATACTTATTTTTTAATTTTTCATTAATGGTATGAGAAATGGTATTAAAACTTTTTTGCATACAAGAAGCATCACTGCCATAATAAATTTGCCGCGCTTTTTGGCTTGTTTTACACACTGCTCTAACAGAAAGTTTATGGTATTTATTATGTTAACTCGAGGTTTTGTGCTGCTCTGTGGACTAGTCTTTGTTATGGTTGATTTTTATATTTATGTTACGATTTGGCTATGCAAAAATAAATTCCAAACTTTTTTAGATTTGAAAATGTTCGGCCCAAGGCAAAATTCTCACGAAGGAATTACAGTAAGCCATTTCGCGGTAGATGAACTACGAAAATCCTTGTCTGGTTCTGAACAGAGGATATTTGACAAATTCACAGAATACATGTCAAAGTAAGTATATAAGAGAAATTTAAAAATCCTGAAAATCTGGTGTATGTAAAAGGATGCCATAGTGTAACTTTTAAAAGTACAATATTCAGTATATAATTTTGTAAATAATGCTTTCAGATACCGCCGATCGTACGCCGATGAAGATGAACTACGTTATCGTTACCGTATTTTCCGAGAAACGATAAAAGAAATTAAAGCTAGGGGAATGTCGGACGAAATCAATGCTAAACATTTTACCGAATTCACCGACTGTCTGCCAGTGGACTCGCGGTTCATGTGATCTTTAAGATCATTCTGAAGACATATGAACGTATATATCTGCATACTTGTACATACCAATATTGGGCTACACTGAATGCTTTTATATTATACTGCTTTGAAAAAATCAGTGTCAATATAAAAAGCATTAAAGTCTTTATTGTAAACAATATCTATTTAATTGCGTTTAAATTTTTTTTATTATCAGTATTTACAGGTAGTCCTCTAATTTTCAACTAAAAAAATTTTGAACATCGTTTTTAAAACTGCAAAAACTATCAAATACTGATGCAAAATTAAATTTAAATTCTACATAACAGCTAAGTCAACTGAAATACGTCGTATAAAACAGCTCAAATTATATTTCGTTTAACAACGTTAGTAATAAATCTTTTGTTTGTACATATTAAAAATAACGTAATAAACTAAGACTACCGCGCCATATCAGATTGGAATTCCAAAATGAAAACTAATTTTAATTTAACAATGCTATCACATATCATGTCAAATACCGTATTTTCGTATTAAAACACAAATCATTTTTGCGCACACAAAACGCTGTAGCTTTTACGTGGGCGTTCCGTGTTCTAAAACAGGAAAAAAAACAAGACTGGGGTTTGTACAACACTATTTTTCTTGTCAATTTATACAGATCGTCTAAAGGAATGTTAATTTGACTTCCATCAATTTGTTTGGTATGTTACAAAAGCAAAGTACAAAAAAACACCACGTACAAGCTTAAGATTACTTGTCTATATTAATGAAAAATTAATATAAAAGAAAAATCTATTAACAATAAGCCAAAATTCTTTTAATTTTAAAGAATAAAAAATTTCAACCTCTATAACAAAGAACTATCGATCCCCGGCTAACACTAAGCAGTGTATTTAAAACATCTGTATAACGAAACCTCTTCATAACGAACAAATTTTAAACTCCTTAGCTATTCGTTATACAGAGGTTTTTCTGTAATATAGACTTTTTACAAATAAATTTTGCACTTCACGAACACTTTTTGGCAATAACAAGTGAAAGGAAAGTAATCTTTCAAACGGCAGTGTAATTTTGCTGTTCGCGCGCTTTTTCTTCACTAACTATAGTCAAGAAGCAACGGTTTCTAAAGTTGTAAAGCATCATTAAACCGTTTAACTAATTTCCGGAATCGCCTTGTTTACAACAGCGCGTTGCAGCAACATTAACTTGTCTTTTTCCTTATCATTACTGTTTTTTACTCAGGTTTTTCAATTTTAGGTAACTCTTTTTATCGGTCTCTCATTTTTAGTACACTTTTGTTTAAATTAAAATGTATAACGCAACGTTTTCTCATCATGTCTCGTGTCCTGAGGTTTTGTCATCGAATGCAATGCCTAGCATCTCTTCCTGAACTTTTGTGCAGCCTATCAACACACTCGCCCTAACCCACTTTGGTTACAATAATCCACACCATGGTAAACGTATATAAGGTCAGCTGAATTACCAGAAAAGTCGTCTGTCTCATCAGCCTCTAGCAAGGATGACTGATAAGCAAGCTCAATACGAAGCTGAAAGCCTTAAACGGTACGCTTTCGCTGGTGTTGTACTATCAACCGCCGCTACCATCTTGGCCATGTTGATGGTACCAATGTTCTACAACCACGTCCAATTCATGCAAACTAACATGCAGAACGAGCTTGACTTTTGCAAATCCCGCAGTGGCAACATGTGGAAGGAAGTCACTAGAACTCAGGTATTTTTTGCAAACTAGTAATATTGATATTATTAAATTATTATTGCAGTTAATTTTACTTGTTTTGAACATATACCAATTTAATTTACCACATATTTTTAGGTCCTATCCGATGTACATCCTCGTGAAGCTCGTGGAATCCGCCATCGTCAAGGAAGATCTCACCATCTAGGTGGCGGCATTCACCACGCTCCTCGTTTCGAACGTCAAGCCGGAGGTGGCTGTTGCGGTTGTGGTGTATCACCAGCAGGACCACCAGGCCCACCAGGACCAGACGGACAGCCAGGAAACGACGGACAACCAGGAGGCCCAGGAAATGACGGTCCACCAGGCCCAGCTCCATCTCGCCCACAACAACACGCTGAGCCATGCCAGACCTGCGAACAAGCCCAAGCTGGTGCCCCAGGACAGCCAGGACCAAAAGGACCACCAGGACAAGCCGGAGCTCCAGGACAATCTGTTCAAGGAGGCGGACAAGGACCACCAGGCCCAGCCGGACAACCAGGTCCAGCCGGTCAACCAGGAGGACCAGGAAATGACGGACAACCAGGAGCTCCAGGACAAGTTAAAGAAGGCCCACCATCAGTTGGACCACCAGGCCCACCAGGACCCGCTGGACCACCCGGAGGACCAGGAAACGCTGGAGGCCCAGGAAACGCCGGACAACCAGGAAGTCAAGGACCACCAGGAGACGGAGGAGCTCCAGGTGCTCCAGGAGTTCCAGGAGGAGAAGGACAACCAGGCCAACCCGGAGAAGATGGCGGTAAGGGATCGTGTGACCACTGTCCACCTCCACGTACCGCCCCCGGATATTAAACTGTACAATAATTCTCTGAATAAATTGTTTCGACAATTATCCACTTCTTTGTTACGCATCATGAATTCGTTTTCAATTTCATAAGAACATTTAACTTTAAAATTTTCCAATATGTATTACCGATAATTTTTGTGGCACTTCGCAAAAAAGCCGATAAATGTGTGACATTTCGCCAGAAAACTGACTAGAAAATAAAAGTCGATTGAAGAAAGCTCGAGAGAGACGTTTTGCTAAACCATTCGTCTTCTCCCTGACCCGAAACTGGCTGTCTTGTACATATTATCTACTAAATCGGTTTGAACGGATTTGTTATTCTTTCCGAACATTTTAAAGCTTATCGCGAGGAATTAGGTTTATTTTTCAGCTTTGTAATTTATTTTATCGAATGACACGGGAATCTATACGTTGAATTGGATTTAGGAATGAGAGTAGCTATTGGTAAAGAGCTCCAAACAGTTGTATTCGTCCATGTTTCTGTATTTCCAAAGGTTATTAGTTACGTTTTTGGTTTTTATAAATTATGTGGATTGTTTATTCATGGTGGGCTTTTATTTTTTGTTTTATTTTAGATGTGAAAAAACTCAAGAGCGCATCGATTAAATATGTTAAAGCTATTTTTTTGGATTTTCTGAGGTATTACATAACGTTTTCATATATAAATGTGTTTTTGATTCTTTTTTGAAACGCCAAGATTAACCTTCTTTTTGCATTCTTGAATTTGTTATAATATTTCTGATGCCGAAGTTTTGAACAATATGTTTTTGTGAATAGATCGAAGAAAGTTTTTTTGATAATTAACATATTTTTTTCTCGTTTTACAACTAACTTTTCAAACTTTAACCATTTTTAGATCTAAAACTTTTATATTACTTTATTTTATATACAAAAATTATTTTTTGGCTTACAGATTTAGTCTTTCTTTATCAGATCTTTGTCTTTAAGTTTTCTCTACCTGTTCCATTCTGACTTACGATCAGGTTTTCGGTAACGTTTTTTTTTGTATGGTAAATTGTTTTATAATTATGAATTATTTTTCTTTTTGTTCGTGTGACAAGCAATCTATATATTATCTTTCAATCTTGTAGGCAATATGAAGGATTTATGTAAATGGTGTGAAATTTCATAGTTTTATTACGCTATATTTACAAAGCTAAAGCTGCTAATTTTTTTCCAAACAAAAGAGTTAGTTGCAGCGGTAAACACTTGAAAAGAACTGGATTTCGAGTTTAGTTTCATATGAATTTTAAATTTTTTTGGTTTGGAAGCTGTCGTGGGGTTTTTGCTCGATTTTGAGTCGCTTTGAACAGCTTCCGACTCTTTTGACAGTGGTTTTTTCTTAATATTTGAAAACGGCGCTTTGAGTCGACGTTTTAGCTACAAGTATTTAAATCATTTATTTGACTAAACAGACATTTTTTAAACAGAAATTGTAGTTTTGAGGATTATTTATAAAATGTCTTGTGTTTGCAATTTGAGCTTCTCTTATATTTTTTAAATGTTATGTTATTCCATTATATTAGTCCTCTTTATTCTGTTGTTTATTAATGTCTATATTTGAACAAGAGTAGCTCCAAAAATATATTTTCAATTTGTTTAATTCGACCCCGTTTTCAAAGATGTGTGGCTTAGAATAAGAGCGCCAAAAGGCCACATAGGGGTGAAAAACTGTTCCACCGGATGGAAAAGAATAAAAGTTGGCCAATTTTTACACACGGAAGGGATTTGCTCTTTTCGTAATACAATTTTCAGCTGTTTTTAAATTAATTTTACGTGGATGCTTTTCTGTTTTACTCTTTTTGCGTTTTTAAATGTGTGGTTTTTTACAAATTGGCTTTGTAAAATTAGTAACATAAGCGCTATGGTTACGCAAATCTATTTTGCAAGAAAGTTTTTTAAGAAATTTAAAACCTTTTTTCTGTAGACAAAAGCAGCGTTTGGTTTGTACTTTTTAACATGTGGGAATTTGACGTGGTTATGTTTTGAGGAAAGGGATGGGGGATGTCTTAATTAGACATGTGGTGTGACGTTATGCCAAAAATATACTTTAGTTTGTTATATTTTTTGGCAATATTGAGATTTTAAATACTAGAAATCGAAAGGCTTTTACGGAGCATTATGGTTTGATATTGCGAACTTTTTTTGTTATATTGAATCTCTTTTTAAATTTTTAGGACAATGAAAAAATGTTTGCAAACATTTTTTCGTTCTATTGTTTTGTCTTGGGCCCAAAGCAGCGTCAAAAGTCTAATGAGTGTTTTCAAACATTTAATTTGGGGTGATAGGTTGGATTAAGGCTTGAAGTAGCGGTGACAGCGTTTATGTTTATTGCATGAAAACAACAGAAATATTCTTTCATTTTATATCAACAAACGTGGGTTTAAATTTCAGCTAATTGATATTGCTGTTCTTTAAATATTTTGTTTTGGCTCTTATTTTGACCACTTTGTATTATTTATAATAAAAGTGAAGGTTTAGTAAAGGGAGAAAATTCATATCTTACTCAAACCGTGCGAAATTTTTTCTTTAGGTCGAGAGATTAATCACGTTTAGGAAAAAGTAGGAAGAAAATTTTGCGATGTATTTACGGTCTAGAAGTTCGCATACTTATATATGTACACGTCGTGCTTTTCGGCTGTAATCCTTGAGGTTTGCGGGGGAGGGGAAAGTTATTTAAGTATGGTGTTGAGAATGTGACAGACGTTAAGCTGTTTTAACTTTTGTCTTGGTGAAACTTACAGAGAACGTATAAATTGAATTAAAACTTTTTTAGTTTTATAAGCTGGAAGTGGGTTTAGGATTTTTTTTGTTTTTACTGCACTTTTTATGAGTCACCTCTTCTTAATATTCATGTTTTGTCTAGGTGAACGTTCTCTTTGTGTTTCGCTTTGTTATTTAATATGTACTTTCTGCAGACGTTCGAGAATTTAGGTATACTCTTGACGCAACCACTCGTAAAATCGATCTTTTCTGACGTGTTATTACAATAGAGTTACAGTCACTGATTGAGGGGCTTTTGTATGTTGTTTTTTTAATAAAACTATTCTGGAAAGTCTTTAAAATTTAGCCAAGAATGATAAAAAAGTTTTGTGCTACGGGAATCCAGCGTTTATCACCCAAAATCACAAAATGTTCGGTACGGAAAAGGGTTGAAATTTGATTTATGAGTAATCGGTTTTCAAAAAAAAGCTTGAGTGAGGTGGTGCCTGGCTGGGTTTCGGTAGTGAGTTTGGTCATAAGGTAAGGTTTTGTTTGCTTTTATGAGACAGACGAGGTAAAAGAGATTATGCCTGCTACCTATAATATAAATGTACGTTTTGTTTTTTGGGGTAAAAAAGTATTTATAAATTAATGAGGATTTGATGTTGGCTATATATGATACGTAATTTCAATACTATGTTCTATTTATATATGTACGTAATTTTAATTTTTTTTGTTGAAATTTGATAACGTAATCTGTGTGAATAGCTATAAAATTTAATTTTTGCGAGAAGAATTTTGATAAGGTGATGACAAACGAGCAGTCACAATGGGTTATTTATGTAGATTAAGCGCTTTGTATCAACGTTTAAAATGCATGTTGAAAATGAAGCACTAACAATAAGTTTTTTGAGGGTGTGCTTTGGGATAGCCTTGTAACTAAAAAATGTTACGTGATTTACTTCTGGTCTTTAAAACATTGTTAACAGTTGAAAATAAAGGTTGTATGTTTTTGACAGTTATTTTCTTGCCTTCTTGTCCTAATTTGTTAACTAATTGTGCACGACAAAGAACAGTGTTTGTACATCTGTTCTAATTGAAGTCTTTTCAAAGGGTTAAGTTTTCTTCAAAGATTCGCTGAACGTGGCTTTTTCAAATTAAATTAGGTTTCAAACCGTTTGCAAATAAGTTAGTACTGAGAACTTTTAGGTTTTGTACTTTAACGGAAGTAAACGCGGATTTGCGTGTCTGAATGTTTTGGTTTTACAAATGGGGCTTTGGTTCAGACTTGTGTAGTGTTGCAATTATAATATTTTAACGAATAGGATATCTTATGGTTTATGGTATACTTCTTTCAAAATTTGAGCGCTAATCCGAAAAATCTTTCCAATTTTCGAAATGACGCGCTCTTTACCTAGATTAAAATGCAATTGGCTGTTGTTTCTTTTTAATGACATTTGCTTTTTACTATTGTTCGATGAATTTAATGTTAAAATTTGTTTGATGTTTCGATTTATAAATGGTAATTTTTATTTGATCGTATATTTGAATCGTGTTTTCCTTTATGTAATATTGAATTGTATTTAAACTATATTATTTATTGATTTCGTGCGTATATATATATATTATACATAGTGAAAATTTATTAACTTAACAATATTTTTCAGATGACATAAATCTGTACTAATAGCTAAAAGCAACCTAACCACATTTCTAACCTTCATTTAACATACATCAAACTGGATTTCGATCATATTGTACATTATCAAACAAGTCATGTCATTTCTACGCAAAAAACGAATCAAGTTTGCTGTGGAATTGGTTATTGATAAACTGACAGATGTTTCGCTTCTCAATGGAACTTTGTTTGCTAAGGTAAGGCTTTTTTGGTTTTTTTTTAATTTTAGGTGATGTGGTTTTAAAATCTGGCTTCAAAATTACTTTTTCTGTGTTGAGGTATAAGTTTCGATAATATTAAACCTAAAACGCGTTGCTTCTGTACCTCTTCACGGTCTAAAATAGTCAATGTTTAAAGAATAAAGATTTAAAAGGTATTAAAACAGTTTTTTAGGTTCGCTTACTAGATTCTGGCTCGTTCGAGGCATGCACTTCTTCAAAAGAACTCAGAAACCATGTTTGTCATCTTTACGCACCTCAAACGTCATCTGAGTCGGATCGATTCGTTTTTCCTGATCAGCCCTCACCAGACCTGGAAGATGCCGAAAATCGACCGGAAGAACAACAAGAACAACCGTTCCGCTTTCAATGCAGGATACCGTACAACGAAGCTGGCGAACTGGAAGAATGTCGATGTAAAATATCAATTCGAAAAGTGGAACGAGCTGGACGACCTGCGACAAAACTGGGATTTGTTATTGTAAACTTGTCCGAGTTTGCGGCTTCCGGTTCTACAGCTTTGCAACAAAGCTACTTACTGGACGGATACACGGGAAGACAACGCCAGGACAACACAAGAGTGCATCTGGCTATACGAATGTTTCATCAAATGTCAGATCCGCTTTTTAAAGTGTAAGCTTTTTAAACTTTAGAAACAAATGCGTTTTTACTTAATAATCACTTTATTTGCAGGTTAGGTATAAAATAGGGCATTTTTATTTTTAAGATAGTTTATCGTGTTGAAAATCAACTTGAAATATGTATCTTTTTTAGGCCAAACAGTGCAGTTCAAATTCCTGAGTCCCAGAATCACTTACTCAACCCAGTGGACCGAAAAGCTCCGTCTCACAACCAAAGCTCCTCACAAACCAACGAAGAAGTCCGTCGACGATTAGATGTTCAAAGTTTAGAAGAAGAACCAGAAGCACGGCCTCAAAGTGCGCAACCTGTAATTTCTACGCCAAATCTACCACACTCTTCAACACACGCGTCTTTGAATTCAGAAGTGTCTAACTGCCCCCAGAACCCTTCAACGTCGCCGCCACTGAATTCCACCAACACACCAGTCAATCGGTTTAGCCACCAGTTTTTACTGAGCGAAAGAAGACCATCAGTTCCAGTTGGGTCGATAGAACGGGCGAGTTGGCATGCTGGTGCCGAGCAAAAAGCTGGTAAGTTAAAATTATTAAAAAGTATTGATTGAATTTTAGGTTATATTTTAAGCATGCTCACGAATTAAGATATATTCTTAAACTTTATTGCTTTATTTTTAGGGCTTTCAACAGATTCTCAACTCCTGGAAATGCGCCGGAATTGCCAGATCCGTCGGCTTTCTGAGGATCGTTTACCGACCCATCCAAATGTCTCGAATCGTGTTCAACAGACGCGTCGTGACGCGGATTCGGTAATCGAAGAGGTCCTGGCCGAAGCCGCGGGTTTGGAGGACTCTTTTACCCAACCTGCTGACGAAGCCCCACCATCTCCCGACAGCACAACACCCAAAAAACTTACCAAAAAAGGTTTGTCGCTGTTTGTGTCGCGACGAAATGGCGACGTCCTGCTGTCTTCAAATCAATGCCCACCATCCAGCTTCGAACGGGTACAACTGGATTCAACTATTAGTGGTTAACATCGTGATATTTTTTTGTTATCAATTGTTTTTTGAGTAACATCCAGTGTTTTTGCATAACAAGGTGAAAAATAAATGTATATTGAAGTATCATACGAGTTTTTGGATTATTTGTTAATTACAAATTTAAAATATTTAAATTTTTTAAGTGAAATTACATATTGATTAATTAGGTTTATTAGTAGAATTAGTTCAATTTAAATCTAGTTCAAAATTTAACAATAAAAACGTTTTTGAGATTCTTCACGGGTATTATTCAACATTATATTGGTGTCAAGGAAAGCGTTAGCAGGTACAAATTGAATTCGAAAATTAAAGGTACCAACTGTGAAGTTGTAGCTTATTTTTAAAATAAAAACCTTTAAGATATGTAATTAAATCATTGTTTTGAATTAGAATTGTTAAGGCCATTTAATGACGAAACGGCCGATTTTTTCGAAAGAAGTCCTAATGATTCGGCATATGCGTACAATAATATAAAACCTTCAATAGTCGTCGCAAAGGATAAATAGGCTCCAAAGTTTTGAAAAATATTGCTGCTATGGTATGTAGCAATGACTTGTGTAATCGACGGCACAAAGTCCAAAAAGAATTCTGTGATGCTGGATACAATGGCAATGAAGCTGGTCTAAATTAAAAAAAATTATTTTTAAAATTAAAATGAAAAAATTGTAGGTGTGTATTCCGATGATATCAATTTTGAAATTGTGGTTAAAAACTGTTTACTCATTTGAAAACTAATTAAAAACGGCACTCAGTTTTTAATGCCTACCCTTTCGTTGTTCCGCTTTCTAAAGCTCGTACTTTTACGGTAATAACTTGCTAATATGGCAAAACCACTGGCCAATACGGTGTTAACAACACCAACAATGGCTTTCGAAAATAGAATGTATATGTTCACTGACTTGATAAGACACGAAAACTTTTGACAGTCTGTTATATGACCAGTTGGTGTGTCGAGTATCCACATTCCAGACGCAATTACAATGTAGGTAGAAAGAAGAAAAACAAGCGTTATGTTTCCAAGTTGTGCTCGTCGTTGCGGTGTGTATTTGATAGGGAAAACGATAATGAAGCAACAGTCTAACAAGAGAAAGGTAAATGTGAGGGACGTAATTGGCTGAAAATTTTGATTTTTAATAATAAACCTAATATTTACGCTTTGTAGAGAATCGTACCCCTCTGTGCATTTTTACAAAGTATTAAGAAATACAAATATACATGTGCTTGTTTTTATATGAAAAGTCAAAATTGTTTTTGTGTCCAATATGCCTACCTGAAATGCCCGGTACGCGAAGCCGCATAAAAATATTGTAGTATCAAAACATTTGTAAATTTCGCATTGAACAATAACAACAAACAAGGAGTTTCCAAATATTGCTATCATCGATAACAACCAACATGTAATGTTCATCTTGAGAGTTGGACAAATGTATGAGGGCTTTTTGTTAGCTAATATATACGAGAATCCAATAACATTAAGACCACTGGTCACCAATATTGTTTTGTAATCTACGTAGGACATTTATTAATGTTTTTCTATTTTAATGTATATAGTTTAAAAATAAAGTAAAATAATCATGCACTTATTGCAAACACAATATTAAATCGTAAAATTGACGTCTCAAATCACGTTACAGTTGGCGTAGTACACATTATAACAATAATCTCTGACGAGCGAACCGTACAGTTAATCTAAAGAATGTCGGCTGACCTAAAAGTAACCAGCAATTATTAATAATATATTACGGCCACAATGTGATACGATTTCATCCCCTTCATAACGAAAATTGACTACTTCATGAGGCACAAAAAATTAATATTTTTTAAGAAAAGACAAACATTGACTACTTTTTAAAGCAGAACACAATTTAACTACTTTTTAAAGCCATTGTTAAAACTAGAATTTCGTATTTTTGCTGTTTTACAATTTGTATTTTAATGATTGTATTACGGCGGCTACACGCATACCATTTTACAGTAATGTTTTATTGTGCTTTGTTCAAATAGGTTAAAAGTCAATTTGAATGACTAGGTTTAAAAATACAAACTTAACACATCAATTTTTAAAATATAGATTTAATTACTTTAAGTTGAAATATACGATTTTAAAAAGGTTGAACATTTTCAAATGCACTTATCCAAAAAACTTATTTATAGTAAATATTGCAAAAAATTTGTATTTGAATAAAAACAATAGGCCCTAGTTGTTGCTGTCACAATATAACCTTAAAAAAACTGAAAAACAACAATCTGGGTTTTTTGTAGATGAAAAAAAACAGAGAAAGGTTGTTTAAAATTAACGTTTAAGAGATTATTTTGAATAACTACTATTTTTAAGATACTTATGTATTATAGACGTCTATAACTTCCTTTCTTCAAATTCAAAACCTATCATTATGCATCTTTAATAAAAAGTCTAGATGTGCACAAAAATAATTATTATAAAATAAAAGTCATAAACCAAAAGGATGACTTTTTAAATTTTTATATACGAGTATAAATATATTTTAAAATTTGAAAAGCCATATCAGGTGTATTGAACATATCGCTTAAAATTTTAAGTAATAGGCAAAAATTAAGTGTACGTTCAGAATGAGTTTTTTGTAAAATTAATAAGTAACAGGTAAATTTTATTAACTAGAACACATTCCGGGACCTAATGTACATTTGCTTTCAGAACTTGAAAGTAATCATGTTATCTTGCACTTCTACTAATTGAATTATATCACATAACATTCTGAAACCTTTGTTAGCTCTTTTATGTTAAATTAACAAACAACTAAGACTAAAAAACTTAATTTATTAAAAAACATAAATAAAATTTTTACACACAAAATTTGTACACCTTCTGGAAGTATTGTGTTATAATTTTAAAAAATTATTATTAAACATTACATAACAATTATAATTATATAAAACAATATATTGATAAACATATACCTTCTTCACACTATATATCAAGTTGTAGCACCAGATGAAATTTTTTGAGGTTTTATCATTGCAAACTTGTTTGTGATCAATCCTAACGACCACGCGTACACATACAATAACGTAAGTCCTTCAATGCTCATAGCAAATGTCATTAATGAGCCAAATTGCTTTATATTGAAATTGTTTACATTTACGGCCCATATTGTAAAAACAGCCGGAACAAAGTTCAAAAATAGTTCTGCTAGACTTGATACTATCGCTATGATATTAGTCTAAATTAAACAATATATAAAAACTGCGGTAGCTTACCCTATCGTTATTTTGTTTACGCACAGTTAAATGCTTATAATAGTTCCTGACATTCACTGCAAACATTATAGATAGAAAAATGTTTACTACACCATTCAGTGCTCGGAACCATAGCAGTGCGGGATCCGTGTACCCGATTAAGCATTTAATTTTTTGGCATTTCGTAACGCTGCCTGTAGGGTAATCTAATAACCATATTGATGCCGAGAAGATTAAATATGTAATTGTAACAAAAATTACAGACAAAATACCTAGCTGTTTCCGTTTTCTTGTCGTGTAGCTGAGTGGGCACTTGATGATAAAACAGCAGTCAAACAACAGAAAAGTTAACGTTAGTGAGCTATTAGGCTAAAAAATATGTAAAATTTATTTTACTATTGTCTAAAGCAAACTCACCTGAAAGACCCTATAAGAAAAGCCAAAAACGACAATTGTTGTGTCAAAACACGGGTTAGTGTCAGAACAATCATATATCATCATAAACAAAAAATACACCAATATAATTATCATGGCGACGACCCAACAAATCATGTTAATCTTTAGTTGTGGACATACTCCGGCATTGTTGTATGTTTTCTTAAGAATCAATGAAAAACCATAAATATTCAGAGAGCTTAAAGCAACCATCGTGCAATACTCCCACATTTGCCTGAAAAGCATAAATATTTGTAGAAAATTAAAATTTGTTGTTTTCAGGCATATGTGTGAGTATCAATGGAATAATAAGCGGCATAAAAAATTTAAAAATCTTCGCTGACAAGTTAGATGAAATTATTTTTGAAACTATAAACTTAGAAAATGTGCTTTCACTGTATTTATTATAAGGAAATGAGGTACAGTAAAAAGACGTGTATTAAAAAATATAGAAGACTGTATTTTTAATTTTCTAAATAAAAAATCGTCAAAATTATATTATCTACATGATGATAATTAATGAAATGACACATTTTTAATTAGAATATCCAATTAGTTTAAAAAATGCGTAGACTCTATCTGAACATATGCTATATATATATACGCTAGTACCACCTTCCTAGACGTATTTTTTTATATATTGTTGAACGACAATCTAGTTAAACTTAAAGTAAAAACTGAAAAAGCAAAACAAAAAACAGTTAGCAATGCATACGTACTGAAATACGGCTAAAATGTCGCTCACCAATTTATTCCTTGGTTTTTATGGAAGAACAACAATATGTCATGTAGTTTTTGCTTTTCAGGATATGTGTTGTGCTTTCAGCTTTTCACGTTTCAATTCGTTAAACGTTTTTCACATAGTATTCAAAACAATAATAAGGAAGGCCGAACGGTAAAAGAGAAAAAGAATCTTAACATTGAAATAAACTGCAATACAATTCCAAGTGATCACAAATTATCAATTTTTGAAATTGAAAACGAAAATAACTTTTTTGCGTATCAATAAAACAGATTTACACAGCTTGTTAAAAATAAAAATTTGCTTCTTTAGTATAATAGTTTTGTAAATTTGTCCTGATTACCGTTAAACTAAAAAAATCTGAATGGCGTTGTACTAAAATCATCTTTTTTAACAGGTTTCTAGTTTGCATACAAAACGACATGTTATAAGCGCTTAATAAACAAACAACAAAGCCTCTTATTATGTGTTCAAATGCTCACAAAACAAATAATTTTACTTGAAAATCGCGCAGCTGATGACTTTGAATTATCACATCTACGATTATAATAATATAAATTAGGCTTCGAACTAATTATTATTTTTTATCTTTTAGTAAACTCACGAATTTATCTAGGTATTGATTTATGATTCTTAAACTTAAATTCAAAAATTAAAAAAAGTTTTCAATTTTATAACGGTTTTTACGTCTTATGCAGATCGCTTTTGCGCAATAAAAGAAGAATATCACCCTGTAGATGGATAGAATCTTTAAGAAATCTTTATTTTGTGATGGCTATAAAAATCATAGAAGTTTTTACTGTCCTATAGCATTGATCTATACGTTTGTGACTACTGGTAGTGATTTGTAATTTTTAGTTTGCAAAAATGTATTCATATATTTTTTTAAAAATTGTTAATGTCCCTTGAGGATTCTCTCTTCATATAAAGTGTAGTTTAACGAATCTAGGGTTTGCGCAAAATTTGCATAAATTTGAAAAGAGTTTGAAATTTTCTAAATGTTTCTGAATGGTGTTTCTTAAAGTTTGATTGGTTTTGGACAGAGTTGCCTATATAAAAACGTTGAATTTGTAGCTCAACGTGACAATTTACTGTAAAAATAAAACCGATTATTTTATTAAGCGACTGCGAGCTAATTGTTCTATTGTCTTATTAATAGACATATTCTGTTTTTTTATTATTTACAGAACTTAAAAATTTGTAAAAAATTACACGATGCACGGTTGTTTTGAAGGAGCGATAAAGCATTTGATGATTTTTTATTTTAATTACGATATATTTTTATATTATATATGTATAATAACCTATATATGTTCCTGAACTGCAGATGCGTTAATCCGTGTGCTTCCTGAAGGACGAAGAGTTTATTCGGTGTTGGCGTCGTACAGATGATTCTCGATCCCTCCGATTTCCTCTGTCTCTCCTCACTTGCCCGATTTGATTTATCCATCCACCAAAAACGACTGCAATAAGTCGGAAAGGGGGGGAGGCAGAACATGGGGTACCTGCTGACGAAAAACGCCATGCCATTCTTTTTCTTCGTTTTCTTTTTACTTTCCCAACGCAAAGGTTACCGCGCATCTACTGCCCTGGTATTTTTTGGAGTTGTAAATATTTTATATATATAACTTTTTTGTTTATTTCTTATATTTACTTTTAATGAAATGACACATTTTTTATTTTAGTCATTACATTTTTAACTGTTAATTAAATTTAAATAAGAATATTTTTACTTTTTAAAAAAAGGAATCGTGGTTTCGTCAAACGACCTTTGTCGCAGAAAGCCAAAAATGTCGATTCGAACGGCAGATATGCTTTCCTATTTTTTGCTTCGCTGCGTTCAATATCCGGGGTAAAAAAGTTTGGGTTTATTTCGTATTCATCAGTTTGCTATAAAAAGTTTTAGTAATTATCTTTCAATATGCATTATCTGTAGGAATTATTGCAGTTTTAATTTATTTTTTGTAAGGCCTGATGAAAAACCAAATTCAGAAGAAAAGGTCGTCTTAAAAACCTCTGCTTGCGCGTTTTTTCAAAAATTTTTATTTTTTGGGTGGGGGTCTGGCAATCATATCTTTGCATTACTTTATAAAAATTTTACATTTTTACGAAAACGTAAAAAATGGTTCTTTGTAATTAAGTTTACCGTGAAAAGTACAATAGAAAAGTCACACAACTTTAATTCAGCTGATTTTGCGCAAAAAATAAATTTGATAGGCTCAGCGTGACCTACGGCTCCAAAATAAATTAAGAGTTTTATAAACAAACAGCGCGATTAAACAATTCGACTGATTGTTCAAACGATTCAAAACTGATTACCGTTTTATGTTGCACTGTCCAACGTTTCAGACCTGGGGGGGAGAGGGGTGGTGAAAAGAGCGACTCTCTAAGTTTTTAAAACGTTCAATATGGTCTACATGTTGGAAGGTTGATCTAAATGGTTAAGTTACTGCCAAGCTTTGTTCTTTCTTTGCCGAACCACGTTCTGTTCTGAAAAAATATTCTTCTTCGATTCCAGTTGCTTTTGAAGTGGGTCGAAATTGAAGAAGGAGTTAAAACCCCCCTAAACGATTTGCGCTGTAAAACGATTTCGACTACTTTTCAATGAACTTTCCGGTCGGGATTACAGATTAGCTTAAACGAGCGGTTTGCTTATTCTTTTGTACCCCTTTTTGAAACTTTAGTATGACCCTTTACATTATATTTATTTTTCATTGCAATTTATAAATTTTATATTTAAAAATGACAAAAAACAAAAACGAAAAGTTTTTAAATATAGCAAAAGGTTGCAGCAATTGGAAGTGAACTGAATTTTCTGTTTTAAAATTAAGGTTAGGTTCGTTTTGTACCCAATTACTCACTTTTCGGCTCTCTTTCACTTCAATTTTTTGCCTATTGACAATTCTCCGAACATCAAAAAAGGTAATTCGGAAAAGTCATCTATTTATAGGCTCTTTATAGATTTGAAGTTCTTATTTTGCTTTTTGTTGAAAGTTGAAATGTATTACTGATGTTTAATTGTAATTTTTTTAAAAGGCTGGTTTTTTTTTAAATGCAATGTTTCGCTTAAGTTAACTAAATTGTATCCTATCGAACATCTTGCAAGTTATTAGCTTAGCTTTAAGACCTTCAGCCTTTATGGGTTATACGGCACACATGGTCAGTTGGGTTAAACTTGTTAAACGTTGTCAGTCTACTAATTTATATAGTTGTAAAAAATTATTAAACTGTGGTAATTGAGCGAGCTTATTCTTCTTGGGTGTGGTTGAAGCTCTGTTTATCAATCGAAGGTTTTTTGGTAATTGTGGAAAGGAATTTTTATTATTTTTAAAATTTATTTTCTAAAATGACCTAATCTTTTATTAAACAGTAATATACTTTTTGAAACTTTAATAAAATGCATAAATTATTCAGAAGGTTTTAATTAAAAAAAAGTTTTGCAATTTTTTAAACCCGCGTGACAATTTTTTTTGTATTTACCGACCCAAAGAATTGGTACCAATGATATTGTTGGTAAATAAAAGCCTTCGCTCTCCTTCTTTCTTCGTCTACCTAACATGATCTTCTTTATTTGGAGATTCATTCCTATACCAAAAATACTTCCGCGCACAAAAAACGGATCCAAAACGCATGTTTGCGCGCAAGAAATTCGTTACAGTGAGCACTGTTTCAGCTTGTTCGCACTCCCTCTCTGGCTTCTCTAACATATTTTTTTGACTGAAACGTTGTACAGGTCTGTAAATTTTCGCAAATACTTTTTTTTCGAATATTTATGTCACAAGGGTGAAGAGGATCTTATAAAGTGTGCGTGCAATTTTTCCGAATCGGCGAATTCGTTAGGCATTGATTTTTGCTTATAAAACGTTAAAGTTAAAAATTATCATATATTTTTAAGCAAAAATTCAGAAATATTAACAGTATTTAACTCCTACAAAAGTTATTTTATTGTGTCAAATCGAACTCGTGTTTGGTTAAAAAATCAGTTTGTTTGATTTTAAAGCCGTCTATTACATTGTATGATTTTTTAGGCACGCAACCAACTTATAACAATATAAAAACCAGAAAGAAATGAATTTTGGACGTTTGAAGTGAAAATTCGATAAAGCATATCTTGAAGAAGGTTTTTTAAAATGATTATCCGGCCGTCTGATATTATTCATGGGGCAGGCTGCGCTGTCCGACGGCCAAATCGAACGTTCTACACTATGTTTATTATTTTTAGTAAGTTCATAATATAAAAAATTGGTATGGTATATTCATTTTATAAAAAAATAGAAAAGCGTTTATATTTCAAACAAATTTTAATTGCTTATTATAATATTTGACAATCAAATTTTGTTCATTATAGCACTGATCATATCACAAGCACAAGTCCGAAGTCTTTCAACAGCACAGATGGTACCGCCAAGCGTGGCGAGAGCAACAGAAGCACGGCACGCTGTAAGTTTTGGTGATATGGAACATGGCCGAATTGGTTGGCGCGTTAAACGAGACTCTTTGCCTTGGAAAGGCTCTTACTCGTTCTTAGGGTAAGTATTAAATAAGTATTTTTAAATTAATTTATTTCGTAAGTTTTTCATGTTTGCAATTGTTGAAACAAATATTTCCTGATTTTTGAAAATTTGTAATGTTTTAAAATGTTTAAACAAATTTAACTTAAAAAACTTTAGGCCTGTCGATTCTAATTCTCCCACAGTTCTCTTAACGGTAGCAGACGCAGATACGGGTGTGGTAATCGCTGATTGTACAACTTCCATCCAAGCCAAAACAACGCCTCTTGGTTGGAAAGGCGAGCTAGAACACGATTTTCATTGGCATCGTGTCAACTGGGAACTAAACGAAGAGCAACTTACTTGTAATACTACTGCTGACCATCATCCAATCATATCATCTCTTAACAGCGACGAACTTGATGCTTATTTGGTACAAATTAAAGCACTTAACGGGCCACGATGTTTAAAGAATTTGCATACCGACGAAGAAGATGATATTCAAAGTTTAAATTCAAATTGCCCGCCAAATTTGACAAAACATTCGTATTTTGCCGAGCATTTGAATTGTGGATGTCCAATTGTAAAGAGGGGTTTACCGTTCGCTGAAAATACGGCTTTTAGTTCGATACGCAGGAAGCCGGTTTCAACTACCGAAGATCCAACGAAACAACCGTTAAATGACCCGTCGGATTCTGAAGAAGTGGCATCTCCAGCCTTTCCTATGTTTCACTTTACTCAATCGACAGAACAAGAAACTGAAAAGATTACGGAAAGTAAGTCTTAATTTTAGATAATTTAAATATTGTTTTTGTACAAAAGGCGTTCGAAATACAAGTTGTTTATTTTTAAAATTAAAATTTGTACAAATATCAGTTTTATTATACGGCCAACATATGAAAAACTTGCTAAGAATCAAATTTAAAATTTTTTTGTGTTAAATATATCATATTTTAGCTGAACCTTTTACTGAAGTCACTACACCATTATCAACAAGCGAAGAAACCCCAGCGCCCGAGCAAAGTCATCAAGTTTCCAGAGAAACTACAAAAATAGCCGAATCGGCCGAACATGAAAAAACAACGGAGTCGTCGGCCGAGTCGTCTGCAACGACAGCCGCTTCATCAGATCCATGCGAGTCTTTCGAATGCAATAATGGTACTTGTTCGGCAGAAAGTGGTGCACCAAAATGTACATGTGCTGAAGGATATGCCGGCGAACATTGTGAACAAGACATGTGCGCAAACCTCGGCTGTCAGAACGGTGGAACGTGTCAGGTTCGGAATGGGCGTGCGGTGTGCAATTGTCCTCGAGGAGTGGATGGAGAAAAATGTCATCAGTTGAACGTAAGATTTAATTTGATAAAAAATTAATAGTTTTTAAATTTTAAAAATTTTATTTAAACACTATTTTTAGAATTTGTGTTAATATTATAAACTTCGATTATAGAATTTGATATGTACTCCTGCCTGTGAGAATGGTGGTGTTTGTCAGGCTTCAATGATTAGAACGGAAGGCAATACATGCAAATGTCCTCATGGTTACACCGGTTCAAACTGTAACTTACGTGATTTGTGTGCCAAGAACTCAACGTGCGAGCAATTTGGTCCGGATGCGCGATGTTTCAAAGATGCTGGAGATATGTTCCGATATTCTAGTGTTTTGACTGACGGTGTTCACAGCTGTCAATGCCCTACGTTGCGTGGTTTTATAGAATGTTCACAATTGCATCCAGAATTGGCAAAGTTCCAAGGACAAACTGAAACGACAAAACCTTTACAAAGCTTCCAATCTAGCCCACCGCCAGCAAGACCAATTATGCCAGAACAAAAACAAGTGAATTTATCTGCTCAAAATATTTTATCTGAAAGGACAACATCACCCGAAAATGCGCATGAAGAAGTAGAAGATACTGCGGGACATTCTAGTACAGAATCTATACAATTTCCTAGACTAATTAACCAACAACAGTCCACAGAAGAAGGGAGTGCAGAAAGTAAACCTATGTTCGGATTGACCAGTTTACCAAGTAGGTTTTTTATCTATTTTTATTTCACAACATTAAATTTAATTACAAAAATGATTTAAAACAGATAACCAACCAACAATTTTACCACGTCCAACTTCTGCCAAAACTGTTTCAAATTTGCAATCAACTATGTTCACAAGGCTGCCAGATCTAAAACACGTACTTTACACGACGACCAGTCTGCCGTTTTCGCCTGAAAACGAATCTGAAGAAGAAGGAGACAACGGTTTTGTGCCAGTCACACAAGAGCTGCCTGAGCAAACTTCAGCAGATCCCGCGCCAAAAATATCTGAATCTTCGAAACGTCCAACTCTGACCATTCACAAGCTACCGGCTCAAGAAACTACAAAGTTGTCAGTTTTGCCGTCTAAAGGAACTAGTTTGCCTACTGGCACAACTAGTAGCAGTAATGAAGCAACACAAGCATCAACAGCATCTACAGAAGCTAAAACAATGACTACTTTAATACCAGAATCTGCTGAAGAAGAAATTGATAATTCTGAAAGTTCTAAGCCGGTGTCTACTGAAGCTACACACGGTCCAATGGGACCCGAACATTCAATTGTTGATGAGATTGTTGGTACAGGTAAGCATCAATATGAGAATATGTGGTTTTGATTTAAACGGTGGTTTTTCACACATATCAATTGTCCATTATATATTTGTATATATTTAAATAAATTTTTAATTTTGTTTTGATTTAAGAAGCACCACCTGAATTCCATACAGTTGACCCATCAGGTCGTCCACCAAATCCATTTGGACCAGAAGAATCTGAAAATTCGCAACAAAAGCCGGCTGAAGCAGAAGAGTTTGAGCCTGACAGTACGACAACAACTGAACAACTTGTGACCACAACTACTCGAAATGATAATGACTCTCAAATCTTTGGTGAACCTTCAAAGACTCAGTCAAATTCGAGCACGTGGATTATAGCACTTACGGTCGTAGGAAGTAAGTTTGAAAGGTCGTTTTTTTTGTTTTGCTATTAATTGCCAAAACCCAAAAGCCTGTAATGACAATTTTTTTACGGAGTTTGATACAACAACCAACTTTGCCATATACATTTCATTTGTGAATTTATTTTTAGTTTTGATATTAGCAGCCACTATTGGCTCGCTTCTAATGGCTCGTTACGTGCGGAGAAGCCGCCGGCTGCATGGTAAATACAATCCAGCACGAGAGGAAAACGCGGTAACTAGCAACTATGCGATGCCCATGACTTCAGTCAACAAGGACGAACGGTTAATTTAATCTATATGAACTTCAATAATGCAAAAAAGGGTTCACAAAAGCTACAAAAAATTAGGAACATGTTTCGTTTATGACTAAAGATGACATGATTTTTTAGTTGGCACTATTATAACTTTTTAATAAGCGTTTCTTATTTACTTTTACGTTGTTTTAGTTAAAGTAAATTTTGTAGCGTGATAAAGTAGCTATGTGTATTGTGAAATTTTGACGAAATTAGAAATTACATAGTTGCTATTTAAATATTTTTTGATATTTTAAGTATGTAAATTATATTGTCTCAATTGTACCAAGTCGGTTCTATCAGGTATCTCCAATGAAAACCATTTATTTTTTTTAACAATAACAAAAGTTGTAGTGCTCTTCATAATACTTATATCATTTTATAGTACAACTTATTGTTGTCTTTCTACTTTTGTAACGTACCTACAAGGTTTGTTTTTTATTTTTCACATGTATTAATTCAAAAGGTCTTGTAACTTGTGATTTTAATAGTTGTACAAATTTTTTGTTTATATTGTATGTTTAGGATAATAATAAATGATTTATGCTTGATAACATAAAAGGTTACTTTGAATTTACAGAGTAATTATTTTTTGAAAAAATTATGGTATTGCGTAATTGTTGTACAAGGCCTATAACATGTTGTTTTAATTGGATGTTTCATGATGACGGAAGAGAACACTAATAGTCTTGTTTTTCTTCCTCCACACGCTAGATTGTTTTGTTGTTTTATTGCAAGTCTTTGACACATTACGCTTCGCAGTATAAATTTTAATCATGTAGGTTCAAATAAAACTTTAAAAACTTTTTTGACATAAAACAAATGAATGATGTTTTTTCCAGCGCGTTTTGTTATCAATGCCCTTATTTACACCGTTTTGTGCTGATAAGCATTGTGTTTATTTTCAACTGTTTTTAAAACGTTTTATATTGAGCATTTTGTTCGAAATTTGCGATTATAACCCTGACCTTTTTCCGGTATAAACTTACGAAACAAAACCTCGAAATCCTTAAATAAAAGGCGATTTAATGTTTTCCGTCTTTTGCATTTTATAAAAGTCGTTTAGTTTTTTGATACGTTATTTTGCCAAAAAAGGATAATCATATTGGACTCTTGATCTACATATTGCAAAAGAAAGAAAAAGAAAAAAAATTTCTAAAAGTTTTCTTACTGTTTAAAGATGAATCCTTTTTATCGGATATCCAACAGAGGATTTTAGTTTGTAATTTAGAGTGTATTGTTAAACACGGCATTGTCAAACAAGTTTGTATACTTGTTTTCTCAGTCTTTCTGGTTTTGAATACGTTTTTTAACTTTAGAGTTAAAATTTAAATCATTTCATATATACAACAATTCCGCGACACCTTTTTATTGAATAAAACTTCTTCACAAGGCTAGCTAAAGTTTCAGTTATATAAAATTAGTAAAAGTATTTTATTTACCTAAACGTTTTCTACGATTATTTGTAGGTTAAACTGCTCTCCGTTCAAGAGGTCCACTCCAATGGCTATAACCGTCACATGAGGAGGGTAAACTTGGGTGCGGCGGGATAAGATTGCGCAGTAAACATTTCACAACTTAATTCACAGGGGTTTCTTCGAAGTGTATATTTTATAGTAATTGGAGAATTTAGCTTTAATGAAAATATTAATCGTGTCGCTATAAGCACAAAAAACTCCGATCACTGCTTACAACAAAACTTAATCGGCTTTTCGCGAATTTCTTTGAGAAACAGATTAGTATTCATTTTCGTTTTAGCTGAGTAAAAGGATAATATGTTGAGGTAAACAATTGCAATCAGATATAGCTTATATTAGTTTAATACTGAGCACTTACGTACTCACTAATTTGCTTTATAGTTATAAAATTTTACTTAAGCGTTGCGTGATTATAACTTTTACTTGTCTTGTAGGATAATTATCTATTTTTTACATGACAAAATACTAATTTTAAGGATATGTTTGACTCAACGGAAAGATTACCGTACATTCCGCCACCAGATTATAGTCCGTTGATTAAGCCGGTAAATTCCAAGAATATTTACAACAAAAATTCCAAACCAGAAAAACGTGTTTCTATTGATGCATACGACGAATTTGAACCTTCAACTATTCCACAAAGCCGTGACGACCATGGCCAGCCGCATAAATATGTTCCGGTAAATTTTATTTATTTTAGACGTTTTAAATTTTTACTCATTTTTATTTTTAAAGTAGTTTTTTCAAGGTTTTCCATAGAGTTATTCACTTACTTTTTTTCCAGGATATTCGTCCAGGTCGCCGCTACAAAGTTGTACATTCGTATCAGCCCGAGCCTCAGTTCCCTCCTCGTGATCCACAAGCGGTTCAACAAAGGGTACTTCAAATGCTAAAAGAACAAGGTGTACCAGTATTACCATTCGCCGATCAAACAATAAAAGAACCCATTGGACCAACAAAAGCTTACTTAAAACATTTGAAAAATCATCAAAACTTTGACACATTGAAGTCATTTAGAAGCTGTGATAATTGTGTTTTGTGTAAACAGATTCAAGGAGAGTTAGTGAGTATAGAAAACAAGGGTCGACGGTATGTAGTATTTTTTGTTGAAAATTAACGAAAAACAATAATGGTGTATTTACAATGACATTTAATTTCTTTTCCGATAATCAAATGTACTCTATGAAAACTCCAGCCGAAGGCTGGGGAGGAAGGATTTTTTCCTCCCCCTCCTGCCACCAACTTTAAACATTTGATTAAATATTTTGAGTTGTTTCAAACATTGAATTAGTATTTTTTTTGTTTTTAGGCCAACGTCAGCGACCAGAAAACCAGAAACAAGCATTATTAACAGCAAAATATACGAAAATCCATTTTATCATGAAATTGCAAATTTTGAGCCAATCCAAGTTGCTGACCAAATACACATCAGACAACCGTCAAACTCCTCAAAATTGTAAGTTTTTATAGTATAAAACGATTTTTTTGCTAAATTTGAACTAAAAAGTTTCAAGCTAATATTTTTTAAAATTACGCTTGAAATTAAAGCTCTAAAGATAATTACTCTTGTTAGTACCAAAAACCAAAAATAAACTGAAACTACATTACAGAAGTGTTGACGTTCCTGTACAAGCGAGACGAACAACGTTTGAACGTACAGCAAAGATACGTCGTGATATACGGGCGCAAAGTCACCAACAACTTAACGTATTCAAAGGAGAATTTGTTAAAGTAAGACGATACAAACGTGCTTTACTTAAACGAGACTAATTAGGTTTAGGTTTAGTAGGCACAGGTTTAGTAGACTGAGGAAGCATGGGCTTGGTAGGCTTAAACATAGTAGGCTCAGGTTTAGTACAAAAATGACGACAATGTTGGTGTTAAAAGACTTCATTTTAATTCAGTTTCAGATCAGCCAATTTGATCCAAATTGGAGTTACTGTATGAATCGGCACGGTCAGAAGGGATGGGTACCTACTAGAGATCTAAACTTTGCAACAAATTCGACAAGCTCATCACCGATGTCAACTTAAACATAAATTCCCTCCTTGTTTAAAAGATTTACCCATTTCCTGATAGTCGCTTGACGCTTCACACTCTTCAAGCAGCAATTTAACCATGGTATTCATACAAAACTTTAAAAGTATATAAAAAAAACTTTTATAGTTATATCTAATATTAATTTAGTGGTATTTATATAAAATCCACATAAAGTATTATTAAAAATTTTTCACTAATTAACTTTTTTACAGCTTTATTAAAACTTATAAACAAAGAAACAATTACAAAGGCTGAAGCCGTTACAACGAATAATAAACGCTTAGATTATCTGTGAAAAGATAAAATCAAAATAAAACAAGTCAGATTAACAAATAAGAGCATTCAGAATATTAAAAACGACAATCGAGCAATTAGTATACAATCCTTAGCTGACTTTCCTCAAACGGTGCAACTTGGTGAACAAGCACAGCACCTTTTAAACTAAAAATAGTACTGTGTTTAATGTTCAACAGTTCACACTAACCACTTAAAAATTTTCAAAAATATCAAAAAACGAAGTATAGACGGCCTTACAAATAAAACGTCTAAAAAATAAATTATTTTACATTATTTACGCAACGCATCTATCTTTCTTAAACTAATGTTGAAAGTTATAGTAATAGTGTGAAAAATAGGTTCCCCTTCAGATAAACAAAAAGCAGGACAAGATCAGTCACTTGTATTAGTTTAAACTCAATGAACAAAACGTCGACAAGAATAATAGAATCAAAATTATAATATAGGCGCGTTTGAAAAGGCAAAATTTTAAATGTTTCTAAAAAAAGTAATGTATATACTATGTAAGAGTTTACATTTGCCAAAATCTTAAGAATCGAAAAGATTCTCCTGATGCTGAAGTCGAGCATGAGACTCACGAGCTTCTTGAACTTTACGTGAAATAGCGTCACGTGACGGGTCTCGGTTAAAAGCTTGAGCCGTCATTCCACGTCCGGTCGAATCCGGCCTTGCTTTGCATCCCTTATAGATGTTTTCATGCAGAGTTCGGCAAAAATGTTCGGTGCTCCGGTCCTGATCTAAGAATTCACGAAACGTGTCGTCGCGGAGTTGTTCTGGCAAACATTGAGCAAGCGCTTGAACAGCCCGATTATTATCCGACAAACGAGCGTAGCATCTCACAACGTGCTTGAATAGACGGGCAGAACGTTCGTTTGTCAAATGGATTACAACCTTTCCCTAAAAAATGTTAATTAATTCAAATAAAAGTAAATAATCATAAAAATATATTGTATTCAGACGAACAAAGCTCCAGTTTCATTAAAATTTAACCAATAACTAAAAACCTTGTCGAGAAGTAAAATAATTTTTTGGCAAAGCAAATTTCACCATCTTTACAATAATCAACCTTCTAAACACTTCAAACGTAGAAAGATTCATACCCTAAAAACAAAAAAAAACCAAATTTCTTACCAGAACAATAGCCACATGAGAGAATCTTTCGTATGTTTGACAAACATAATCCAATCCCATATCATCGAGTAAAATTTTTTGCAAAATAAAAGTAGAAACGGTTCTTGACAATTCGGTTCCCTGTTCCATAATCCGTAAGCACAACGGAATTATTTCAGTAGACAATAAAAATTTGATCACGTCCTTCTCGTCCGTCTTCACCATCGCTCCAATTACACCAAGAGACGTAAGACGTAGATATTCAAATGGGCGTGAGTTCTTAGTCGTGTGTAAAAATGGGTACAAAAATAGTGGAATCTTGGCTAAAAAACAAACTCTAAACCCTATATTTAACAACTTTTCGACATCTAAATGTACAAAAAAAATTTAAATATTTTGCAAAAAAATATCACCCACCTTCCAAAAACAATTTTCTAGTGTCTGCATGAGCCGCAACACACTGCATCAACGCCAAGGCATTGCAAACCCGATTCGATTGAGTAGCACTCAACAATGGTGGTACAATTGCACTATATACACTAATAACTTCCTGCAGAAGACATGTCATAGTTCCGTACGATTGCCACAGCCATACTGGAAGCTCAGGAATTGCCTCACGCTTTTTACTGAAACAATAAAGAGATTAAATAACAAAAGTGTAATACTATATCAATTAAATTCGTCGTTAAACTTTTATATTACAAAAAAGTAAGAACTAAAAGTATTTTTTGCAAGCTACAACTAACCAAGAATAACATTCATTAACATCAGGCACGTCAGACAAGACAAATCAAGAGTAAGCCCTAAAAATAAAAAAAAATAAGTTGATAGACATACCTCAACTCTAACAACGCCGTCTCTCGTCGATCACGATCCCGAATATCCAAAATCCACTGAATCATTTGATCAGTATCCACTCCAGCGTCGGGTGCAACGGTTTTCAATAACATGCCTTCATTTGAAGGTCCTTGAGGTTGATCCATTTCTTTGGCATGAGATGGCTGTTCGATCTCAGTCATTTCCCGCTTTTGTCAATCCCGTAATTCGCCTGTAATTTTCTATTAAATTTGCAAAAACGTTCAGAAAAAGTTCAGAAATATCAGTAGAAACATAATTAAATTACTTAAACCAGCGAATACATTTAGTCAATAAGGATATAACATGTATCTCAAAAAAAAACACTTCTAGCTAAGAAAATATAATTTAGAAGACGATTAAAAACCTTCCATAATCTAAAAAGGTCCAAAAATGTAGAATAAATGTAATTTTAAAATAAACGACATGTTTATAAGCAATGTAAATGTAATAAAACAAAAAACAAAAAATTATCGTTCAATGAAAAGACAAAAAATACGAAAAAAATTTTCGAAAACCCAAAAAACCAAATAATGAATAACTATCGTTAAATATGTCATTATAGCATAAACATAAAAAGCAAAGCCTATCTACACTTTTGAAAAAAAACAACTAGAGTTGATGACGAAAACGAAGCAGAGAAAGCTTTCTTGAAAACCGCTGCATCAAACGCGAAAAATATTCGAGTAATTTCGCAGCCAATTCATTTGTTGGGCGCAGCTTGCGTTTCTACAATGTGCGAGCTGCAATAATTTTATACGATGTTTTATTTCTGATTCAGAGTTTCTAACTGTATAAACAGTGTAAAAGTATAAAATTTTGCGTTATTTAAATACAATGGAACTCTTGTGTATAATTTTTTTTTCATAGCGCAGTTTCTTTATAACGGTCAATTTTTAAATCGCCGGTCAAGACTACACTACGTTTAAAACCCCTGTACATACATATAATAAAACTCCTTGATAACGAACAAATTTAAAATTCCCATGCAACTTGTCATGCAAGAGTTTTACTTTATATATATTTTTAATATTATGAAATTCAGCTTTAAGAACAAAAACATAGGTAACTACACTAATGATTCTAAATTGCTTTTTCATTGTAAGTGAACTTATTTTAATCATACAGTATAGCACTTTTATTGAAATGTATTTAAAAACAAATTTTAGCTTTTTCATTGTTTCAAAGGTTTCAAAGTCAACGAACCTTTTAAAAATACGTTGCTCACAATAGCGTATTTCCGTATTTAGCTATAAAAGTTGTCTTTGCGTCAAACGGTGAATGCAAGTTAGGGAGCATATAATGTCAAATTGGTTAGGCTTTGGTAAACTGTGACTTTTAAAAAACGTCTTGGAAGAATCAAGAACAAAATTTCGGAACCAGGAAAATTTTTTTATAAAAAGTTGACATCGCCGCATTTTTTGTTTTTAAAAATTAAATTAACCCTTTTTGCATATTGTTTTACGCATCTTGTGTTAAACGGCTTACGGCCTTCAATTGAGTTTGAATAAAGGACCAGGAATTTCTCGCAACCTATTGGAAGAAGCGATTATTCAATTTAAAATTCATTTTCTTTTATAAAAACATGCTTTTACTCCTGCCTTGGTGCCGTCTTTTCATTTCTTACAACTTCTCAGGCAGTTGAATTTGAGGTGTTTTGTGAGGGAGTTAGTAGTTATGGATTATATGGCAAACTTTTACTTTTTTATAATGCATTTTAATTAAATTTAAATTTGAATACGTTGAGCAATTGAAATATGATTCAGTCAAGAAAGGACTATTTTAAAGATCAAGTTAGTCAAAGTTACATGTTCTTATTACAAGCTTTTTAATTATCGTGTTCTTTTCATTGCTTTTACTGTGGTTGTTATCTTTACTTTTTTTAAACCGAAAATTAGCATTCCAGTTTAATTTTAGTTTGAAAACAACATTGTTGCCAATTCTTGAGTGGTTTTCCACAGTTCTTGACCTTTTTTCAATAAACTGCGTAAAGAGGGATTGGTACCAAAGTGTAGCTCTTGAGGTGTTTTAAAAGAATAATAGAATATGTGAACATGGACAAACAAATAAAATCGGCTTTTTGTAACGGTTTTGCAAGCGTTCCAACTTTTATGTAAAAAAATTTCAAGTAGTTTAAACTTGAAAATTCACGTGATAAGATTTTTTTCACTTTTGCTTCCGCTACTTTCACTAACTGTTAAAATTTAGGGTTGATATATTTAAAAATGGTGAGGAATTGAAAGTACCGTAACCTGTAGTTGTTGTAGTTGACAAGTTTTTAGAACACGATAATTGGCTTTATTGTTTTCCACTCAATATTATTCCTTGCTAATTTTTACGCTTTACTAAATTTCATTCTGACAAAAGGTACCGCGTTCATAAGACGAAAAGACGCGACATTGGATAGGAAAAGAATGTTAGGGTTACTGTAGTTGAGTGTGCGATCACTCAAAAATCGAACTTATTTTTTACTATTTAGTATTATTTTAACATAACTATTTTTAAATAGCTATCTAATTTTTTAAAGTTATAAAATATTGTAATTATAGAGCACTGTAGTTTTTAGTAACTTCTAAGTTATTAATTGTTCAAACTATTTGTGGTGTATATAGTATGGAAACAATATTTTTAAGGTTATTTAATAATACTCTTTAAGTAAATTTTTTAATTTTTCAGTTAGAAAAAACTGTCTATGTGAATTCTTTTTTATATAGTATAAAAAACGATCGACGCCACCTTTATTGCAAACATATAATAATGTCATGTAAAGAAGATCTTTAAACCATTTTTAAAAACGTTTTATTTCGTACTGTATGTTAAACTTGTTTAAAGGTTTTATATGTTTATATCCAATAATATGAAATTTCATTTTAAAAAATAATATATACTTTTCTGTGTACTCATACATTACGCTACTCACATAATACGATAAGTTACTGAAACACATTTAAACAATATTTTTATAAATCTAAAATCTGTTAATAGTGCATAGCGTGTTTGTTCTTACTGGATTTTGGTATTATTGTTATTTGCGTGCGTTACATCAACTTTTGTAACTGTCAGCTTGAACACGTGAGACAGTTTTTTGATAAGATCCGCGTTTAATAATAGGTAAGATTATATGTACGCTAAAAACGAACTTTAAAGATATTTTTATTTTAAACAATCAAAAAAAAATCTTTAAATTTTTGCTTTTTTAAAATTTCAATATTGAATACGACACCTTAAGTGGCTTAAGTGTCGTATTCAAGACTAGCCACTGGTCACAGACAATAAATGGTCGCTCATTTTGCATCTCGTATATATTTATAGCTTAAAGCACTATTTTAGGTCTAATTAACCGCATTATATATGTCTTATTAGCCTTTTTAATAACATACCACTGTGTTATAACCATGGATACCCGCGTAACCGACCGGTGTTGTAATCGCTGCAAATCACGCCATTCTTGCGCAATATTCTCTGTATGTGCAATATGCAAATACTGTTTGGCCAAAGATCTTGAGTGTTTATATTTTAGTAATGTAAAAGGCGTATTGGGTACTGGGACATGCTTAACGTTTGAAACATAGGTCACTTTTTTAATTTTTAACGTTATTTTATAATTTACAATACGGCATTCTGTTGTTACTGCAAAAAAACTATTCCGGTAAAAGACTTGAAATTACAACTATCATACGTGCAAATCTGTAAATATTATATATGACATTTATGTATCAGCCGTTCCACTAAAGAATTTGACAACTGCACAGTGCAGTTCCTGAAAAAATCGCGCCCTTTTTTATCCCACTGCACCGTGCATATTCCCCCGCGATCGCTTGCAACCCCAAACGATGAGAAAAAGAATGCATCAATTGTCGCACTAGTCGGTTGTCGCAGGAGTCAGGGGACTTGCGACAGTCAAAAAAATCTTGTCGCAAACCTTCCATTGAACACAGTGGTGGCTTGAGCGTTGCTACAATCACGACACGCCGTCGCATCGCCCTTTAAACTGCGATGCGACAACTTGTCGCAAGGTTTTGCACCTTGCGACATTGCAATTCCCCTTTCGATGTCGCAGGGTGCAAGCGAGTGTCGCACGACTCGCTGAATGTTGCGCGACGTCCCCCGATTCCGGGCGCGACAGCGATTCCTCCAAATTGGGGTTTGCGATTTTGTCAAATTCTTTAGTGGAAAGACTGATATGTCATTATAAATAAATTATATTTAGTGTTTCTTGCTACGTTTAGTTAAAACAAAGGTAAATGCACCTGGTTGTGTTTATTAACCTTAACGCTATTAATAACCTCATAACGTTTTAAGTGGCAAAGAAATTTTAAGCTAAATATATGTTAACAATAAAATCATAATAATTAACTCAAATTTATAAGAATTGTTTTAAAAAACGATATAAACTTATATTTTAAATAGACAAAATACGATACGTGATTTTTGGGAGTTATAGATGTTTACAGTTTATGTAATGATTGACATCGCCTACACTGATTAACTTTTCCAGTTTGGATTAGAGTTTGCAGCGTATGTGAGATTAAACTTATTAATCAAAAGTTGTAAACATTTATTTTGCACTCTTAGATTTTTTCTAATCCTTAACGTTTAAATCCATTTTTGTTAGCTTTTCTGTTTTTTTTCGGTTATAATATTTTCTCTAACTGTATGCCCTTTTTCGATTACTATTTCAACAAACTATACCTGCTTCATTTTTACAGTATGCTGCTCTCTCTCTTACTTTATGAGTATCTGTTCTTTTTTTATGTAACTTGTCTTTCAACTATATAATATTATGTTAAATCCACATTGCTCTTTTTGAATTTTTTTGCAAGCGTAGAAGTGTAAAATAATGTAAACAGAAGGATGATAATTGTTTCAGATTAACATATAATAAAGGATTTGTGTGGGTGATATATTGTTTTCTATGTTTCTTAATAAATTTGCAAATTTTGGAGGAAACTGTATGTTAGGTATTACTAGGGTGAGCATAATCATATCAAAAGGACATTAAGGAGCACGACGAAAATTTGAATTTTTTAGGGCGGGTGTCTCTTCTGTACCTTTCTCGAGCTACAACTGTAGAGCACACTCGTTAGTCTTAATACATTTTGCAAATTTAAAAAAATGCGTGATGTTTGCAAGCATTGTGAAATTATCGACACAAATTTCTGAA